TTTTTTGTCTCTTTAGGATTGGTCGATATTTTGACCAATGGTTGACTTCTGTTAAGAAGTCAAAAGATTTGAAATCATATAAATTATGTATTTTCATCTTTTACAAATCATTAGTTTTCTTGTCCTCACAAGTAATAAGTATGAGTGATCAACCTTCCACCAGTGACCTTCCACCACCAGATTATCCCTACTTCAATACAACCTCTCGAGCGCTAATTCTTGAGTTTTGTTTCAAACAATCAAGGAACCAGAGCTAAAGTTCAACATTTTCATCAATTAATTGCTGATTTAGAAAGCAAAAGTGGTTTATACAGATAAACAAATTCTTGATTTCGTCACCAGGTTCATTACATATTAAATCTGTTTGTTTATGATACTCGAGCCAAAAATTGGTCCGACGTCATAAACAAATGACTTTAAATTTGAATAGATTGTGACCACCAAATGACCTTGAAACCGTATCCTAACAGAATGACCGAAATGACCTTGATATTTTAATATGACAATTGAGTATGGCCAAAACTACCATAACTCGAGTATGGGGTCTCAACACCTAAAACCAAAAAAGTTATTCGAGAAAAACTTGTTGAAACTTGGTGAAATGCCCTGTATAATTATTAAATTTAATTCTAGAGGGTAGCTACTATGATTGAAGACTAATGAGAGAATCAATCTAATCCTGCTCTCGTTAATCATAAGTCAGTTAAGAAAGTCTTATCTCCCCAATAGTTTAATGATTACTAATCTTTTTTTGTCTCTTTAGGATTGGTCGATATTTTGACCAATGGTTGACTTCTGTTAAGAAGTCAAAAGATTTGAAATCATATAAATTATGTATTTTCATCTTTTACAAATCATTAGTTTTCTTGTCCTCACAAGTAATAAGTATGAGTGATCAACCTTCCACCAGTGACCTTCCACCACCAGATTATCCCTACTTCAATACAACCTCTCGAGCGCTAATTCTTGAGTTTTTGTTTCAAACAATCAAGGAACCAGAGCTAAAAGTTCAACATTTTCATCAATTAATTGCTGATTTAAGAAAGCAAAAAGTGGTTTATACAGATAAACAAATTCTTGATTTCGTCACTCAGGTTCATTACATATTAAATCTGTTTGTTTATGATACTCGAGCCAAAAAATTGGTCCGACGTCATAAACAAATGACTTTAAATTTGAATAGATTGTGACCACCAAATGACCTTGAAACCGTATCCTAACAGAATGACCGAAATGACCTTGATATTTTAATATGACAATTGAGTATGGCCAAAACTACCATAACTCGAGTATGGGGTCTCAACACCTAAAAACAAAAACGTTATTCGAGAAAAACTTGTTGGAAACTTGGTGAAATGCCCTGTATATAACAAGATGGATACAAATTCATGATACATATTCACATCTTATCATCATCATCATAATCATGATAATATCATCAAGATGATAACAATAAATAATACAAACAAGCATTTTGTGTGTATGTTTTTTTGTTGGCTCAAAATTGTCCAACATCATTTGAATACTCAGATAGTCATGACAAACCATGGATGATAATCATCATGATTATCATGAGGATGATGGTTGACTGATTTCAAGAGTTATAAGTTTATTTCATGTTACAACATTTCAAACACTCCCAGCATGTGCTAGTAGTATACTCAGTTGAAAGCTTTGAGGATGATGACGGATGAAGATGAGGAAGATAAGAAGATAAGGGAGTATGAAAAGGTCTGAGTGGAAATGATAACAATGAGAAAACAACAAAATAGTCACGAACTTTGAAAGAGATGAGTAGCGAGAGAGAAAAAAAGTTCTAGATGATATCGAACTTGGAAAAAAAAGATGATGATCAAGATGAAGATGAAATAACTTCCAATTGGTATCTAGGTTTTTTTTGTTATGATGATGATGATGAAGAGGAGGATAAACACGAGGATGAAAAAAGTGATTGGATTCAAAGTTGATCTAAGAGATTCGAATAACCTTTTAGACTTTGGTCGAACTTGTTAGAACCTTTTTTCTTCTCTTCCTTTTTTAATCTTTTCCAAATAAAATGATACAATCAAATCAATGGAAATAATAACAATCTACTTTCAGTAGTTGGTTTAACCACTGATTGTCCACTTTTAATAATAGATGATTAAGAGATTTAATCAACGTGATTAAGAAATAATCTCAACAATTGGAAAACAATAATAATCAAAGGTTAGTTTGGAAAAGAAAAAAAGTTGGAAATAGTTGATAGAATGAGAAAATAATCGTATAGCCATTTGATCACAATTAACAATTGAATCAAACAATTAAAGGACTAAATCATTGGGAGGAGAAAGTTAATAGAATCATTGGCAAAAAGTTTGGATTAGAACTTTTTTTTTGTTCGCAATTCAAATTTCCTTTAAAACTTTTTCTCTTTTTCTTTTGCTATCTAATCACCAATTCTGAATCATTACCATGATAACAATGAAATTTTAATGATTCTACCTCATTGTTATATGTATTTTTCACCATGTTATTGATACTATTATCATCACTGAGTAGTAGATGATAAACTCAATAATGATGATGATAAACAAACTTTTTTATTGTTATTATTTGGTCTTTAACTGATGATGATGGTGGAGATGATAATAATGATCCTGATGATAATTTCAGGGAATGAATTTCATGGCTAAAGATAAAAGAGAAAAAGAGAAAAAAAGTTCTGATAGAACTTTTTTTTTGATCGAATTTTTTTTTCTCCTCCTTTTTACTCTGAGAACATAAATTTTTTATATCTACCTGATATTATATTTTCATTTAACTTTAGGGGATCATATTAAATCATTAATGATAATCAACTAATCAATGATTAATGAATTGATCCCTATGATATTGTTGTATTAATAGTGATCATTTTCAGGATTGTAATCAATAGGTTTTTATTATTATATCTGTTTGATTAGCTACAAGAAACAAATGATTAGATTAATTGTTAACAATTAAATCTTCTTACACTTTTAGTGAAAGTTAATCCAATTGTAATGATTGTTGATTGATCATCATTATCATTAACTTTTTTCAATATATATAAATATAATATTAGCTAATCTTAAAGGATTAACTTTAATGATTAAATATCATAAAGACAATTAAAAAAAATCGCACAAAGAAAATAAGATTAATCTTAAATTAATCATGATTAACTCTTATTATTTAGTAATCATAATTAGAAATATATAATGTGTATTAAGTATTAGCAATTAGTATATTGTTATCATTGTGTGATAATGTAAAAGTATAACAATTAACTGATTGTTTGGGTTACAATTCAAACTGTTGATCGAATGACATTCAAAGGAAAAACTAGAAAAGGTAAACACGAATTGATTAAATGTTAGGATGGATAAAGTTTCCCACTTCACATGATGAATTTATACTGAATCAGATTAATTGAAGATCGGTGTAAATGATTAATTCCCTTTGGAATTGATTCTTGTCTTTCTAACATGCTAATGAATATAACATCATCATCATTATCATAGTTAACTTATGATCTTCATCCTTATCATCTATTTTCCTTTTCCTTTTATCATCTTCATCATCGTCATCAATTCCCTTGATTGACATTGATTTACATTCTGACTAGATCATCAATATTATCATTATGATGACGATGATCAAGAGGTGGGAAGGGTGAGTGGGTGGTTGATGAATACTAGAAATTCAATGTAACATCTTAGACCCTGAAAAACATTGAATCGATTTGTAATAAGATCACTTTTTTTTACTATTGTTCAACCTTAACATTCAATATTCATCAAAAAGGTAACTTAGTTTATCAATCAAAAAGATGATGAAGATAAGGTAAGATGATAAGTCTGAGGGAAAAATGATGTTATTATTACATCATTTACCTTGAAGGCATTTTGATAAATTAGTTTTTGTTATCATCTAATGCTTATGAGTAAGTTTCAATTTCATCTAATACTAGTAGCCATGGTTACTAGAGTGAAAAAAAGTTCTAATCATCTTTCTGATGATGATGATGATAAACACTTTCAATTTCCTATGGTAAAAAAACAGTTTTAAATGGTCAATAAACAGAAATGATTGTGATGATAACTAAATGATCATCAACATAATACAATTGAAATGTTCATGATAATGATTCAGTTGATAATAATAGTTGCCTATTATTTCAGAGAGAAAACATCAAATGCTTTCATCATTTTACCTTCATCCTCATCATCTGCATCCTTAAGAGTTGAAGATGATGAGGATGCTTTTACCATTTTCACTTATTTCGAATTTTTTCTCTCTCTCCAAATTCGGTAAATAACCAAGAAGAACTTTTTTACTCTTTCTAAAGATCAAATATTAATCCTCTTAGAACATCCTCTTTCTTATCTTCCTGCTCCTCGTCGTCATCATCATAACCATCATTATAATCATCCTCATCCTCATCTTCATCAAGTGTGATAAAAATCATCTTCTAGTCTCATTATGATAATATTATCATAAACTTTTCAAGTGATTATTGTTAAATTGAAGTTGATACAAGTGTAGACACAATTGTTTGCATATAACTCTTATAATCAACTAATCATCACAATCAAAATCATATTCATTGATTTTAATTTGTTGAAATAATTTAGTTGCAACATGATTGGCAAAAAAAACAATAACAATCAAGGTAACATGTTATCATGTTGATTCAATGTTTTTGTTTTGTAAATGTCACAATCGTTTTGTTGAAATGTTGACAGTAGTGGACAATAATAATAATAAATGTTGTGTCCAAGGGAGAGATGGTCAAGAAGAGACAAAAAATGGTAACAATGTCCAGTTAAATTGTAACAATAACAATGACAATTACTGATTGATGGAAAAAAATTTCTCTTTCTTCCTGTTTTCATATCTCTCATGTAACATTATATTTATTTCTTGTTTTTTCATGATGATTCTGAATCTGAATTATGTGTCAATCTTATCGTTTGAAAAAATTGTTTGAAACTCACCTGATGATGAGAAAATAATGATGATAATTGAAATGTTGATTGTTAAATCCAGAATTGAAATGTCATTCAAAAATTTTGTATGATGATCAATGATATTGTTTGCAATTTAATCACAATTGTCAAATTGATTATGTTTTTGTAAAAACAAATGGTCACGTTAATTGTATCAAGTAAATTGTTGTAAATTCAAGGTAAACACATACACTGGACACTTGATTATAAGATGGACAATGTTGTTTATTGGTAATCCAAATATTTCACTACCGGTGATTGTTGTTGTTGTTGTTGATTTAGTTTGCGATTGTTGATTAGTAGGATTGGATTGACACACTCAATTGATTGTAAACTGATGGACACAATTTATGTATTAGAGATGATCACAGTTATTGTCTCAATTATTGGTTAATTTGTTGATGAATTTAATTGTTTGAAGAAGGTGAAGAAATAAAAAGTTACTTACTGTATTCTGATATCAATGTTATCATAAAGACTGGGAAGTTGATTCTGAATAAAATGTTGTTATCATTTAGGAATTGATTGCAATTGCGACGAATCATCATTCCAACTCCCACTGATGATGATCATCATCATGAGGATGAAGGTGAAACACAGATGATGATGATGAGGATTTAGTTTTTTTTTCTTCATCATTTAGTCCACGATGTTGACCACTTTTTATTTCAATGTTGTAGATTACACATTGAGAAGGAGGTAGATGATGATGATGATGATTTGAGAGAAAAGGTGAATTAACTGTCTCTCTTTCTTTAGGCCTTCTTTTTATCTTCTTCTATCTTCCTAATCCTTGTCATCTTCCCTTAACAAACTTTGATCCTCTCGAGACAGTTTCCTTATAATCTCAAGTAACTCAGAAGCTTTTCTCTAGTCTCTCCCATAGATCAACATATTACACTTTTAATAGTAACTCTTAATTTACAGGTGAAGGCTTCTGGTGGTGGATCAAGGTGGTGGTGGTGGTGGTGGTGGTGGTGTTTATTTCCATCATCATCAATTTGTCCTCTTCTTCTTTGTTTACATCTCCATTAAAATCCGATGTTCTTTCCAGTTTTGGTTAGAAAAATGTTCCATCTCCTTTGTGTTGACTAAAAATGTATTTCAAAATTATAATAACTTATTAGTATCTCTGGTTTAATCAATTCACTTTAATTATCTTACCTTTTGCTCCTTTAATGATGATTAGTTCAAGGGATTAATTAATTATCCAGGATAATAATTTAGTAATGGATTAAAGATGATATTGGCTATTAGTTTACCTTTTGTGTTGGTTAATTGGTTGGATATTTATAGTTGATTGTTTTTTTGTTTTCTTCCCACTTTAGTTAATTTACTTAATTGTTGTTCCGATTGTTAATCAAGGTGATCACTGGATTACTAATTGACGATTTTATCAACATCAAAAGGTTAAACTGATAGTTTTCACTTTACAATCAATTATCAACAATTAGAATTTAATTTAATCAAAACAATTTTTTGTTCTTTTTAGGAATAAGATCCGATATCGGTTATCTTTTTATCTTTTCTTTTGTTTCGGTTTCCTTTCATTTCTCTTTCTTTCTTCATCCGGTAAAGGATTAAGATAGAAATTGAATTGATTCAATTATCTTTTTATCAATTTAATTGTTTTTCTTTCGGTTAATTAGTAACTTTTTTTTCTATTGTTAATTAATTGTTTTCGTTGATTTTCTGGTGATTTTCGTTGTAAATGTTTTCTTTTTAAAAGAAATTAAAATGTTCGTTTGAGTAGAAAAAGAAAATGGCGGTTGGATAATTTGTTCTTTTCTGTGTTTTCTATTCTCTTTTTTGTTTATTGTTCTTATTCTTTGGTTTGATTGTTTGTGTTGACCGATTCTCTTTGGAATTGATTTAATCAACCTGATTGCTGATTGTTCTAATTGGATTGGTTTTCTTTCTCTTTCCATCTTCTCATTTTCAAGGTATTTTCACCTCTTTGTTATGTGTAAACGAAGGAAAAAATTATCAGACATCTTGTTTTTTAGAATAGAAAATGATTTATCATTGAGATTCTCTGATATTCTTTTCTGTTTTTTTTTCTTCGTTTGTTCTATTTTTTAATGTTACCTTGTTCTCTCCAGTATATGGTAATTGTCTCACATTCATCATATTCTTAAGAAGTACAAGAAAACAAACTGTAACCGATTTATTTAATTACTAATGAGAAGAATTGTTTTTCCTTCAAGAGAAAAAAAGGTTTCACTTGTGACAATAGAAAGAAATTGAAAGGTGACAAGTTAAACAGAGAAAAATAATCTCTGGTTACTCATGTCAATTAATTAACCATTAGATTAACTCAACAATTACGTTCAATTAAACCGCTAATGTCAATTAGCCAATGGTTTTAATTGAATTGACAAATTTTCTTTCTAATGATAAAATTTTCTATATCGTTTGATCAAAGCCTTTTGGGTGATGATGATGTTTGTTGATTGTTGATTTCTTTCTCCTGATTGTCATCCTTATTTTTGTTTCTATTCATTTTTCATAGATTTGGTGTTCTTTGAATCAATCACTTTCACCATATAACATGAGGGTTTTAGGATCATCCAAGAAGAAAGGTAAGAATAATCAGTTTTCTCTTTCATACAAATTTACCGTTTTTTTTATTGTTTTTAACAAAAAATTTGCTTCCGTTTATTGGCTTTAAGTTTCTTATCCATTTGTTAACTTTACTTGTAGATATCATCAATCGTCAAAGAGCATACAAACAACAACGTGTTTACGGTAACAACAACAATCACCAACACCATAACAACAACAATTACTATTATGAACCTAATTATGGTCCCTCCAATCACAATTATCACAATTACAATCATAACAACTTGATGATGAATTGCCATTTTGACAGGATGATTATGAATCAAGAGATGACCAATCGATGTGAACAAACTGGATTGAATAATAAACATTCAAGTGTGGAAAATTATTGGACATCAATTGCCTTCCATAGACCACAAGATTCACTTTTTGGTAATTCAATTTTACCCATTCTACCAAGGATTTGTCTCAATTAATTGTTATCCTCATCATCATCATCACCACTGCCAATCAACACGATCTTCAGTTGAATCTCTCACCCTCTTACTTTTCTTCAAGTTGATGATGTCCAGTTGATTAAAATAAATTAGATTATTGTTATAACACATGGTGAGTGTGTATGTGTTTATGGTGTGCTGGTCAGTAAAACCTTTTCTTGATGAGATAATCATCTTTACACCCAAGAAAAATCAACCAATCAAAATTCAGGATGGAAATATTATCATCTGAACAATCATCAGAATTACCAGAAACTTCAATATATTGGAACCATTAACAGCAAGTTACCTTCGTCAAAAGTTATCAAATCTCTTGAGATAATCAACTTTAATCTCCCAATATATAAATTTAATTATAATCCAAAGAAAAGAAATTAACCTCAACTCAGATTAAATCATAACAAAAGAATTAACCGTAACATGGTGAATCTTTTGTTCTAAATGATTAGTCAATTAGTTTCTTTCCGTCGATTACTAGTCTACACATAATCAACCAAAAGCTCAACGTAAAGTATAAATTGTTATAATCTAATTGACAGAAATGTCTTCTCCTCGCTAATTGTAACCTAAATTAAGTCTTTCACCCTTATTATTATTCCTATTTATTATGTACTAACTTTTTTTCCTATTGTAACAATCAATTTATTGTTTTCCTTTGTTATTCAATTTGTTGGATTCAAGTGTTTCCTCAGTATCAAAATTAATGAAAAAAAGGAAACAATCAATAAGATGAATGTAAAATTGTATCTCTATGATTAGATTATCGATCTTGAGACAATTAATTTCATGAATATTTTGCTTTTAATCAACAATCTTTATTGTTATCATCGGGAAAGAGAGAGAGAGAGAGAGAGAGAGAGAGAGAAAAAATTCAAATTGGATTAACATTTTCGATGTGACAGATAAGAGGTAGAAACAATTTAGACTTGACAAAATATAGTTAATTGTTTGATGTCCATTCTAATAGGGAAAAAAAATATTGCAAATATGAATCTGAAAAGCAGATTTTCAAGCAAATATATGTGTCAATCTATAGGCGATTGGTGGTGGTTTTTATATCTTTTGTCTTAAAGTGAGTGAGAGAGTTTGATAGAAAAAAGGAACAATTTGAGAAAGATAATAAAGAGAAGATAATAAAAGCGTTGTAATAGATGTTGTTGATTAGATATGTGATGTTAATGTGAATTGATTAGTGACGGTTAGTTTAATGAGAGAGAGAGAAGATGAAAAAAACGCTATTCTCAATCCAGGTAAATCCATAGCAGTGGAAAAATAGAGAGCGAAAGTCCTGAGAGTTACATCATGACACATTTCTCCTTGTTATCTCCTGTATCAACCTAATGAAAAGAAAAGAAAAGAATAGAATTTTTTAAAAAAAAGAATAGAAAATCAAAAGGTAATGATGGATTACAATTTCATCAATGATGCTCTCATTAAAAGGATATTAAATAATTTAGTAAACTAATGTAATGATAATGATGAGAAAATGAGCTTGGGAAGAAAAGAGAGAGAGAATAATAAACTTACTTCAGAGTAGTTATAATCCCCAAAAGAGTCAGCAAGCCTCCGAAATTTATGCGATTTAATGACCTTGGTTGTAGATCGAATGGCAACTTCCTAAATAGAAAACAAAACAAGAGAAAAGAGAAAAAGGTAAAATTTATAAACACGAAAGGGAGCAAAGAAGATAACATATTAAACATAATGGATGCATTTATGTATAACATTACATATTATTAAAGGTTAATTTTATGTTGTAAGGGTCACGCCCTAGACGATAGACTCACCTCTCCATCAGGATTAAGCAATGAGGTAGAAATATCATCACCGGTTCCCCAATTGTTTTTCATCAATATATCTGATGGCGGATTATGAGTCACCTTAGAATCAGAGCTCCAAACAATTACTTCGCCTCCTGCCTTAATGGTACCGGTTCGAGGAAATTTGTAGGTGGTCAGTAATTTGTCACCAGTTTTCCGTTGTAATTGCCAACCACTAAGAGATATGTCCTGATCACCTTTATTGTGAAGTTTAACAAATTTACCTTCTTGATCGTAATCGTTTATCTGAACATCTCCACGAGAATCAGAAAATGTTTTAAATTCAACAGTATTCTCATTGTCTTCAATGACAACTCGCTTTCGTTTACGAGGTATAGCATAAGATCGTGGAGTAGCCAGCCGACCTGCGAGCGAAGATGAACCTTCATCGGCACCACCTTTTCGTGGCGATAAACTAAGTCGAGTTTCTTCACCTTCCAACATTTTTCGATAAGCGTTAATCTCAAGGTCCAGGCAATTTTTAGATCCAATAAATCTTGATATTCTTTGTGAATTTCTTTAAGATCATCTCTTAGTTTACTCATCTCTTCATCCTTTTCTCGTAGAGACATGGTGGCCCAGTTTCTTTCTTGTTCAATCAGTTTCTCTAAATCTTTAATTCGATTGTTAAGAGACTCATTGACCGCTGTTAACTCGGTCACCTTTGCACCAAGAGAGTCAGCTCGACTCTTGAAACCTTGAAGATCATTTTTAAGAGTTGTTTCTGAGCTACTCTTTGAGTTTAATCGTTTCTGTAATTCTTTTAATTGAGCCTCATAGGTTCGAGTTAACTCATCTCGATTAAGACGAACTTGATCAGCACTCATTTGCCGTAATTCAGCCAATTCATCGGCAAGTCGTTGCTCATACTGTTCTTTGATTTGCTCTTCAACAGCATGTTCGATCTGGGTTTCTCTGGCAACTCGGGTCTCGGTTAATTCTTGTTCATGGAGAGTTTCTTTGAATGCAAGTTCCTCCCGTAAACTTTGAATCTGATTTTCAAGGTTCACTCGAGAATAAACCTCAGCTTCAAGTTGCCTTTGGGCATCTTGTAATTGTTTGGTGGACGATTGTAGATCATGGTTCAGTTCGTTTACATTATCTTCCAATTTTTTTCTTTCATTTTGAGACTGGTTAAGGCGAGATTTGGCATCATCCAACTGTGACTCCAATGTTTCACATTTTTTCTGAGTACTAGAGAGCTCTTTTTGTTTTGCCTTGAGTCTAAAATTAAAAGTAGAGTAAGAGAAATAAAATTAAATAAATAGAATAGATAAACAAGGGAAAGAGATGTAATCAAAATGGCTAATAAACATGGAAAAGCTTTTAAAATCTAGAAAAATGGATTGGGCACTAGAAGACTTGAAGAAACTGATTAAACATGTTAATGACAATGTGATTGAAAGGGATAAGTTACAAGGGAGAAAGTGTAAAATCAAAGCGGTAAAAATTAATCTCCCATAAGGATAGAAAAATTCAATAGGTTAAAATTAAAATTCTCAAACTGGCTTGGCTTTTTTTGTTCTTTCTCTCCTCATTTGAAAGATAAAGAGAAGAGAAGAAGAGAGATGGGGATAGGGATAGAGAGAGAGAGGAATGTTAAAGAAGATGGAAAAATATAAAAAAGATGTAATAGTTTACTTTTTATCAAGTTCATCTCTTTCAGTTCTGAATCGATTATTATCCAATTCAAGTTTAGCTTTTTGCTTGGAAACTTCATCTAGGGCCAAACGTAGATCTTTTATTTCCTTTTCGCAAACCGCCTTTGATTTATTGATCTCACGTTGAACACTATCCTTAACACTTTTAATTTCCAACATGTAATTGTAATTCTCATTTTGAAGTTCTCTGTTTCTTTCAATATAAGAGGCAAGTCGATCATTTAGATTGGCAAGTTCCGTTTTCTCCTGTTTTCTGGTTCGAATGGCAACACTTAAAGGACTAGTAGCCCTAGACTCAGATGAAGAAACTTCCACAGTGGTAGTTAAACGTTTTGACTTTTCTGCTGTAGCCATGTTAATATGATAAATATGATAAAATTTAAAATCTTTGTTTCCTTTTAAACTTCTCCAATTGTTGTAACCAAAAGTTAAATGATTAACCGATGACAAGACAACTTATTAAGCAGAAACACACAAGGCAATCACTGGTAACCACTTAATCAGTTGTTAAATGTATAAAAGAAAAATTTAAATATAAAAGACAAACAATAATCAAAAATACAATTCAATTTAAACACAATTAAGAAAATCCCAAAGAGTCAACACCCAAATAACACACAACCGGTAACCAAAATGTTCCATTCTAAATGTCACATTTTTCTTTAAATTGACCAATCAGAGAGCAGAAAATCAGCGCCATCTATGAGAAAAAAGACTAACCCGTTAATTAGAATTTCGAAAAAGCAGCTAACCACAAATTCGGCTTGAAAACGGCTTAGAATTTTTTTCTTTTTTCTATCAAATCTTTTTCTTTGATTGTTTTGTTTTTCTTAATCACTGATGAGATTAAAATCAATTAAAAAGAAAATTATTTTGCAACTTTTGGTAATGTTGTGAATGGGGAATAAAGGTGAAATCTTATGAATCTCAGGTTATAATTGGTAAATTGTGTTTCTCTCAAGTGATTATTAACAAAAAAAGCTTTTAAGGTGATCCCCTGGTTGGAATTGTTTTAATTATCAAACATCAACTTTAACTCTTTATTAATGGTTATTGTTATTATGGTTTTGTGGACAAAGAACAACTTTAAACATTGGAGATAATTAATAGTTGATTAGTTTAACAATCGACTAGTAATTAATCAACTAGGAATCTCTCAAACCTCGGCTAATTCTTATTCTATTCAACTATCGACTGACTGACCGACTCCAATCCAACTGACTTTGATATCTAAATCATTTTTAACTTGTAATCTTTAATATTATTGATAATTTGGGTCCCAGTTACGGACCTTAATTTCTTATTTCAACATGAACAATAAGAAATTGAATCGTAATCAACAGCAGCAGCAACAACAACAACAACAACCGCCACAACCACAACCACAACAACAAGGTGGTTCTAATCAAATTGGTCCTCATCATTCATTTTCATCTCAACAATTACATCACATTAACCAGCATCCATCTTACAATGGATATCAACAATATCCCTTCCCTTTAGTGCCATTAAGTGTTTTCGATGAAGATCCTGGAATAATGTCGGAAGTGGAAACCTCTGCGACCGGTTTTCGTCGGTCAACCAAAGCGAGGTCATCATTACCGATTGTACGAACCCCTTCAAAAACCCAGGATCGTTCACTTGGATTGGTTTTTCTACAATATCGAAATGAAACTAAACGAGCCCTTCTACCTAATGAAATAACCTCCATAGATACAGTTCGTGCCCTTTTTGTCCGCTCTTTCCCTAGACAATTGACTATGGATTATCTAGATTCTCGCCAAGTTCGTATCTATATTCACGATACCTCGAAAAATATGTTCTATGAGCTAGAAGATCTTGCCGACATTCGAGATCGTTCAGTTTTACGAGTTTACGAGCAAAACGAAGCTGGTGGACCTTGGCTACCTGTTGGAACGGTCAGACCACCGGAACGAGCGAAACCTTATCCAGGTAAGTTAATTTCTCATCCTGAATATGTATTTATATTAGTGACTGTTGAATTTTGCTTCGTCAAACTGTGTTACCTTTATAATATCTTTTTCTTTCTCTATTTGTTTTTCTACTGATTCTTTTCTCAGTTTCATCTTCTATCCTTTATCCTCCCAAATGTTGTATTTTTTTTCTTCTCTTCATCATTTATCCTCTTTCCCTTATTTATCAGTTCTTTTTGTTTAGGGTCGATAAATTGATCGTTTTAAAGCCTCTACGATGTTCCTAGTGTGTAGATATTGTCCTCAGATTGGATCGATAGGATATTCTTTCTATTTCACTTTCTTTTACATCCTCATCTCTCTTTTTTTCCTTACGCACACACTTTGCATCCTTCATCTTCTTTCCACCTTCTTTCTATCATTTTCATCTCCTTTCTCATGTAACGTTCCATTACAAAGATACACAGAATATCCCATTGAAGTTACCCTTTACTACTCAACTGAAATATTCAAAAGTATCTCTTTTCCTCTCATGTTGATTCTTCACTATAATATCATCGCAATATCAAAAATTTACTTTACGATTTAATGATTTTTATGTTCAATTACAAACGACCGATTTTATTTGCTTATATAAACCATTTTTACACCCTGGACATGATATTATGTTGACAATGTTAATTTCACTTTTGGTGAAATTGAAAATAAGAATATTTTCCATCATAATTGCACCTAAGGTTCAGAAAATTCAGAAATTACCATGTAATATGATTATAATGTTGATGATGATGTTAAAAGTATATTAAAAAGTTATTTAGATACATCATCTTTTCTCATCTAGATAATTAAATAAATAACTGTTCCAACCTATTTAAGGTTCATGAGATTAGGTTGAGATTCATCCGATTACATGCTAATCATTAATTCAAATTACGTTTAATTTTTAAAATTTTGCCTTTTTTTGTATGAATTGTTGATGGAATGATCTTAAATATCAATATTTCATACAATTTAACTGATGATTTATTTATTCTTTATTTATTAATAGGACCTCCGTTAGTTAATAACGCTCCACCTAAACCTCAAAGATCATTTCAAGCTAACATGATGGCTGGAAATAGTGGCCCTAACGGAGGGGCAGCCCCACCTCCACCCTCTCGGACACCACAATCCTCTGGACTTACAATGGTTCCTCCAGGTCGATCACCTTCAACCTCTTCTAATCTCGGTGTTTCATCAACTCCAGTAATTCATCCATATACCAATCGACCTTTACCCGAGAGGCCATACTCTGTTGCAGGTCATTATCCGACTCCGGACAGAAGATCTTTTTCCGAATCTCCCTACTCAGGTTATCTTTCCTCTCCAGAAAGAAGATTACCCAATGGAGAGAATCTTCCCCTTGGAGCCAGATCATCATTTCCATCACCTGGCTACTCACATCAACCACCTCCACCTCAACCTCCTATCAACTCTTACGATGATATGTATGGTACCACAGGGGGTCATCACCCCTCAAGATCTGGAAGTGCTACACCGATTATTGATGAAGAAGCTCGGATCAGGGTGGATTTCATGGAGAGACAATTGGCAAGCCTTACGGGATTAGTTCAAAAAGCCTTATCCACTCCCCCACCTGCTCAAATCCGCCAAGCTCCTGGTTCTGGGCCTGATCTCAAAGGTAACAGTAGTTAATCACTCATCGTTAGCATCTGATGAGTAATAAATCAACTTTGTTTTCATTAGATGACAATCAACTTGATCTATACAATTAAATCAATTATCTTAAAACCAACAGCTTTAAATTAGTTATGCTCAAGTTATGATTTAATTAGCATATTACATTAATGAGTCTCTTGTCTTAATCAACTTAATTTTATTGATTTGAGGCTTGAAACTTGCAACAATTAAGAAATGCTTAATCAGCAAATTAAAATTTGAGTGCAATTAACTTTATGCAAAATATTATTTACTCAGTAATTTATTTGCAATGGTTATTGTAAAATTTTACCATTTATGATTAACTAACAGATACAAAAAAAAATCTTAAACCTAAATATCAACTCTAAGGTTTTATTTATTGACTATTTACTTTTTGTAGGATTGCTATTAATAGTATCATCAATTTAATGATTATTATCTCAATTTGTTGATTGTTTTTCTTTCTATCCTAATTGTTGATTGCATCAATAACAGACATTGATTGTTTTTATGCATGTTTGATACTTACGTTATCTTTTAATTGACTAACTTTGGTAGTAATTCAATTTAATTGATTTGTTTTTGTTTCTTTATTTTCATTGACCAGGAGTGGACAAGCCTGGTGTACCTAAACCAGCCCCACCACCGAAACCAGCAACTCTCGCTAATTACCGTGGCTCAGCGGATGGAGTCAGCTCAACATTACCCGTCGATATGTACAATCAACTGCGTCAATTAAAAAAGCGAACCAAAGATATAAGATTAGAACTTCGAAATCTTCGTCGAATAGCTCAAACCCAATCAGGAATGGCAAAGGAAACATTAAAAGAAACTTGTTCTAAAATAAGAACCTCATTAGCCCATTTGATGCTTAATGACCCACTGGAAAGGTCACTTAGATTTAATCGACTTCGTTTATCCAAAGATGAGGAATCTTATAAATTTGATGTTACCCGATTAGAAAAAGATCTTAATGAGCTTGAAAGTCAAGTTGAAGGACTTCGTAGTAATGTTATTAATCGTCGTTGTCGTGTAAATATGACCGATGTTGAGGCAATGGCCTTGATCCTAAGTCGAGCTTCAAAAACAGTCGCTGATCTCAAGACTCGATATCCTCATCTCCAAGAAGCATTGAAAACGATCATAACTCATGAGATGGAAATTGTTGTTCGTGAGGAAAAGTATGTTGATGTAACTTATTAATCTCTTAATTGTTTAATTGTTCAATCAATCTAATCTTCTCAATTTATCCCTCGTACTTTAGATTCTTGACAGAAGAACCCGATAGACTTGAAAATGCATTAAGACGATGTAAAAAGTTGACCGGAACCCTGGTGACCTTGAAAAGGTAAAATTAATTGTTGATTAGCTTTTTAATTAACAGCCAATCTAAAACGTTTATTCATTTCTCTTTTTAATTAAGAAAAATTAACTTTGCGTGCGTTTATAAAATAGCAATTTAATTGTTCACCATTTCTTAATTTTTTTTATCATCATTAATATTTGTTATTTTGTATCTTTTTTTTTGATTAACTTTTTGTTTTGTAATCAATTGTTAATTATTAATCAACAGATTGGCCTCAGTTCAAGAGCAAAGGTGTACCTCGGGCAATCAATCGATAGGTAAATTTGAAAAAGCGATATCAGCTGATTCTAATGATGGACATTCATCCAAAGAGCCAATTATGTCAAAAAGGGTAAGCTAATTGTTAACAATTTAGATTTAGAATTTTTTTATCAACAATCAATTATTAACATTTAAACAGATCATATTTTTTTTATTCATATGCTAGTTAGCTGCTTTTTTATAATCATTTAGAAATTAAGTTCAATTTAGTTTTGAGTTTTTTTATGTTTATTGTCTAATTGTCACCATTTAATTAACTTTTAATTAAGATTGTCACAATTTGTTATCCGATTTGTAAAACTGTAATGACCAGTGGTCAGTGAGTAATAGTAGGAAAAGAAACAGCAATTTATGTTCCTACTAATCTCTTGATGGTTGATGATTTTCAATCTTACTTATTCAACTTTCTTAATTGTTACTTTTAATTAACTTTGATTGTTATTATTCATATATTCAAATGGTGTTTCGTGTAGGCCAATCGAGCTGATTTGTGGAAGCGGAGTCCAAATTTCAGGGACAGAATCGAGTATAAATCAATTAACTCTTCTAACCAACTTATCCATCGATTAATCAACAATCTCATCATTAGTTTTCATTGTTACATAATTATGATTATCTTTGTTTAAATTGTTCTAGTTTACTCTTGATTCGTTTGCTTAACTTGAACAGAGCTTGATTTCTGAAATTTTCATGAGGAATGAGAATTGATTCATTGATTAATCTTTATCATTTGTTGATTTTGCTACTATTTAAGTGTCACAATATTTGAATCTTTTAAACAGTCAAAGTTTTGTTTTTCATTTGTTCACTTCACTAATTATGTATTGTTTTTTTTCAAATTTAATTGCAATATCACTCAAGTTGATGCTCAAAGTTAATTGTGACCATCAATTTATGATAAGTTGGTTTTGATTACAATTATTTTCCAATAAATCATCAAAAAAACACTCAGGAAGCTTAATTAAAGGCATTGAACAATCAACAGTTTGCTCGTTTGCCTGGAAATATTGATAATTAATTAACTAATTGCTGAGAGATTGAGTCTGCAATTGATTAACTGTTTCTATTTTTAATTTTCATCTAATATCTTCAAGTATTATCAATAATTAACGGTTGTTTAATTTTACTGATCTTGATTTTTTCAACATTAATTTTGATTTTGTTTACTACACAATCTAAATTTTTATAATTATAAATACACTTTGTTTATAATCAAGTTAATTGTTGTCAGTTGCATGTTTGATTTGTTAATCTCGATGCACATCTAATTGTGTTACAATTAACAACTTTCTAAACCTTTTGATGTTTCCATTTGTATTTAAATCAAAATTTAATTTGTTGATTCGATTTGATTTCTCACAAAATTAAAATACTCTCAATTATTGACTCTAAAAATTAACGTTAATTAACTTAAGCACGAATTGTGATTTTTATATCATTATTAATACATAAAAATCGTCACAATAAATCAATTTAAATGAAGTCAAAAACAATTTGATTACAATTAAAATCTGCATGAGAAATTGTTTCAATTTGATTTGATTTGATTATCATGAATTGAAAAAATGAAATTCTGACAATGATGATAATTAAAAGACACTTATCTAAACCCCAATGAAACTAAATTAACTAATTACAATCAAAATCAATTCTAACTCAACACTATCTCTTGTCCTCAATTCCCTTTGTTTTTGTCTTCATGTTTTATTTATTCACCAACTTAATTAACTGTCCCTTAACTATATGGTCATCATATTCACACTATTATTATAATTGTGACAATCAAATTAAATTAAATCACCAACTATCTCTGTAATTAACTAATAGCCTTATGAGGGGATTTACCTCGATGCCAACCAAACAGGTTCGTTAATTATATAATCTAAACATTATAAGAATTTGCATTTCGATTAATTGATTTTTTATCCAAAATCGAGAAAATTTTTATTAATTTTATTTGAATTTCTATTATCATTTAAAACTCTAATTTCAATTGTTTCTCATTGATTTTTACTTGTCGAAATTATTTCTGATTATTGACAATTAATCACTTGATTTGTTTTTTTGTCAATCGTGTTAATTGCTGATTGATAATTTTAATCAATTATTTTACACTTCAAATTGTTTATTCAAATTTTTCTTGATGAATTTCAAAGCAAAAGTATTGGGAATCAACTAATCATTCATGAGAATAAATCTTGATTAGTTACCAAATATTAATCGAAATTGAATTCAATCCTAATTAATGATATTTTTTCTCGTTTTCTTTTGCATTTCTTAATTATATCCCTCCTGAATTCTGGAATTAATTTAATTCACTAATAATTATTAGTAACTTTTTTCACTTTAATTTTCCCATTCAATTGTTTTAATCGATTGATTATTAATTTCTAATAACTTCATTTTCCTTTACGATTTATAAAGTATATCAACTGAAAAACCTGAATCGCCCTAATCAAAGCCTATTATCACAATTAACTGATTGCTTACACATCACGATTAAATCTAAATTGTAAACTTGCAATCTAATCAATTTCTAAATTGTTTACCTTATTGTCACTCCTTTGCAAATTGTGATTTTCATTGTTTTTTTCGCAATTAACTATTAGTATCAATCAAAGCTTTTAAACCTACAGGATTGTACAGGTTTGAAAACCATCTTAATTTGTCAAAAATTAACTGATGATGATAATTAACTCGCCATAGAGTCTTGAATAATTTATCCTACCAGTAGTATTGATATTTATAGCTTGGAAATACAATTTAAAGATCGGTTGATTAAACTTGTCCAATTCTGTATTTTAAAGATGAGATTAACGATTGAGACTTTCAGAATCATTAACATCATAATTTGTCTTCCAAATTAAACTTGCCTGTTTTCTGTTTGTCTTACAATATGTATATACAATATTAATACATCTAAATTGTTTAATCATAAACCATCACAATTATTATTTGTGATCTAATAATCTCTCTCTCTAATAAGTTGATTAACAAGTATACTAATTTAATTATTCCTTCCTTGTTCTCCCTCTTTGGCTTTTTTGGCTTGTCCACTGTTGATATCACAACCATTGACCCATTGACATGTTCCCGATGATGATAATTAAACAGAGCACGGAATTAGAGAGTCATACAGTTATTCAGGTCACGCCAGCAACACCAACGACCAAAACGGACCCTTCTAACGAAAACACCTTAGACGCCCTTCTTAATGAGCTGCAAACCTTTTCCAAGCCTTTGCCAATGCACCAAGCTAACAAACAATCAACTAATCATTTAGCCTCAGATAGGCAACGACGCTTGGGATCAGTTGATTCAGGAAGAAAATCAGGTAACTATTAATAATTGAATCGACGAAAATCTAGTCTTAAATATTTTGATCTTATTTTTGCCTCTCTCTCTCTCTTTACTTTCTCTTTAGTTCCCATTCCGCCACCTCGATCATCTTCAAGCCAAGTAAATGATGGACCTGAAGTTAAACCACGTTCCTCTCTTACCAATAACAATATTACCAACAATAAGAACGCAATTAACAGTAATAGAAGTCTAACCACAGGTCGAATTGGTGCCAGTGTGGTCCGTAGTAATTCAGAGCCAACACCCTCACAATTGGCACAGTTGCGACCCAAATCAACACCCCCTGAAGGTGAATCTCTTCACAATCATGATTCCAATACCTTAGGCGTTGATGGTGATCTCGAGGGACTCTCAATGGTTCCTAGTAATTCAACGACTTCACTTTCTTCCATTGATAGTCAAGGATCCATAATAGAAACGGGAAAATCGGGAAAATCGCGTCAACAATTACTAGAAGAACGTCATTTAGAACTTTTAAGAAAACAAAAGCTCCTCCAGGAGCAATATACTCGATTACAGCAATTATCTCGTGGCGAATTACCTAATTTACTGTTAAATGATTTAAAGAAAACTGGAAGCGAATCAAATATCGTTTTAAAATCGGCATCATCGTCAAATGTTAGCGGATCATTAACTCATTTACCTAATAACAAGAAGCCCCACTCAGGGCAGCAACAACCGTTATCAGCCCCACAACAATCAACACCGAAAGGTTCACAAGAATCTCGATCAAGTAATCAAGGAGAAAACCAAAAAGATCAATCAATTAGCAAAGGAGATCAAAACTCAAAAGGACCGATAAAACATGAAACTCAGAAAATATATGAAACTGATATTCTTTAAATTAATTATCATGTTTTCATCTTTAATTGTTATTAATTAATAATGTAAATTTCCCTAAATTCCAAATCATCATGATTCCTGTGACACTCAACTGTCTTCAAAACATTATCATCAACTTTTCATGTTTAATGTACTTGTTGTTGATAAATTGGCAATAACTTAAATTTGATGATTTAAGCCAACAATTAGTTAATAACATTTTTACCCAAGTGTTGTAACATTAATCACTCAATCCTCTAATCTCACCACCAACAATTATGATCTCTCTTCATCTTATCCCTTTTAAGTTTAAATCTCCATCTTTTTTTTGTAGTACATTTATCCAATTCATTATTATTCCTTGATTATCACCTTGATTTTTGTCGCAATTAACTCAAGAATCGTTATCAACTTTGATCTACTTTATTTTATCCATTGAATTACTTATCATCATCATCATTTTACCGGTTGATCATTAGATTAATCCTTTTAATTGTTAATCTCATCTTGTTTTAAACCCGACGATGGAACCATAATCAATCAAACAGCTGATGAACAATTGGAATTGATTGTTATTTTACTTAATTGTCCAGTTTTGACTGATTTACATTCCAATAATATCCCAACTCAATCATCTTCATATTTGAAACAAGGAGATTTGGACAATTATCTTCATCTTAATCATCATCTTGTCATCATATTCATGGTTATCATTAGTGAATAAGGAAAAGCATGAAGGGCGAGAAAAACGATTAATCAACAACAACAATTACTTACAATCAACGGCGACGTTGATAATTTAAAGAAACGTTAATAATAGTCAACCATTATTATATTGCCAAGAGATTAATCATCAACAATCAAAGAGATTTATATCAATCAAAGGAAAAGGTTATCATCATAATCATCTCATGAATACGAACAGAAAATGTTATCAAACGAAAAAAAATCCAAGGGAAAGGATAAGATTAAATTGAATTTCCTGTAAAAGTCAATGTAAAATTAAATCAACAATCTAAACCGAGAACAATTAACTTTTTCACTCATTTAATTGTACAAATTCAAATGAATAGAGTAAATAATTTAACTGATAACTTTTTGCAGTCAACAAAAATCAACGTCACTCTAAGTTGATTAGTTAATCAACTCGAACAGTTTATCGTAAGTTTTAATTCACTTGTTACCCAAAGGCTCAATTAATTAGTCACAATTAAATTTATAGTAAACAAACAACAATAATCACCTTTTGTAAAATCATATTAATAATTTAATCATTAACTGTGAAAACAATTAACACTTAGGAATTAAAGTAACAATTTAAAGCGATAAATATTAATAGTTAATGGATTTTCTTTGAGTATTGTTTTCGTTGGTTAATTGCAATGATATTTTGATCATTGGTGATGATTAGCGATTAATTAATTGTTCCGGTAGCATCGGTGCTGTTGCTTTAATCACTCTAAAATTAACATTCATTGAAGCAAATTGTAAATAAAGTTTACATTTCCTCTCGTTTACCTGATTACCTTTAACTGATTGTTATCTTTGCTAATTAAGATTATCCGGTCTGATTAAATTGATGATTGCGAAGATAACTTTATCGGTAATCAATATTTATAAATGTCTGGCAATTAGTTAATCACAATCAATATTTATAATTGTCCTTGACCTTATTGTCTCAAGTACTGAGCAAACAAAGGACATTTTGGTTAAGAGTTGAGACTTTGTGCTCTTAAAGGGCCACAAAAATGAATGCGAAATATTTTTTTTCTGATCTGATCAATAGTTTTCGAGAAAATCAAGTTCGAAGTCGAGACTTCAGGTCAGTTTTTCTTAGTAACAATAAGTTTTCAGGTCACAAAATTTTCGTTTCTTCGATAACATTTGATTTCCTTATCGAAAATTAGATTGGTTTCGGCTGAACAAGTATCCAAAGTGCTCTGGCCTCAGTTCCGTTGTGTCTAAATAAATGGACTGCGACCGGTTGATTGTATCGTAGACATTAAAAAAAGGCATCGATCGAATTTGAATTTTTGTTCTAACATATTCGAGATCATGGATCTTTCGAAAAGTTTTCGTACCCAAAGTTTGTTGTTGTTGTTAATTGTTTGGTAGTTGATCAATGATAGGAAAATATAATTACAATTATTGTATTGTAAGTGAAGATGATACAAGGAAATGATTAAGACAAGAAAAACAACAATTAACTGAATGTTATTATTATTATCATGATAATTAGCTGATTTGATAGTTAATACTATTGATTTGCTATTTCCTTCAACAATTAACTAATTGTTTTCTTGGATTGTTATTAAATCTGCGATATCATTAAAGGTCAAGATTAGGTGATGATTATAAAGTCTTTAGGTCAACTTGATTTATCAACTTTGATAATGTGATTAAATTTAATTCACTTTCAACAGTCAACATGTTCAATACAATTAACCTGTGACCTTTAATTGCAATACAACTCTCACTGTCTATTTAGACCTTGATTATTTGACCCTTTTAATTATAAACAACAAAAAGAAAAGGTTTGAAAATTAAAACTAATTAATTAAATCGCGTTTACAATTTATTGATTTGCGAAAAATAAACAAACATTAGTAAATAATTTACAATCAAATTGATTATTAATCAAACCGAAAGATTAATATACAACCAAATTGACCTTATCCAAGTAAATGCTGATGACCTTAACTATTTAGTAAACAATCATTGATTATAATTAACTAATCATCATGAAAATTTCAGGTTGATTAAAGTTTCTAATCACCAATGAATTACAAATACACAATTTACCAGGTAAACGTTTCGTTTAACAATTAAATGTGAACAATAGTTGATCAGCTGAATTAATTTTCATCAGTTTATGTTAATCATCATGTTTTCACTTTAATTGTGAGAGGATGTGGATGTTAATTGTTGATCAACCATCAACCTAAGTGTCTTCCTGATTCCGCCATGTTTGTTGTTGATGATGAAAAAAACTAAATACAAACAATTAGAAAGTATATAAATTAAGAGGCTCAATGTCCAGTTATAAATATAAATTAATCGCAATTAACTTTCATGCTATTAATGGTTCAACTGTTAAAGGGAAAGTTTCAACTTCCTCACAATTAAACTGAATTAAAAGTTAATCGTCAACGATTGTTGTTATTACCTTTTTTTCATACGAACTGAGTGAAAGGTGAATCTTTTTCCAATTCATCTCCGTAATCCTGACGATGATAAGAAAAGATTTTACCTGGATTAAGGCCTCGAGGCATGAAACGGATAAGGAGGAAGACAAATTTTCGAGATAAATTGGTGATTATCATTATGATTATTCTTCTAATTAACTGGTTGATAATTAATAGAATTCACGTTCTCCTTTCTCTTCTATTTTGTTTTTTTCTTCGTTCGCCATCTTTATGATTGAAATTCTATTCGTTGATTGTTGATAATCAACTGTAATCAGATTCATTTTCCATCTTAAATATATTCGCTATTCTAAAATCATTAGTCTGACGTTAATGTTTATTAATCTTTATATGGTATCGCCTCATAATCTGGAGACAAGATTAACTGTCCAAGTTGAAGAGAGAAGTTAAAGTTTGGATTAAATTGTATCTCTTTTAGTAATTCTGATTAATTGATTGTAATTCCATGTGTTAACTAGTCTTTTAATTAGTTGATCTCCTTTTTTTTCAAATGGATTTCATTGTGTTTGGTTATTAGTCTTAAAGGATTAGTTAGTAAATTGGGATGAAAGAGAAGAGGAAAAGTTTGGCTTTGATTGTGATTTTCAAGTTCCAATTGTTGAGAAATTGAGAAAAATCATTGCCAATCGATTGATAATAATTAGAATATGAAATTAATTACAATTAAGAAGGAAAATTGTAATTATAAATCGTTGGAAAGGGAAAACAATTGAAGATCGTTAGGTTAACAGTTTTGTTCGTTGGAATTGAAAGTTTTATTATTTTCTCTGTTTTCGAATTTATTTCTTCTTTTCCTGATTTTTGTTCTTTTTTACTTATGATTTTTCTCTTATTCATTCATGTGGATTCCATGATCTGTCAACTGTTCAAAAAAGTTTTCAATAGGAAATAAATGTCAACTTGTAACAATCTTTTTCTTTAAAAGTAATAATATTCAATATCCTCATCGCCATATGATTAAGTTCATGATAAGGACAAGATGAATAATTTACTAGGAAGTTGGTGTTAACTAGTAGCTTAGCTGATTCTGTTGCTCAGACGAACCACTGTAAAGAATAGACATGTTGTAATTCAGCGTTTATACCATGAATTTTGGGCGTGAAAACCGAAACTCTGTCATTTGGGTTATTTGATGAATAACCAGAATTTTCCTGAACATTTAACTTTCCCGTATTTCCCTGTTTCTCATCACGATTAACACCATCCACGTAAAGGGATCGCTATTAATACTAAATTTAAATTCTCTTCTCATCTCTAACAATTTTCCTTTTACAAGCAAATTACACGAAGAGAGAGAGAGAGAGAGAGAGAGAGAGAGAGATTACAATAAACATCAATGGGGAAAAAACAATTCGGGAGATAAACGATTGACCAAAACAAGAGACATGATAATGTAGATTAAGGAAAAACAATCGGACAAATCCAAGGATAAAGATGAAGATTAACTGATGAATATTTCCTAATGAGAGTAAATTGAAAGGGGAAATTACAACAACAGATATTAGCGCAATGTTAATTGTTAATTGTTAAGGTGAAATTGGAATCATGATGTTAGATTAGTTGAAGAAAAGTTTTCACTTTCAATTGAGAACCAGTTTTACAATCGTAGTTATTATGATGACGATCAACGGACTCTCCATTCAAACGTCATCATCATCATCATCATCATCACAATCAACAATATAATCATCATGAAAATATATTAATGAACTACAACAATTTAGAGTGATTAAGATTATGAAGCAAGAGAACAATAAAAAAAAATAACAACAATCTACAGAAATCGATGTTTACTAAACTTGATTTACGAGATTAACTTGACCTTTGTGAAGGTTAATCATAAACAATTGACCTACAGACTTTAATCTAGTTGTGGATAATCAAGTTTCACTTAAAACTGATCATCTAATAACCTTTTTTACAATTTAATTGAATTTAATTTGATTTGATTTTTGTTTTGTTTTTCTTTTTGTACTTTTGTAAATCATTTTGTGAATCAATCACGTTTACAATTTATTAACCATGATGATGATCATGATCAACAATTAGCGTTGATTATCAATTTACAAGGTAAATGGATTAACCTTTTCAACAGGGAAATGAACAATTAGTTAAATTGAAAATTAGTTCAATCAGTATTTACATTGAACTCTAATCACAATTTAGCTGATTGTCAATAAATTGGACTGAGTTAATTTTATATTATTAATCCGATTGACAAAATCATGTTAATCACTTTGTTTTTGATAAATTCAATTTGATTTGAAAACAATTTAAATCGCAATTAAGTGTTGATCACTTTGATTTGGTAAATTGATCAACTCAAATTGCGGAAGAAACTTTTGTAATTAATCAACCATATAGACAGTAATCAAAAACGATTATTCAAAAATAAAATTAGGGGATAAAAGTAACTGTTTAAACAATTTAAGTTAAATAGTTAATTCACAATTTAATTAACTAATTGTATGAGTACACTAACTGTTAATCATCTTGATTTGGTTGTTAATAAGTTAATGAGTATCTTTGGAAGCAGTAATTTGTACAAATTAATCGTCAAGCTTAATTGTAATTACGATTGGACAACAATTAAGACTGACAATTATGGAAAAATTTACCGAAAAGTTAATTAGTAAATTGCTTCGACTTTTTTTTCTCTATGGTGATAAATTGTTACTAAAAAAAACCAAAATTCAGGGAAAATTATCAATAATAATCAAAGAAAAAACAATTTATAATCTAAATGAAATTAACTTTTTGACTGTAAATACTAATCACTGGAATTAAGGAAATTCCCCCATTGCTGTTAATTACAACAATTTAAATTGTTGCTCTCTCTCTCTCTGTGTTTGAGGGTCAAGAAAACCTGATCATCATTTGGTTACCGGTTTAAATTTGATCATCGTCACCGATAATTAATTGTTGTGAATTAAAACTCAGTACAGATATTGAGATATTGTTGCTGTTATTATTGGATAAAAATGATTATCACTTTGATCAACAATTATGTTGACGTTGATTGTTGGGATTGGGAAATTACGAGAGATAAATTGTCAAAGATTAACAACAATTATCAACTAATCGTTGAAGTTTCTTGGCCAAAGATGAAAGTAAAGATTCAACGGGTTCCAAGGTTTTGTACGTTTTGACACTCAATCGATTGGCACGAAGTTTATTAGCGGCAGTTAATTGTTCAAATTGATTCTTGATTGTGTTCATATCGTTATCAAGAGACCAGATATTGTTGTTTATATCAGCGATCAAATTTCTGGCATAATTATCTAGAGCAAGTTGATTCTCTCCATGTCCAGTGAATAGATTTTCATCTAATTGTTGAGCTCTTTCATCCAGATGATTAACAATCTTATCCCGATCAGTGGCCATCAGGTTAGAATCAAGGTGACGACGGAGATCGGCAACTGTCCAGTCAATCGTTTCCTGTAAACCATTTGCCTCCTGAGACAAACGATTGGACACCGAGTTATTGGTCACTTGAACGGACGTTACTAACTGGGCTAAGGTCGCCTTGAAATCCAAGGCCAATCGATCCAATTTCCCGTTCATTGATAGTCGATCATTTTCAATTACATAATAATGATTTTGGAAAATTTTCTGAATCGATGATTTAGTTGATTTAATATCAATTCGAGCGCCACTGATCAATTCTTCCAAATCTCTTGTCATGTTTACCTTAAGGTCACGAGCGCCTTGGACATTATTTCCAACATCAACTATCCACTGGTCAATCTTTTCTTGTTCACGGACAAGCATATATTCAACCTGATTACCTGTTGAAAGAGCTTCTTTCAAGAGGCTTACCTGTTGCTGAAGAAGCGATTTTGAGTGATTAACATCAGCTGATCTGATCGCAATTTCCTCTTTTGATTTTGCTTCCCTGATTGTTGATTTTAACTCATTCCATTGAGACAATAGCGGCGATAAATTTGACTGAATATTGTCAAATATGTTTGCCTGCCAGCCGACAATTTGTACCAATACATTACCAAGGATGTGATCAATGTTCATACGGAAATCAGAATATTTTATGTTTTCAATCAATTCCCATGATTCGGTTACTGGTTCAACGGGTGGAGCGACAGTTGTTGCGAGTACTAATTCCGTTGGTGGTGGTTGTTCAGCCGGTGGTTGTTCGGGTACTGGTTGTGATTCCGGCGGTGGCTGTTCAGCCGGTGGTTGTTCACCTTCACCTTCAGCTCGAATCGAGGTTGAAATTACTGTTCATTGGAAAACAATTAGAATTTAATGTTTGTTTGTTTGTTTTTTCCTTCGACGATTAAGTTTAATTATTGACAATTTATATGAATCGACTTACCTAAAATAAGAACGAGAAAATTAATCAACTTCATGTTGATCTAAAATTAAACAATTAATGTTTTCCAAAATGAAAGGATTAACCAAATAAATTGTTTTCGCTACACTTTGTCTGAGGAGTTAATTGTTTCGTTATCATTAATTTGATTAAAAAGTCAATGATCAAAGGTTTCAAATAATCAATGATAATTGTCAGGAATTGATTGTTTTCAATGTTAATCATGTTATTTGGTCTCTTGAACAGTCAAAGATAATCCAAAATTGAAAACAAAGTTAATCAAACAATAGTTTTCAGCTGATAAATGATAATCAGATTAATAAATGTAAATAAATTGTCAAGATTGATTGATAAAATCAGAATGATTCTATTAACTTATTTATCAATTAGACAATTTCCAAAATAATTTAACCTTGGAAATAGCAAAAGGTGAAACAAGAAATACTTGAACTGGAAATTAGATTAACTAAATTTCCAAAATTTCCGTCACAATTAATCAGAGTAAATCTTTAAAGGTAAATGTTGACGGCAATTTTTCTGGTCAATAAGATTGAAAAATATTGCATCTCATTTTTTTCCCATTGCAAATGAATTTCACATAGAGAGAGAGAGAGAGAGAGAGTCATAACAACTTTGGCAAAGAGTAATAAGCTATTACTCTTTGAACTTTGGCCAGGTACTAAACCAGTTTTAGTACCTGGCCAAAGTGACCTCATCTTCCCCTACAACTTTGCCCCTTCTCTCTCTCTTATTTCCCTTTTCCTCTCCGCCATTTTTTAAGTAGTGGAGTTGGCACCTTTATGGTGACCAACACGTTTAATTCTGTGTATTTTCCTTGATTCAATGTGTATCACCATGTTCATCTCATTTGATTAATTTCTATTAAATATATATATTGGTACATTTATTTGTGTTTCATCCTAAACCTTTAGAAGTTTTTTGAAAGTTCTGCTATTATTAATTGATATTACTGTGCAATGATAAAGTCCAATGGTGAATCGTATTGTGGAGACAAGAGAGAGAAATATATGCAAGTATGATGATGATGGTGGTGATGTTACAAGTCACCTTGAATCAGGTGATCATCATGCATTCGAAAGTTTTCCTTCTTCTTTATTCAGAGTTATCCTGTTTCTCCCTCCCTCCCTCTTGCTCTCTCACGCCCCACTCACCCGATCAGCCCATCGAACCACGCTAATTAACCTGTTCGGCTGGATAATCAACAAGCCTCTTTCTCTCTCTCTCTCTCTCTCTCTCTCTCTCTCTCTCTCTCTCTCTCTCTCTCTTTCTCTTTATCTCTCTGTCTCTTACACATTTTCCATAAGCTCTTGAAGCTGAATGAAAAAAAACGTGGATAGATGAATCATCTGAAACGGTAACACAATTAAATTAGATAGTTGAACATTTAGATAATGTTGACATAATATTGTATAATTACCTGGGGCAATATTTAAGTTATCTTGTTATTGTCGTTTTTTATCATCACCTTAATTGTTTGACTTTCAGTCTCATCTTTTTGTTTTAGATTAAATAGTTTTCTGGTTGATTAAACTTATATATATAAATATCAGTTGACGGCGGTGAATCTATTAATATTAACTAACGATTAGTTTATCAATTGAACATCAAGATAAACACTTGAGATGCAATAATTGTAAGTGATGAGTTGTCCTCCTTATTGATAACCATTCAAATGTTTCAAACTAGACGAAAGAAATTAATTGTTAGCCATTTGCAAGCATATTATTGAAATGATGACGAAGAACAAGAAATCAACTTAATCAATTGAATGAAGAAAAAAAAAGTTAATCTCAGCGATTATCTAATCTCAATGAGAATCTTTCCAAATGTTTTGTCTTGTAATTAAATCAAAATCAAAATCAATGTTCACATGGATTTTCAATGTTAATGGGATGATCATCATCGGATGTTTAAGTGTATCAATGACTAGAAGAAAAGAAGATAATAAAAAAGAGAGAGAGAGAGAGAGAGAGAGTAATAAGCTATTACTCTTTGAACTTTGGCCAGGTACTAAACCAGTTTTAGTACCTGGCCAAAGTGACCTCATCTTCCCCTACAACTTTGCCCCTTCTCTCTCTCTTATTTCCCTTTTCCTCTCCGCCATTTTTTAAGTAGTGGAGTTGGCACCTTTATGGTGACCAACACGTTTAATTCTGTGTATTTTCCTTGATTCAATGTGTATCACCATGTTCATCTCATTTGATTAATTTCTATTAAATATATACATGTATATTGGTACATTTATTTGTGTTTCATCCTAAACCTTTAGAAGTTTTTTGAAAGTTCTGCTATTATTAATTGATATTACTGTGCAATGATAAAGTCCAATGGTGAATCGTATTGTGGAGACAAGAGAGAGAAATATATGCAAGTATGATGATGATGATGGTGATGTTACAAGTCACCTTGAATCAGGTGATCATCATGCATTCGAAAGTTTTCCTTCTTCTTTATTCAGAGTTATCCTGTTTCTCCCTCCCTCCCTCTTGCTCTCTCACGCCCCACTCACCCGATCAGCCCATCGAACCACGCTAATTAACCTGTTCGGCTGGATAATCAACAAGCCTCTTTCTCTCTTCATCATCTTCTCTCTCTCTCTCTCTCTCTCTCTCTCTCTCTCTCTCTCTCTCTCTTTATCTCTCTGTCTCTTACACATTTTCCATAAGCTCTTGAAGCTGAATGAAAAAAAACGTGGATAGATGAATCATCTGAAACGGTAACACAATTAAATTAGATAGTTGAATTGTTGACATTTAGATAATGTTGACATAATATTGTATAATTACCTGGGGCAATATTTAAGTTATCTTGTTATTGTCGTTTTTTTATCATCACCTTAATTGTTTGACTTTCAGTCTCATCTTTTTGTTTTAGATTAAATAGTTTTCTGGTTGATTAAACTTATATATATAAATATCAGTTGACGGCGGTGAATCTATTAATATTAACTAACGATTAGTTTATCAATTGAACATCAAGATAAACACTTGAGATGCAATAATTGTAAGTGATGAGTTGTCCTCCTTATTGATAACCATTCAAATGTTTCAAACTAGACGAAAGAAATTAATTGTTAGCCATTTGCAAGCATATTATTGACAATGATGACGAAGAACAAGAAATCAACTTAATCAATTGAATGAAGAAAAAAAAAAGCTTAATCTCAGCGATTATCTAATCTCAATGAGAATCTTTCCAAATGTTTTGTCTTGTAATTAAATCAAAATCAAAATCAATGTTCACATGGATTTTCAATGTTAATGGGATGATCATCATCGGATGTTTAAGTGTATCAATGACTAGAAGAAAAGAAGATAATAAAAAAGAGAGAGAGAGAGCGAAAAATATTAATATCCATAAGAAGAAGAAGATACAAAATGTCTCAATGGAAAAGAGATAATTAAAGAAAAGAGAGAGAAAAAGAAAGAGAAAATTTTACATACCTTAGAATAAGAAAATGAAAAAAAAGCTAAACAAAGAGAAAGAGAATAAACAAAAGTGAACATTGTAGATAAAAGAAAAACAAAGATAAAGGTGATGAAGATGAAGAGAAAAGTGATTAGCATGAAGATGAAGATGAAGATAATGATGATGTTTAAAAAGAAAGAGAAGAGAAAAAGTTAAAAGAAAGAAAAGAAAGAAAGAAAATCACATTTCCAAGAGAAGAAAATGAAGAGAAAGAAAGAGAATAAAAGTGTCGACAGAAAAGTCGAAAGAGGAGGTGTTTCTCTTTCGCATGTTCTCTTTTCCCCCTTAACTCATTTTGTTCACATTCTAAAAAGAGAAAAGGGGGAAGATCGAATTCTGATTGGTTAAGAAAAAAAGATCACCTGAGCTTCTTTGCTGTTTGTTCATGCAACTTTTTCACTCTTTCAACTGTTGTTTTCATGGTATTAAAAGATCATTCCAACGTTCAGATCCAACCGATGTAGATGAAACTCTGAGTTTGTTAATAATCTATTCATTTTTTTTTTGCTTCTTCCAAATCAACTCAACACCACCACAATCACCACCACCACTACAACAATAATCCACCACCACCACCACCACCATCAGCAACTTTACCTTTAACACCACAACTTATTTTACTTTTTTCTCCTTGTGTGTGTATTTTTTCTCATCACAATTAACTTTGATTTTCCACCATCAATCTAATTAACAAGCAAATCAACACCATCACTTTCCTCACTTTTCTCTCTCTCTCTCTCTCTCTCGTGTGACACATTAGTTTATTCTATTCTTTTTTCCCCATTTTTCTCTTTTCACCCACTTTTCCTTTTTCTCTCTTTGGCTTTAACCTCTACGGTGTTTCCGCCTTTGTGAAATAATCTCATTATTCCCTCATTTTTTTTTCGACTCCATTTTGTTGATTAATTGTTACATATATTTAATAATATATATTCTTGTTGAAATTATTCCCTGAGAAGAAAAATTTTGTTATTACCTACACATTAGTCGTTTTAATTGTTGTTCAAATCAAAGGAATACGTTTATTAAGGTGAGTCCATTTTTCTGCAAAAAAAAATTCTATTCTATTTTCAATCATCAATGTTTCATAATCAATTGATTACTTTGGTATAATCTTTCAATTTATCTTTCATCTTTTCTTCTGATGATCAGTCATTTTTTTTTTCTTCTACTCGTTTGTGTTTAATTGTCAAGTTTCTACTTGTTGACAGTTTCGTTTCTCTTTCTCTCTTGGTATGGCAGCGAAATGGTTTTCACTTTCTCTAATCACCATCAACGATTAACAGTTACTAATATAATTATCGCATGAAAATAATCTCCATTTATCACCATCATCAATTGTTTTTATCTTTTTCATTTAAAAGGCAAATGAAAGAGAGGAAGAGATAGAAGAAGAGAAGAAAAAACCCGCGCAACTAATATCATTAATCTAAGCTGCTAATTGTAATCATCATCATCATAATGTGTTTATTGTAATAGATTTAAAGGTGAGATTAAATTTAGAGAAGGAAATGATGATGACGATAAAATTGCATCTTCTTCACCCTAACTAACTTGTCTTTAAATGACCAAACGAAAATGTTAAACAATAATGATGATGATAATTATCGTAACGAAAATATTAGATGTTATTAGGTAATTACAATTACAATTTTCTTTTCTCGAAAAAGTTAAACTTTTACTTTTCGAAAAGTGAAATTTTCGCTTCTCTTCTTATATTACAGTTTCCTTTTGACCGCGAACTTTTCAGTTGACCTGAAAGCCAATTCATGCTAATTCTACGTTACCTCTTCTCTATCATAATGATAATAATCATCTCTCTCTCTCTCTCTCTCTCTCTCTCTCTCTAACACCTCCATTAGTTGACCTGTTCCTCTTTAACACTTCGTCTTCGAAGGTCAATATTTTCTTTCCGCATTGATATCCGTTGATGATTAGGTTGATAATCATGATTCTCTCTTCCTCTTTTCCTTTATAGTTAATAGTTGATGATAATTAAGATTTTGAATGTTTATCAACCATATTTTCACCTCCAATTGATTATCATGACGATAATTAAACTCTTTCTTCCTTAACTTATCTTTTCTTTTTTACTTATTTAAAATCATCTCATAAACTTAACCCAAAGCGTATAAATTGCGCTGAATTTTATGCTCACGTTGCGAAAATACTATTCGCCTCTTTCTCTCTTTTCTTTTTCCATCATTATCATCATGACTACCGCTTCTTCGTTTCACCCGATTGATTGTAGAAATATTATTTAGCTACGAATTAACTAATTCCTAAAACTTACCCTTTTTCGCATTGATTATATAATATCTTTTTCTTCGTGTGTCAAGCTTATTTTTTTTATTCTTTCTTCTCATTGAACCGATTCAACGTTACACTGAACAGTTACAATTTTCAAATTCTCTGAAACGAAAAGAAAGTGTCACCTTACTCTTCTCTTGATCTTCTTCTTTCATTAATCTTCTCTCTTCTCTATCATCATCACCTAATTATCATCCGAATACTTGTTATTATATAATAGATTCTCTTCTTACCTTCTATGTTCGTTGTTGTTTTTTTCTCTCTCTTCAACCATTATTCTGATTCGGGACAGGTTTTATCTCTCGGATCATTGATTGTCTTTTCATCATTCGAATCATGAGTTATCATGAGAAAGAACTGAAATTAGGAATCTTTTTCCTTGATTTACCTTTTTTTCCAATATAACGATTGATCCATATCGAGATCAAATAAGACCCAATTTTGTCAACTCTCTATAACTTTGATTGTCTTTTTCTCTAACAAAAAATCATTAGCACGTTATCATCTCATTTTGTCACCACTTTGATGATGACGATTATAAAAACAATGCGAATACGTTGTGAACAATAATGAGCGAATACAATTGATTCCAATTCTTTGATTTAATTGTTGATTCTCTTTGCAAAGTCATCGACTTTGATTTCGTTAAACTTACAATTAGCTAATATTTTAATGAAATCTCTTAATTGCTTACAATTAACCCCGAAGGTGTATTAGTTTATATATTTAAATACTTTTTACTTTTAGAGAATCGTTAATAAATTAATCAAGTCATATGATTATTTTTGTTTGATTATGTTGACAATTTATTAATTATCAACTTTGTTTTCTCTTACCATTAAACTAGTTTTTAAATGTTTCGTTGATTTTTATTAATTTTGTCTCGATCTTGATTGTATTGTTGTTAATTTGATTTGATTTACGATAATTGTTAGTTTATTATTTTCACCTTTATTAACAATTAAACTGGAAGTATAATTTGATTTAAATCATTTCCTTCTCGTTGATTAGTATATCATTAGTTTGATTTAGTTAATTGTGTGCGTTATTGGTTGATTAATAAATCGTTACAATAAATCAATAGGGTTTATTTTGAAACAATTAAGGTAATTTTTTGCACCTCTAAATATGATTAAGACAATTAACCAATAATTTAACTCCTCATGTGCTCAATTATATCATCTAATTGTAATTATGGCTAACTGATTGTAAGGAAACACACTCAATAACAATTAACCTGAAAAAAAAGATTCAAACAAAACTTTCAATCATTAACAATCAAAATACTTGATCATGATTACCAACAATTAATTGGTTCAAGTAATAAAAATTGATACCAATGATCAATTTCAATCCATATCCGCAATTAACGTTTTCTTTTAATTGTTGATTAAGATGAGTATTTACTTTAATCATTGCAATTTAAATCACCTCATGTTAATTGTTACCTTGTAAAGTGTTTGATTTAATTTCAATCAACTTGATTGTTAAACCCATTGTATAATTATTAATACCTTGAAAGTTAAACTATTGAAGGTTTTTAGCTTTGCTTGATAAGTTTTTTAAAGACAGAGATCATCAGATTTGATAACAATTAACATGATCATAATTAATTAACTTTCACCACAAAATTAACCATCAAAATTATCGTAAACTTAATCAGTAAACTTTTAAATGGTTCGTTAGGCTTGAAAATAGTGTTACAATTTAATCTTATCATGAAAATCTATGAGTTTTAATCAACGAAATTGAAACTGTTTATTGTAACCTTCTAACAATTAACAATTAACTGATTGTTTTGAGGTTGAATTGAAACTAATTGAGGAAAACTAAATAAACAATTAAATCGTACATTAAGATAGTATTCAATTTTAGATTATCTTGTTAACTATTTCCTTGTCATTTAACATTAGTTAATTATTAATCGTTGATATAATCAACTATTTCTCTCATGATTGTAAGTTAATTGTGATCATGAAACAATTAAAACTGTTGTTGAACTTTTTCCCATCAAATTAAGTCCAAAATTTGTATTAAGTATCCCATCAAAATTAATCTATTAATTGTTAATTTAATCGTTTACACAGAAAACTATTAATTGTAAAATAATTTACCATTTTATTATTTAACAATTAACTTAATCGTAAACAAATTAATCGGTTAATTGTCTCATGAATGAATATTAACACAATTATCCCGATGGAGATGATAATCAACCTTGATAATTATTCTGATTAAACTGATGATTACCCAAGGAAATTGATTTAGTTAACTACTGGTGACAGTTAATTGACAAGTGGTTGATTAATTAATCATAATCATATATTTCCAGTAGGTAAAAAGTTTTCCTTGTTACATTGAAACTAATTTAGCTGATTGTTGCCGTTTAACCAGCAATAATCATCGGATGATTATTATGATTAAATTGTTATTCTTCCAAATAACAATTTAATCGATAACTATGCCTCGATAATTGTACCATAATTAAATGATTGTAAACTTGATTAATGAATTATTGCTTAAGATTTGATTTCCAAATCAGTGAGCCTGAATTTTATATTCCAAAGACCTTGAATTGATGAGAGAAATTGGAAAATGTTTCCAATGATTAAAAAGCACCAATGATTTAATCTAAATCATGAACAACAAACTGAGATGAGGATAATAACGATAATGATAAAGGGGGAAAACGAGAATGATATTATTGATGGAAAGATTAATAACTTGATAAATTCTTAATATGATGATATTGATGAAGAATCGAGGAGAAAAAAAAACTTCTCGATTTAATCACTTTGCCCTTTCTCTCTCAATTACCATTTATTTTCGTCCTCATCACTTTGAATACACGTGAATTTGCCTTGAGGCAATTCTAGTTCTTATACTGATCCATTATAATCAATCTCTATGACCTTCCAAGGCTTAATATCTTGATATCATGTTTTTTATTCTCATAATTCTGATCCTCATCATCATCATCATCATTCATGCTTTTTGTTTTCAGTTCTTTTTCCATGTTTTCTCCTCAATTTCCCAACTGAATTGGAAACTTTGAAGGTTAAGAAGAGAGAGAAAAACATTCTCGTTGTTATGTGAAAACGTTTCTTGGTGACAGTTTATTGTCATTGAGTGTCTTTAATTATATATTCACAACGAGAAACTATCATTTTAATAACCGTAGTTGTTAATCACTTAAATTGTTTTCTTGAATTACTCAGGTTGATGTGTATAATTTTCACCATGCATGTTCACCTCTCTCACGAATCATCAGCCTGAGTCCGAAACAGTCTACTGATGAAAGTTTAACGGACTAGTTGATGAGGGAGATTAATTGTCACTCATCTTTATTTCATTATGATGATGATGATCATCTTAATCATATTATATTTATATATACAATCGTCGTGATCTATTGAGTAACCAGAATGGGATGATTATCTTTTTGTATATTAGTGTCTTAGGGAGCTAATGACAATTAACTGATTGCTTGGTGTTCGTGATTTATCAATTTGTTGATTTGGGAGAAGAAAAAAATTTATATATTATATAATTTAGCGTTTGAGGATAATTGTTAATCATGATGATTGAAATGCTATCGATCAGTTTCAGATGAATGATCTAAATGAATACTTTGTGTGTTAAATTGAGGCTTGGATTGTGATTGAAGTGGGAAAAGTTTAAGACTCTCTTGATTATTTGTATCAACAATTGATTGTTAAAGATGATGATGACAATCAACTGATGAGCCTCATCAATTGTACTTTTAAAATTGATACTGAATTGAGTTAAATACATTTTAAAAGCTTTTTAACAGGTAAATCAATTGGATATGATTGAGAAATTGATATCAATTGATACAATTTTTTAACTAATTTGACCTCTAATTGTTGTTAATTGTAATTAAGTTTGATTTTGTTGTGATTTTTCAACAAGATTGATACTTGAATGATAATATTTAATAAATTGTCTGCTAATCAATTCAATATATCAGTTGTCATAAATTTTACCAACCGACAAGGAAAGGTTTCTAATTTTGTAATAATTAACTAATTGTATGTTACGTACAAGGTAAAATTAAATTAATTGTGCTCCAAGTTTTTAATTGTAGGCGGAAAAAAAATTATTCAATTGTGATTTACAATTTGATTCACTTTTTAACTTGGCAACAATTAAAACTCACTATTGTGTCTGGTTATCCTTGTTGAGGAAGATTTTTCATTATTTGAATTGGTAACAATTAACTAATCAATCATTTTTATCAACTCAATTTCTTATCATTTAATTTAACCATTGGTTCCTTGTAATTGTTTATTTTTTGCTATTCGATAACTTGACTAGTCAATAATTAACCAATAATTAACTAATCAATGCCTCGATCTAACTGAAAAACGATATCAATGGTGATGAAGAAAAAGATGAGATAAAAATGAAGGTGAAAACCAATAGGGATCAAAGGTAAAGTGTTGACCTTTTCCCTATCACCATCTTCATCTTCATCATCTTTTAAACAAGTTATTGATTAGTTTGTTTACCTTTTAAACGAAATGACCTTTAATTGAAAGAGTAGAAAGTTTTTTCGGTTTATTCGTTCAAATTTCAATAGAATTTTTTTCAAAATAATTCTAAGACTAATTCGAAGCCGAAACATCGTTGAATCGTTGGTAAGATGAATTAGAGAAACTTTTAATAATTTCGTTGCGAAAAGAGAGAGAGAGAGGAAAAGAAAACAGGAGAAAGAAAGAGAGAAACGAGAGTGGCGACTCTCGTGAGATTTATCTCCAAACAGCTCTCTTTTCAGGAGATCGCTCTCACTTCTTATATTACTCTTTGCAGTGGCGACTCTCGTCAGATCGAAGTCTCTTATATTACTCTTTGCTTGAATTTCACTTTCATTCTGCTCTTTGATTCAGTTTAGTTTCAAGTTTCTTCAGAAAATTGTCATCACATTGAAAGATTTCAACCGTTGATTTGATTGTTTTACGATTCTTGTTTCTAATCTTATGATTAACTGATTGTTTTTCTTTTCTTAGGTTTAATTTACTATCTGAAAAATGCCTTCGGTTGAAGAAACAAAATCAACTACTCCCGAATGGGAGATGACTGAAGATATCGTTATCTCTGGAGTTTCAGGTCGTTTCGCTGAATCTGACAATATCGACGAACTTGCCAAAAATTTGTTTGACAATGTTGACATGATTACAGAGGACGATCGACGATGGCCTTTAGGTGAGTCCATTTGTTGGTGTTAAATTGCCGGAGATTAATTGTTTTCTTTTTTGTTTGTTTTCAGGTTTATATGGACTTCCAACTCGAAGTGGTAAAATTAAGGATCTATCAAAGTTTGATGCTCAATTTTTCGGTGTCCATGGTAAACAGGCCAATCTTATGGACCCTCAAGCTCGAATGTTGCTTGAATTAACTTATGAAGCTCTTGCCGATGCTGGTGTTAACCCACATTCACTTAGAGGAACTCGAACTGGTGTCTATGTTGGTGCCTCCGTTTCCGAGGTCGAAGAGGGTTTGGCCCAAGATGTTTCCAAGGTTTCAGGATATGCGCTGACCGGTTGTTCTAGATCAATGTTTGCCAATCGTATCTCTTATACCTTTGACTTTCAAGGTCCTTCTTATGCCATAGATACCGCTTGTTCATCATCCTTTTTGGCCTTCCAACAAGCCTTATTGGGTCTTCGATCAGGCCAATGTGACCAAGCCATTGTCGGTGGTGTATCAATTTGTCTTCGACCAGTTTCTGCTCTTCAATTCCACAAGCTTAACATGCTTTCCAATGAAGGTAAATGTAAACACATGGACGCAACTGCCGATGGTTACGTACGATCTGAAGCTTGTTCCGTTGTTTTCCTCCAACGAAAATCGGATGCTAAACGTATCTATGCCACCGTTATCCACTCAAAGACCAACACTGATGGGTACAAAAAGGAAGGTATTACTCACCCTTCACGAGACGCTCAACGTGACCTGATGAACGAGGTTCTTCAAGAATCAGGGGTAAACCCACTTGAGGTCAATTTTGTTGAAGCTCATGGAACTGGTACCAAACTTGGTGATCCAATTGAAATCGATGCCATTGCCGAGGTTTATTGTCAAGGTCGATCTGAACCACTTCTTATCGGTGGTGTCAAGTCAAACTTAGGTCACACTGAGCCCGCTTCAGGTCTCTGTTCATTAGCCAAAGTTTTGATTGCTTTTGAGAATAAAAATATTCCCGCCAATCTACACTTTAACGTTCCCAATTCCGACATTAAGCCACTAGTTCGAGGTCAAGTTAAACCAGTCATCGAAAATACCCCTTACAATGGTGGTATTGCCGCTATCAACTCTTTCGGTTTTGGTGGTGTCAATGTTCACGCACTTATTAAATCAAATGACAAAGAATTAACTGATGATTCGTTCAAAATATTCGGCTCAATTCCTCGAGTTGTAACCATGTGCGGGCGAACTGAGGAAGGTGTCAACTCTTTCTTTGACTTTATCGAGAAAAATCCCCAACGAGTAACCAAAGAGTTCTTAGCTTTGGTCTCTGAGGTTTCCAAGGTTCCCGCAACCACCGGTATGAAGCATCGTGGTTACATGATAATGAAAGAGCAAACACAGGAAACACCCGAACCTAATCAACGAGAAATCGTTCGAGTACCCGAAGCTGGACCAATCTGGTTCGTCTTCTCTGGTATGGGATCCCAATGGCCAGCGATGGCTAAAGCTATGATGCCAATTAAGATCTTCTCTGATGCTATCGACGAATGTGCTGAAATCGTTAAACCTTATGGAGTTAATCTTCACCATCTTCTCATGGAAGATGATGAAAAAGCTTTGGACAATATTATCGCTCCTTTCGTCTCAATCGCCGCCGTACAAATTGGTCTAGTTGATGTTATGAGAGCCATTGGAATTGAACCCGATGGTATTGTAGGTCATTCCGTCGGTGAATTAGGTTGTGCTTATGCTGATGGTTGTTTCGATCGACGACAAATGATGCTCTCTGCCTACTGGAGAGGTAAATGTGTCGATAACTACAAGAATCACGAGAAAGGTTTAATGGCCGCCGTTGGATTAGGATGGGAAGAGTGTTCAAAACGTTGTCCAGCTGAAGTTGTTTGTGCTTGTCACAACTCTGAAGATTCAACAACGATCTCTGGTCCATTCAGCGTGGTTAAAAAGTTTGTCGCTGAGCTTAAAGCTGAAAACATTTTCGCTCGTGAGGTCAAATCTTGTGATATCGCTTTCCACTCTCCTACATTGGTCCAATTGGTCCCGATCTTTGCGAGAAACTCAAGGATGTCCTTAAACCACCAAAGGCTCGATCACCCAAATGGATTTCATCTTCCGTTCCTGAAGAACGATGGGGCGATGAAGATGCCAAATACTCTGCACCCGCTTATTATGTCAACAATCTTGTCTCCCCTGTACTCTTCCAAGAGGCTCTTAAATTTGTCCCCAAAAACGGTGTCTTTATTGAGTTTGCACCACACACTCTTCTCCAGGCCATTCTTAAACGATCACTTGGACCCGAAATGGTCTATCTTGGTCTCATGAAACGAAATGGAAATGCTGATAATCTTGATTATTTCTTATCAAGTTTGGCTAAACTTTACACTCTTGGATTTAATCCTAAAATTGAAAATCTTTACCCCAAAGTGGACTATCCCGTTCCTCGAGGTACTCAATCTCTTGGTTCACTCATTAGATGGGATCACACTCAATCCTGGTTGGTTACTCAATATCCTGAATATTTCAATCCCTCATCATCATCTGATTACGTTGTCAAGGTTGACCTTAATGAAGTCGATGACCAATACCTTGAAGGTCATTGTATCGATGGTCGTATCCTTTTCCCTGCAACAGGTTACCTTATGTTGGCCTGGAAAATGTTAGCCAAGATCAAGGGTCGTTTCCATGACAAGATTCCAGTTGAATTTGAAAATGTTGTCCTTCAACGAGCGACCATTTTACCCAAAAATGGACAAGTTAAATTTGTAATTCGAATGATGGAAACTTCTGGTGAATTCTCAATCTCCGAAGGAGGTGCGATCGTTGCCACTGGTAAAGCCACTGTTCCAGAAGAACCCGTTCTCAAAATGACTCACATTTTGGAAGAGACTTTAGCCGAACCAACCAAGCCCGAAGTAATTACTCTTTCTGCCAAAGATATTTACAAAGAATTCAGAATTCGTGGTTACGATTACGGTTCAACTTTCCAAGGATTAAAAGAAGCCTCTGACGATGGTCGAAAAGGTAGCATTTCATGGACCGGTAATTGGATCTCATTTGCCGATTCACTTCTTCAACTTGGAATCATCGGTAAATCCACGGGCTCTTTTCCTTCCAGTCCGGTTCCAATCAGTTCGATGTGACCCAATGCTCCTTATGTCCAAAGTTGCCGAAGGTGGTGATTTCCCTGTTGCTCATGATCCTCGAATCAACGTTATTGTTACTCATGGTCTTGAATTCCGTGGCCTCAAAACCAACATCGCACCTCGACGACAAGGCGCTCAAAGTCCAATCATTGAGAATTACTCTTTCATTCCAAACGATGAGACCGACGCTTTAACCAAATCCGACAAATCCGAAGTCGATGAATACCTTCAAGTTTGCTCAACCCTCGCATCCAAGGTACTCGCCTCTTCCGGTAAAGCTGAACGGGAAGTCATGAACGGTTTCAAAGTCGCTTCAGATGATCTGATTGGTCACTACTTGAACGGACCACCAACCGACTTTGCCCTACTCCATGCCCTTAATGGAGTCGCTAACGATGTTAAATCGACATCATTCGATGACAAGGTCGCTAATTCAGTCGCTAAATTCAAGTCGGATCTTCACAAAGATTTACTTGCAAACGTTTATACTCGTGAACGTTTCCTTCGACCCGCTCTTGCCTTGATTGCAGAAAATGTAAGCACCAATGTCAAGGTTACCGAAGTCAACGGATCAAATTCTCTTCTTTATAATTCAGTCAAAGAATATCTTGACCTTTCCCGATCAAAGATCGATTATTCAATCGCTCATCCCTCACCTGCTGACCTCGAAAATGCAAGTGCATTGGAAACTGAAACAACTCTCGCCTCCTGGTCCCTTGGAGACTCACCCGTTCCCGCTGAATTGGAAAACGCTGATCTAGTTATTTACAAAGACTCTTCAGCTTATGCTCCAGGTCAAAAGTCAGCTGGATTAAACAATATCCTCACTGGATTAGTCGGATTGACCAGAGAAAATGGTTTTATCCTTGTCGCCTTACGAAACAGTTTAACTCCCCCTGAGGCTGTTCTTTACGGTAAACCCGCTAAAGATCAAGCGGCCGAATACATTTCAACCGCTTCCTCATTGGGTCTCACTTTGATTAGTCAAAAATCTGACGGACTCTCATCATCAGTCCTTGTCTTCCGCAAGTCCTCACCCAAATCAGCTGCTGACCAAACCATCGTCTCAATTGATACCTTCAATTACGGTTGGGTTGATGAATTGAAACGAAAGGTTAAAGAGTACGAAACTAAGCCCGAAGGTCACAACATTTGGCTTGTAGCTCAAGATTCACCTCTTAATGGTGTCGTTGGTTTAGTTAACTGTTTACGTCTTGAACCTGGTGGATCACATATTAGGTGCATTTACCAAGGCACTTCCTCGACTGCAAAGGTTGATTTTACCAAAGAACCTTTTGCTTCATTGTTGAAGAAAAATCTTGTGATGAACATTTTCCAAGGTTCGACTCTTGGTTCTTATCGACATGTTTGCATGAAAAACATTGAGGAAGATGGAGTTCGAGAAACAACCGATGCTTATCTCAATGTAATGACTCGAGGTGATTTATCATCTCTCCGATGGTTCGAGGCGAATCACAAGTATTCTGGTCTTACCGCTAAAGATCAACTTTGCCATGTTTACTATGCACCACTTAACTTCCGTGATATTATGTTGGCCACTGGTAAATTACCTCCCGATGCACTTCCAGGTGATCTTGCTCTTCAAGATTGTATCTTGGGTCTTGAATTTTCTGGACGAGATTCAAGAGGTCGTCGAGTTATGGGTATGACACCCGCTCGAGGTATGGCCACAACTGTCGTTGTAAATGATCCTGAATTTATCTGGGAAATACCATCAAGTTGGTCCATGGAAGAAGCATCAACCGTTCCCGTTTGTTATTCAACCGCTTACTATGCACTTATAGTTCGAGGTAATCTTCAACCTGGTGAATCGGTACTCATCCACTCAGGTTCGGGTGGAGTTGGTCAAGCTGCCATTTCTATTTGTTTATCGATGGGTTGTCAAGTTTTCACCACCGTTGGTACAAAAGATAAACGTGAATTCTTGAAGAAACATTTCTCACAATTGAAAGATCGTAACATTGCCAATTCCCGAAACACCAGTTTCGAACAACATGTTCTAAGAGAAACCAAAGGTCGAGGTGTCGATGTTGTACTCAACTCACTGGCCGAGGAAAAACTTCACGCTTCGATTCGTTGTCTCGCTCAACATGGTCGATTCTTAGAGATCGGTAAATATGATCTTTCACAAAACAATCCAATCGGAATGGCCGCTTTCCTTAAGAACATTGGTTTCCACGGTATCCTTTTGGACTCACTTTTCACCGGTGGTAAAACACCCGCTACCTCATTGATCGCTCAAAAACAAATGGTCGCTCAACTCGTTAAAGAAGGAATCAAAACCGGAGCCGTTAAGCCACTTAACCGAACCGTTTTCGGTGTAAACGAAGCTGAATCTGCTTTCCGTTTTATGGCCTCAGGTAAACACATTGGTAAGGTTATCCTTAAGGTTTGCGATGAGGAACCAACACCCGTCACTCCACCAGTAAGTGTCTCTATTCCGGCCATTGCTCGAACCATTTTCTATCCCAACAAGAGTTACATTCTTGTCGGTGGTCTTGGTGGTTTTGGTTTAGAATTAGCCCATTGGATGGTTGATCGAGGTGCCCGACACCTTATTCTTACCTCAAGAAGTGGACCTCGAGAAGGTTATCAATATCTTGCCGTTAAACGACTCAAAGCCTTAGGTGCCAATGTCGTTGTCTCACAAATCAATTGCTCAACCGAAAAAGGTTCCCATGAATTGATTGACTTGGCCAAATCATTCGGACCCGTTGGTGGTATTTTCAACCTTGCATTGGTGCTTAAAGATTCACTCTTTGAAAATCAATCACCCGAAGCATTTGTTGCCGTTGGTGAACCTAAAATTAAGGGTACCCACTATTTGGATGCCGTCTCAAGAAAATCGTGTCCAAACCTTGACTATTTCGTCGTCTTCTCATCAATCTCCTGTGGCCGAGGTAACGCAGGTCAAACCAATTATGGTTTCGCTAATTCAGTTATGGAAAGAATCTGTGAACAACGAACCAAAGACGGTCTTCCCGGTAAAGCCATTCAATGGGGCGCTATCGGTGATGTTGGTGTTATCCTCGAAACTCTTGGTACCAATGATACCGTTATCGGTGAATCAATTCCTCAACGAATTCCATCTTGCATGTCATGTCTTGATCGTTTCCTTCAATCTCCTTACACTGTTTGCTCAAGTTTCATTCGAGATGCTTCCGCATCTTCAACTGGTCCCAAAGCTTCATCTAAAAGTGACCTTATCAGTGCCGTGGCTCATGTCATGGGTGTTAAAAATCCTGCCTCTCTCCATCCTTCACTGTCTCTTAGTGAATTAGGTTTAGATTCATTGATGGGAGTTGAAGTTAAACAAACCCTGGAACGAGATTATGATCTTATCCTTTCCATGGTTGAGGTTCGAGCCTTGACCGTTCGTCAATTAAAGGAAATCAGTGCGGGTAATAGCAGTGTCCTTCGTGACGAGGCCTCAGCAGCAGCGGGCGATGTTGACCTTACAATGCCTGTTATCTCAATTCCTAATCGGGTCGATGTAAGGTTGAACGATGCTACTGAGGGAAAACCAATTTTCTTCCTTCCACCAATCGAAGGTACCTTTAATTTATTAACTCCACTGGCCAAATTACTCTCAAGGCCAGTTATCGGTCTTAACTGGACTAGTGCAGTAACCAAATTAAACACCCTCGAAGAAGCAGCCTCTTTCTTCATAAACGAATGTCGTAAACATCAAACCGAAGAATCTCTTGACCTGGTCGGTTATTCATTTGGTTCCGTTGTGGCCTTTGAAATGGCCAAACAAGCAACCGTTGATAATCTCATCCTATTGGACGGATCACCCGTACTTTTTAAACACTTTGCCAAACAATGGCGCATCAAAGCGGGCGCTAATGATGCGGTTGAACAAGATGTTGAAGCTTTAGTTGTTTTCTTATCTCAATTGGTGCCAGTTGATTATATTAAGACGAAAACCGAACTTGCTGAAATTAAGGATAAAGATGATCGAGTTGCTCGAGCAGCCCAATTATACGCCGATAATGGTGGACCTTCATGCGAAGCGGCTGACCTCGCATTCGCGTCCGAATGTTTCGTCCAAAAATCAACCCTGGTGCTCAAATATAATGAAGAGACACAAGCAAAACCAACCAATTCAGTCCTTTTAATCAGAGCCGATGAGGAATTAGTTAAAATTGATGATTGTCCGAAAGACTATTTCTTATCTAAGGTAAGTTAACAATTAACCCAAATGATTAAATTAAAAGTCATTTGGACATGTTAATCATAATTGATATTAATTGATTGATTCATCTTTTCATTTACAGTCTGTCGATGGCGATGTAACCGTTAAAGTTTTCAAAGGAAATCACAAATCATTCCTGAGTAATAATCTAAGAGACATTGCCATGGCCATGAACAATAGATTTTAAGCAATTTAATTAACAATTAACCATTAATGGATATAAACAATTTACTTTTCATCTCCTATCAATTATCACTTTATTGCAATTAACTTGTGGTCGGCGGACAATTATTGTTGTTGCCAAAACAAAAGACAAAATCACACAACGAAAACAATTTATGATTAACTATCAAATTAATTAATTATCAAGGTAACTAAATATAAATATTATGTATTTTTGGGAAAAACAATTTGCTATGACCTGTGGTGGGTTATTGTTTGGATCAAGCAAAAGAAAAACAATCAAATTTAATTGTTTCTACACTTTTCCCTCTAATATAATTAAAGAAATGATTATTTTCAATTAATAAATTGGAAAAATAAATTTTCATTGTTTAAGGTAATTTGTTTATGATATTTAAATTGTGATTAACTGATTTATTTTGTCAATTACTTTGGGAGTGTGAGTGTATTTTGGTTAATCAAAAAGCGAAACAGAAAATCAACAATTAACACAATCAAGATGATAAGTTAACTGTTCAGATTTCTGATAAATTTGTAAAAACTTTTTCCCACTCATAGATAATTTAGTTAATTGTGATTGGAGTTTTAAACGATATTACAAATTGAACAGTTTGATATACGATTGTTGTTACTTGGATTGTTGGTTAATCGAGAGATCACTGAGATTTCATCACCGGAATTATCTTCAACTACTCTTTCCATAGCATAATAATCAACCATCTAGAATGAGAGAGATGGACAATTAGTATATTTGATTGGCGGAAAAAATTGATTGATTGTTACCTCATCGGGTTCGGTTGAAGTTGTTGGCCTTTCTTGTTGTAAATTTGGACTATCTGATCGTAAATCGGGTGTTATTGTGGTCAAACTTAATCTCGGGTCACTTGACCTCGGATAAAATAAATGATTTAAAGTTTGATTACGATTAGGAATTGAAGAATCGGGATTACCAGCGATACAACGGGAAATCGTGTTGAGAATATCTCGAAATCGAGTCTCCGAATCTCCATTTTTACCAATACCTCCGTGACCTCCGACACCTAAAATTGGAAAGACAATTAAATTATTTGTACGATTTAAATGCAAATTTTCCTTATAATGAATAGTTTTAATTACCACATAAATCAACAAATACGAGGGAGCTCATGACCACTGCCATCGGTCCTGGCGGAGGCCAAGGCGTTGGTTCGAGCATAACGGGCAATATTGGTTTACGAAGGACATCGGCAAGGGTCACCTCGCGAGCGCAAATTCGTGAGGAAGCATAACGAGGTGTGAGACACGCGATTATAACTCGAGCTTTGCTAATCCCTTCATAGATTTTACCATAGAGCGAGTCACCTCCACCCATAAGGCCAATGTCCATCCAGCACGGAAAACCAGCCATTTCCAATCGACGTCTTAGATCAAGGACAAGTTTCTGGGAGTCCCATTGGTAACTAAGGAAAACTGGTGGTGCTGTACCGATCGGCTGTAAATCGACCTCAATTATTTGTCTTACATCTTCCCGCGAAATCATTTGCAAACAAGACATTAAAACATCGATACAATAACGAGTTCGTCCATTACTTTCAAACCAATCGTGAATCAACGCGAGCGAAGGTGAGACATCGTCAATCAAACGGGCGACATCTTTATCGGTATAACCCAAGCGACGAGCCAATGCTAACCAATCACGACCTGGACTTGAATTGATCAACATTTTGGCCGCATCTCTCATCCAAAGGGGCTCGAGTCGGAAAATATCCTCGTACGTGTTAATATAAGAGTGTTCATATAAAGATAAAGCCGAATCGTCGGTCATACCTGAGAAATGACCAGAAGCTAAAGTGAAAGAGAGACAGATAAATATGGAATGGAAAACAATGTTAGTCGCTTCAATCAAACTCGATCTGTGAAGTGGACCTACTTGAAGTATTAAAATATGGCAAAACGGGAAAATATTTTTGGACAAAATTTGTGCGGATTTGTCGGTAATCACATTCAACGACCTTTTTACTGAGACACTTATTTAAAGGGATAAAATGGAGACAGTTCTCTTCGGTGCAACATTTTCTCATATGATCTTTGCAGATCAGATCACAAGGACAAGGCACTTCGAGCGAGTAAATTATCCGTCGATAGTAACAATTTTGTAACGTTTCCATTTCACTTTCGATAAGATGACGAGACTGTGAGAAAGAAACGAAAGAAAATAATTAATCAATGTAATTCGAACTGGTCAAGTTAATTGACTTCTCACCTTGACACAGACATTAGGAGCGGGTCCAATGAAACTTGGGTCAAGTTCACTTCCAACGGTGTCGTAAATTTTGATAATTATGATAAAAAAACGTCGACGAGCTAAATTAACCTTAATAACTAAATCGTGATCAAAATCAACCGCTAGCCTCGCCCAACTATGCCAAGTTTCTGGCCTTCGACCCCAGCCTTGTCTCCAAGACCAACGACATAAACGGACAACCAGTCGAGAGAAAAGGCCAATCGGTAAAAGATTTTTAAAATTAATCGAAAATTTAAAAGAATTGAGTAATTCTAATGCGATCGCCTGTTGATCGGTGACCAGAAAATCGGAATCTCGATTAACTTGAGCTATCCAGGGGAAAAGGTAAACCTTCGGGTGAACCCGAAGCGAGGCCATATCGTTAACCTCTTCAAGATCGAAGCCACTTCCAAGTTCACAAATTATGTCCAATTTCTCGAGGCAACCAAGAAGAACCGTTTTATGTTCAATAAACTCCTTCCATGATTCGGTGATCACTTGATCGGTCAATATTCCCGTTATCCGTCCAGAATCATTTGGATCACAAGGCGTAATTGAAGCTACTTGACATAATTGATAGAAACAATTGACAAACCAAACTGGATCAAGAACAATTAACATCTCACTCGGATTGGAATAAGTTGATTTAAATAGGAACAATCGACCGGAAAGATGATAAAAATGTAGAATCGCCTGAAGAGTTTCCATTGATTTAATATCACCGATATGAACTTTCGTCAATTCGTAAATTTGACTCAGATCAACAAAATGAATTCCCTTTCGAACCAATTTATCAATAATCGAATCGAATTGAATCCATGAATAGGGTATATCATGATCGATGAGCTTCTGTTGGACCACAATTTCATCGATTGCCGAACGAATTTCATTTAAATCACAACCAAGATCTTCACTTGACGAGGAACAATTAATTTGATAATATTTTGGATGAACAATTGACCGGTAAACTTTTCCAGCTAAAGATTCATCAATTTTGGCGAAAATTTCACTTGCAGTTAATTGTCGATTGACAGTTGATTGTTGGCCCTTATCTCCATCTTCATCTCCATCATGATCATCATTTCTTCATCTTCAGGATTATTGTCATCAACTTTCCCCAAAGAATCACAATGTGTACCAATTATGATTACTCTTGGATTGGAAATATTATCTTCATCATCCTCTGAATCTTCAGCTGATCGGAAGTCATCAATGAAAACATGAGTACAAACATGGGAATAGATCAACGATAACCAATGATGAATTAAATTCAATGGTGTATAATCAGATTCATCGCCTTCAGACTTGAAAAATATAATCAAAAGAAAAGATTAACAAATGGATTAGCAAACGGATTAAGACAAAACAAAATTGGAGGGAAACTTATGCTTAATCCTATTGGTTTAAAATTCAATATAAATGTTGACCGAGTTAAAGGTTATAATTAATGTGACGAATTTTTAATTCTATCAACAAATTAGTTAATCTCATCTTCTAATCTGTCTAGAGATTAACGGATAAGTTAATCAATCAATCAGAAAAAAAATTCGGTCACTCATTTAATGCCTTTTCTTAAATTGTGATCAAGTCCCATTTAAGTTTCAATGATTAACATTAATCATCTTAATTTTTGTTAATTCTCGCTAATCAATTAATGTACATGAGGATCTATGAAGTGTCACCAATCAATTAGATCAACTAATTGCAATCAAAACAATAAAAGCAAATGAGTTCTGATCTGCTTTCCTATTGATTATTGATTCTGTTCAATGGATACATTTATCAACTAAATTGTTACTTTAAAACGATTACAAATGATTTATCAATAATCAAAGACAATTATGATTTTAATTAGCAGAATTTTCAATTTTCTGAACAAACAGAAACTGAAATGATTAGTTGATCTCTTGCAAAATTCAATCAATAACATGAATGAATCTCAAATGCTGAGTTAATCTTATTTTCTTGTTGATTGTTTTGTATTTTTTTCAAACTCTATTCTCATTATTATTACTATTTACCTGAGAATCAATAATAATGAACAAAATAATCTAATGAATGAATAACAATAAGGTTAAAGAAGAGAAAAGAAAAAACCAGAATGATAAAAACTCACAATTTCAAGAGATAATGATGAACAACATGATTATCTTCATGTAGATTTAACTATCATCAAGGTTATCAGTTTATTGTTAGATTTTCACAATTTAGGAAAATAGATTAACATTTAGACTCATTATCATGTTCCTCTAATACTAATCTATTGATTGTAAATTGATAGTTCCATGATTATTGTAATAATAGTATTACAATCAATCAACTTTAATCCAGTATCATGTAAACATTGAATCATTTAAAGATCCTGGTTCATGAGAGTAACCAGAAAAACCAGAAAATGAGAATTTCTATTTTTACATTTTTCTTACCAGAATAAGAACCTAATTATCATTTAGATAATCATAATCAATTGATTAACTAAATATTGATAGATAATCAATAAATTGATTGTAATTGTTTGAATCGATTCCATGAAAAGTTAAATTATTATCAAATGTTATGAACCTTTGATTGTATTGAATTTAAAAATTGTCTCTTCTCAATTATTGTAGAGAGTTAAATTCAATTGATTAACTGATTAGTTTGATATTTAGAAATGAATTTAAATTGAATTTATCTTGCCACTTCAATTGTAAAGATAATTAATTAACTTTCTCATAAAATCAGTGATTATAAATTAATCACTTTGATCATCAATCAAATCAAGTGTTTATATTAATATTTTGATTGTTGCTCTCAATTTTGAATCTCAATCAATCAACACTTTTTAAAGCTCACTAATTGTTGACTAAATTTAAGAATTGTTTATAAATAATGATCAATAATTAACTGATTACCTTTTGAAATAAATTATCTCCATAATCAATTGGCTCATCCAAATCTTTACTAAGGTCGATAACCATTAGGTAAACACCCTGAGAACTGAGCAGTATCTGAAATGAATAATTAGTGGTCAGTTGAACTGGACATTCATTAACAATTAACAAATGACAATCAAACCATTAAAAGGATCAAAGGTACAATTAAATGATCAATTTTTAATCATCTAATTGTTTCCCATTTGGAACATAAAACAATTAGAAAATCATAAAAAGTAATATTTGAGTTCTCAATGGAAACGACTAAGTATTAGATTGATAACTTTTTATCACTTTGATTATCATTGATTTTCCAAATTCTAATTGTTTTATCTTTAATTGTTAATCTTCTGGCTGGTTAATTAACTTACTTGATTAATTAGAAAGTATAATGAGTTTCCTTGGAAATCCCAAAAATTGTATTTCGTATAAACAGTTGATTGAATCTCCTTCTCGTCGATATCACCAATCTCCGAGATATTAGATTGTTTTGCCAATAGATTATCAATCATCTCACGTAATTTAATTGGTAACAATTTAACCTTAATCACGATTAAATTAAGAAAGAAAAAAGGTTAATTGTGAAAAGTTATCATAATAATAATTGATTGATGATTGAGAAAAATGGTGATCGTTGCTGAATATCGGTTAAGATATTTTACAGTATAAAAGTTAAGGTTTATTTAAATAAGATTATATAAACGGGGTAAGGTGGTTTGGTCATTACAACAAGGTACTACTGATTGACTTCCTCCTCAGTAACACTCTAGGTTAACTCTTTTACTAAACCTGTCAATGTGAGTGTCACATGACCTTCCAGGGAGTCAACTGAGATTCCTCTAAGGTTTACTTGCACTTGCTACTTAGAGGTTAACGTTAAAGGATAATCTATCTAGTAGATTCTATCACCCTCTTCTTAACGTAGCCCTAATCCTAGAGTAAACTTCTCGTGCTTTACTCTTCCAAGTGCCTTCGTTAGTACGTCCGCAATCATTTCCTCAGTCGAAATGTGTAATATCTTCAGATTACCCTCTTCGACTCTCTGACGTACATTGTGAATTCTGATTCCGATGTGCTTCGTCCTTTTATGGAAAATTGGATTCTCTGACAACTTTATGGCTGAAGTATTGTCGTTGTAGATCTTGAGTGGACTCTCTACATACTTCCCAAATCCAATCTCTTCCATCAAATGTGTTAAGTAGACCGCTTCATTTGTTGCTTCCGATAAAGCGCAATACTCGCTTTCTGCTGAACTTTGAGCAACGATTGGTTGTTTCCTCGATCCCCACGAAACACTTGCATTAGCTAATTTGAATATGAATCCAGAGTAGCTCTTTCTGTCTCTTGCATCAGATGCCCAATCTGCATCAACGTAGCCTTCCAATTGATCGCTACTTTTTCTCTCGAAGTATAGACATTTATCCAGTGTACTCTTCAAGTATCTAAGTACCCTTCTAGCCGCATCCCAATGTTCCTTGTGAGGGTCTTGATTAAATTTAGCCAATCTGTTTACGGCATATGTGATATCCGGTCTCGTGTTAAGAGAAATATGGAGTAGTGAACCAATTAGACTTCTGTATCTCTGTGAGTCTACCTTTTCACATTTTCCATCACAAACTTCTAATTTGATGTTGGCTTCCATAGGAGTAGCTACTGGTTTACAGTCCATCATATTCTGACTTTCTAGTAGTTTCTTGATTGCGTACTCCTGAGATAATTTAATCACTTCCATTGAAGGTCTCTCTATCTCAATTCCGAGAATGTACTTCACTGGCCCTTTGTCACAAATGTCTACTTCCTTTGCCAATTTATCTTTGATGATCTCAATTATTTCAACACTTTCTGATGCGATTAGAAGGTCATCAACGTATACTGCCAAAAGTATCACTTGATCGTTCATCTTCCCTGTGTACAGACATCGCTCTGTCTCACATCGCTTCAGGTTCATCGAAGATAAAATCGAATGTAATTTGATGTTCCACTGTCTACCACTTTGTTTTAATCCATACAGTGAACGATTCAATTTACAGAAATACTCTGGGTGCAAATCATCTACAAATCCATCAGGTTGCTCCATATAAATTTCCTCTTCAAGTACTCCGTTAAGGTACGCTGTTGACACGTCTACTTGATGTATATGGTAGCCCATTTGCACTGCAATTGCGAAAATTATACGTAGAGATTCAGGTCGAACTGTAGGTGAATAGGTTTCATTGTAATCTACTCCGAACTGTTGACTAAATCCTTTCGCAACTAATCTCGCTTTGAATTTGTCTAAAGTACCATCCTTGTTGTACTTTACTGCGAATACCCATCTTGATCCAATTGACCTCCTTTTCTTTGGCAATTTCACAAGATCCCATGTCTTGTTCTTCTTGAGCGATAATAATTCCGACTCCATTGCTTTGATCCACTGATCAGAATACTTTGAGTTTAAAGCATCTTTAAAGTCTTTCGGGATTTTTATCTCATCTCCAATTGCAGCCAAAGTATCACTCCTGTTAAGTGAACGAATTGGATAATTGTGTTGACCGGGTGTTCTCACTTTCCTTGGTATTGGCGGATCTGTTTTCTTTGGTCTTCCTGGTCCTCGTTTCATTGTTACCGGTGTTTCTTGTTGATTTGAAGTAGAGGGTGATGACACACCTTGAGAAAGTTCAACTTCCGTTATCGAACTTTCATCGTCATCAATGTCCACTGACATGTCAATCTCTTCTTGTTTAACTTCAATTCCACCAACCTCTTGTGCTGATTCGGTTTCAAGAACTTCTACTTCGAAACCTTCCTCATCCAACGTAGACTCTACAAAACGAACATCTCTTGTATATTCCGTTTTAAGTGTACTTTGATTCAGCATCCGATACCCTTTCTTGGTATCACCGTAACCTACCAGGATCATCTCATCGCCTTTCTCTGCGAATTTGTGTCTTCCGACTCTCTTGTTTAGCACATAACCCTTAGTACCAAAAATTCTCAAGTGGCTCAGATCAGGCTTACTTCCGTTCCAAAGTTCATAGGGAGTAGTCCTTTCATTTGCTTTGTTCACGACTCTATTTCTGATGTACGCTGAGAAACAAATTGCCTCGGCCCATAATCTCAGGTCAAGTTTACCGTCAGAAATACAACTTCGAGCCATTTCCACTAGAGTCCTATTAATTCGCTCAGCAACTCCGTTTTGTTGTGGCGTATACTCACAACTCCTTTCATAACGGATTCCTTTACTTTTAAAATACGGCTTCAGTTTAAAGTATTCTTTACCATTATCGGATCTGAACGTTTTTAATTTCTCCGATGTTTGCCTTTCTACTTCGGTAATCCACACCTTGAAAGTTTCTACAATTTCATCTTTAAACTTCAATGGATATACCCACACTTGACGAGAGTAGTCATCAACGAATGTAGCAAAGTATTTTGCTCCTCCATAAGATGATTGCTTCATTGGTCCACAAAGATCAGAGTGTACCAACTCTAGTCTTTTAGTTGAACGAGTCGTCGAAGTAGAATATGGTAATTGAGACGCCTTACTCTTTAAACATGTAACACAATGATCGAATTGATTTTCATTTAATTTGACTCCGGTAACCGCTCCATACTTCATCATCTTCTCAATATCGGCTACATTCACATGACCTAGTCTCCGATGAAGTAGCATTAGTCGACCTTCGATTCAGAAGTCTTAATGTGTGATAATCTCGGTGAGCGTATCCGTTTCACAAACAATGAGTCAACTTCCGGAAATGTAATCAGATTCCTATTATCACTGTCAACTACTTTAGCACTTCTGCTGTTGAATATTACTTTGTAATTCTTGGCTGTAGCTCTGGAGACACTTAGGTAATTCCCTTCTAATTCAGGTACCAAAAGAACATTAAATAACCTGATTGAATTGCCATCCACTTGGAGTATCACTTCTCCAATACCAGACGCTTTCATCTTCCTTTCATCAGCCAAAGTAATAGTTCTGCCATGAACTTCTTTCAACATACTAAAGTATCTCGGATCACAACAAATATGTGAAGTAGCACCACTGTCCAGTATCCATGTACTTTTGTCCATACTTTGTTTCCCATCAAATGAACGTAACTGGAATGCGTTGTCGTTTCCATCCTTTCCTTTCTTACATTGGAACGACTTATGACCCATCTCACCACACTTAAAGCACTTGATCTTACGTTTACTCTTCGTCTTCTTTGTGTCTACTTCAATCTTCATTACCGTACTTGAAGTAATATCTTGACGTTTCCTCTCTTCTTCCTCTAAGAGTTTAATCTTGAGTATAGCAACAGAGGGTAAAGTATCACGTGACGACATTGCCACCACAAAGTTATCATAAGTCTCACCTAGACTTACTAAGAGTAGAACGGACAGGCACATATCCTCAAGCTTCATCTCCAAAGTAGTCAGTTGATCTACTAGACTCATAAAAGTATCTAAGTGTTCATTCATAGACTGCCCAGGTTGAATTCTCAAAGTCACAAGCTTCTTGAATAAGCTAACTTGAGTAGCAGGTCCACATTTAGAATGAGCTTTCTCTAACTCTTTCCAAGCTTCAGCAGCAGATTTACACTTCTTGATTACTCTGAAGTTCTTCGGAAGTATATTCAGCATAATCATGGCGAGAGCTCGCTCATCTTTATTTTTCCACTCAGCTTCCTTTTCCTTTTCACATGGAGTATCAATCACAGACCATAACTGTAGAGTCACTAGCACACTTTTCATTAAAAGACTCCAAGTCTCATAGTTATCGTCGTTAAGCTTTTCGATGTTGATATGTGAAGACATAATCACTTTAAATTATAACACTACACAAATTATAACTTTTGATGAAATGATGATTTCAGTAGCAGCGAACCACGCTCTGCTACCATGAGAGAAAAATGGTGATCGTTGCTGAATATCGGTTAAGATATTTTACAGTATAAAAGTTAAGGTTTATTTAAAGTAAGATTATATAAACGGGGTAAGGTGGTTTGGTCATTACAACAAGGTACTACTGATTGACTTCCTTCTTGTCACTCTTATTGTTAACACTCTAGGTTAACTCTTTTATACTAAACCTGTCAATGTGAGAGTGTCACATTGACCTTCCTACTTAGGGGAGTCAACTTTAGATTCCCCCTCTAAGGTTTACTTGCACTTGCTACTTAGAGGTTAACGTTAAAGGATAATCTATCTAGATTCCATCAATGATTAGCTAAATTGATTTGGTTAAACGCCAGTGAACAATTTAAATTTACACTTTCACCAAATTCATTCAGTTAACTGATTCAATCAATCAAATTTTTTTTTACTATTTAGGTTGTTACAGTTTAATTGTGATTAACTTACAGTTTCTTGATTGTCAAGACCATTTATATCGTCAAAGTGATCAGATTTACGATTGGACAATTTAAGTGCCGATTTCAATATTTCCGAAGCATTTAAAGTTATATTTTCATCGTTCTCCTCTTTATTTGATTTGTTAATTTTTAATTCTTTCACTATATTATAACTCATCATCTTAAATTGTGTCTCTTCATCAGGTTGATTGTATTCAATTTCACCAATTAAATCAGTTTTCCAACCACCGGTTAAATCAGTTAAACAATTAAGCTTATTGTCCAAGATACAGTTACAGTCAACTCTTTTATTATCATCTCTGGGGAAATATAAAAATAATCATTAATCACTAATCAATTTAAGCTTATCATTTATTAATTGTAAATTTAATATTTCACACAATTAATTATTAACAATCAACAGAAACCAAAACATTAATCCAATTCTAGTTGATGAAAAAATTCATTTTCATCTACAATTTGAAAACATTGTTACAATTATTAAGTATTTTCATGGGCTAAACAATTAAGTTAATTGTTTCCGAACTAAATTGGAAAAATTTTCTATGTTAATTACACTGATTAGTGATTTAGATTACATTTTGTAACAATTTAATTGGATTGATTTGGATTCATTTCTGTTATGTCTTTTGTGTATCTAATGGGATATTTAAATTTACTCGTTGCATGTTTAGAGTTAATTGTGTTTAGATTACAGCTAATTAATGGATAATAATTTAGTTAACTGTTGATCATTTTTCTCTCACCTTGAATTTAGAAGTAAATTTTTCAGTGTTGACTTTCCTGTGCCCGGAGGGCCAATGGTAAATATCCTCGTGTTATTAAATCGTAGGCACGATTTGGAGCAACATTTTTCATAGACTCGAACTACGTTTGGACCTTGAACCGAAATGGACATTGGTATTTTAAAGGTCATCTCACTGTAATCCCAAACCGAGATTCTGGTTGTCCGACCATAAAGGTCAAATATTAACCAAAACTGTGACTCCAGGTTGGAAAGGTCACCGATTAACTGGTAACGGGTTTCATTTGAATTTACCAAATAAAGTCCATTGGATGTTGTTGGTCCAGTGTTGGTCAGTAGGAAGCTTAGTCTTGACCTATTCCAATGTGAAGGTAAAGGTTTAATCCAAACATTTTCCTCTAAACATAAGCCCACCGGGTAAGAGTATTTGGCAAGTGGCCTTTCCTTTACAAAGGTCAACGGATCGCGACACGTTAGGCCAACATTGAGACAACCTTTCCATTTGGATGTAAAAGATTCAATTTCAAGAGTAACTGTAGAGAAAAAAATCCAACAATTAGAATTATTTTCAAAGGAATAAGAAACTTACAAAAGAGAAAACAATTAACTTTAATTGTCGACAATTTGTAACTCACCTAATTGGTTGAGTTTAATTGGTTTCGCTGAGAAAACGATACCATCACAAAAAGAGGAATCATTGATTCGAGTTGCTTGGGTTCGAAGTTTGTTCAACGATATATTAGATCCATAGACAATCTCATGAAATCTCATCTCCAAACAAGCAATTAGAATTAATTGTTGATCAACAGAAGAAATCAGAGAAAAGTTACCAATGGAACTATTAATTATTCATCTACAGTTAACATTGACAATCAACTGATTGTTTCATCCATACACTTGTAGAGTAAAAATTGTTTTCTCTGTTTAAATTGACACAATCAACTAATTTCTAGGATCTTTTTTATATATTATTCTTTCAAGGGTTGAATAAGGTTTTCGCTTCAATATTGATATTTTGATTGTTGATAATTTAAGAATCCATGGTAACCAGTTTTCCTATTCAGTTCTGGTTGAAAGTTATTCAAGGGAAGGAAGAAAATTATTATTATATTTATAATAACGATTCTATGTGAGGATATAAGAGATTCATGAAAGATTTTTTTTCTCTTTCTTTTCTTTCTTTTCTTTCTTTTCTCTTCTTTCTTCTTAATGATTATATGGTTGAATTTCACATGGAGATGGAAGATGATGAAGGAGGAGAAAGTGGAAGACAAGGAAGTCAATTTGAGAGAGAGAGAGAGAGAGAAGAGGAAAAATCTGAGAGTTTCAATTCTGACCAATTGAAATTTTATGAATTCGAGTTGAGATCATGAGCTTTGATCATGTTCGGTGTTGAATTAATTGATTCCAACGATTCTTTTAGTATATAATTTAAATTTAACATTTCGTCTCAATGATTAATCAGTCGAGGTCACAATGGATTTTAAATTGATTTAAGTTGATCAATAACCATGTCACAATTAAGAAAGATGCTTATTTGTTTTAGCAAATTGTGTCTGATAATTTGATTTATTTTCATGTAACAATTTGATAATGATAATAAGTTTTGATAGTTTTAAATGTTGTTGATTGTTGTTTAATGAATTGAGATTAATTGTTACATGAAAAGTGTGATCATTGAGATTTAATTGTATTTGATTTACTCACATTAATTTCCAAGGTTTTATTTTAATCACAATTCAGAAAGGAAGTGTAATTGTTACAATTGATGTTACTAAGTTGTGGTTGACTCTTCTTCCGATATGGTAAGGACGAGTACCAAAAAAGCCTCAGGCAAAAGTTTTTTTGCTCAACTTTTTCTAAACTAAAAAATTAAGATGTAAAACCAATGGAAATATCCGTTTTCGGACATTTCTTAATCTAAATGAAAAAAATGAGCAAAGTAATTATTTGTCAATAATTGATGGATGATACAATTCATATCCTATTACCTCCAATTATTGTCTAAGGAAATTTTATTGGACCGAGAAGATGATGATTTGAAAATAAAAATTTCTTCATCTTTGGAAAATTATGCAATAGAAAACTTATGTTATTGGTTGAAGATATGGAAGAAGATGATCAAAAATGCTCCCATATTCTAGTATATAAACACAATAAGACATCAGAGAAAATCATAGTCCACTTCTCTCTCACAGTTCCTTTCTCTCCTCGAATTTAATCAAAGCTTGTTGTGATCCCTTATCTGTCATCCTAAGTTTTTTATTGATGTTTTGTTCTGCTTTCTTGGTCATCCATCCCTCTTGTTTGTTGCTCTGATCTCTTGGCCGTCGATCCAACTCTTGCTAATTATTTACTTAACCACATAGCAATCAAGCAATTTTAACAATTTGTAAACATTTATTAAAACATCATCTGGTGAATTTCTCATTCATTAATCAACTAAAGGGTCTTTCGGTTAAAAACCTACCTTAAGGTCGAGAGGAAAAAATTTAATCTTGCATTTTGGTTGGTGATAAAGAAGAGATAAATAGTATGAAAATGATGAAATCTTTGTGTTTCTTCGTCATTATGATCTTATACTCATTTGTACTAAGGGTTGATGTTACGTTAGAATATGCTAACATAAACAATGAGTATCAAATATCTATCACATGCTGCCCTTAAAATGACCTCTAAACGTGTGCTTCGAGAAATGACCTCAATGACCTTGAAATTCGTAATGATAAGCACTTCAACTATGCTTAGTCCTCTGGTCAAGTTTGACACTCATTTGACTTTTGCTTCTTAGCAAGTTCAGTGAAATAGCCGAAATGGAGTGACCGTAATCATTGGTTTCTTTTCAAGTTTCTTTAAAAGTACGAGGTCAGTCTGTTTTTCGAGGTCGATTTTCTTTCAATTAACACAAACTAATCAAAATCGAAGAGTTAAAAAAATTAAACTTCACTTGACCCAAGCATTGAATAGTTAATATGTTTTCTCAATAGATGGAACCAGGATAGAGTTAATTGTTTTCTTATCGAGAAAAATGTTTGAACTTGATTAAGTTAATTGATGAGTACAAGTTTTCTAACATGTGATCTATCAATTTAATTTGCATTTACAATCAGCAGTCAACAATTAACATCCCAACAACAAGTGAGAAAATTAAAAAAAAGTCAAAATGTTAAACATGATTAAACAGTAACAATTTAAAAGTTGATTAACTTCAATTATAACGGTTAATAAACTTTTCTCACTTGATTGATTCCTCTCATTGGAGCCAATTGATTTATCCTTTTTTTTCAATCTCTCAACAATTAGTGACACAATCGATTATCAATAATAAACAATCAACACTCTCATTAATTAACCATCAGCACAATTAAATCAACCTTAATCGTCTTTAAATAATTTTCATCTTGTCTGACAATTAATATTATCCAAGAAAAGATTTTATTTAATCAATAGCAATTAGTGAATTAAAAAGCCATTGAATTATCAGCTGACTATTTTTAAATTACTTTTATTCAAATTGTTGGTATAAAACTAATTGTAATCAACGATGAAATTAAATAATAATAATTCATATTGGTTAATCATTGAAAGAAAAGTTTAAATTTAGTTTAAATTGTTTACTTATTATCAATTTTTTTCTTTCTTTCATCATCAACAATTTAAATTTCAACAATCAAACAGTCAATAGTAATTGAGAAAACAAAAAAATTGATATTAATAAACTAATTCAATCAACAATCAAATCTAATTGTATGTCATCAACTAAATTGTAATAATAATAAACAAACCTACAATTACGGTTTACATAAATTGATCAGCAATTAAATTTGATTGTTTTCCAAATGTAAACTAAAATGATAATGCAACCTTTTAATTGATAATCACATAATTATTACAACAATTAAGTTAATTGTATTGTAATGATAACCTGAAAATGAAAAACAATTTAAATATCAAATTAATGGCGACTCTTGTAAATTAAATGTTAAGAAACCAGGACAATTAGCATTAATTATGATCATGGGTAATTCCTGGTTATGGTTAACTGTAAACAATTAACTGATTGCTAGTTAATTTATAACGGAATCAGGTTAATAAACCAACAACCTTATTCCGTGATCCTGCAATTTAAATCAAATTGTCCGAGTAAATTACAATTACGATTAACAATTGATCGAGAAAAAAAATTCCATATATATAAACAGATTTCAATGTAATTATTTGTATATTCAACAATCAACCAAAATCAGATCAACAACAACGACAACAATTAACCAAACAATTTGTTTCTAAAGTAAATCATCAAAGTGAAAATCGTTGAACGAACAAAACAAAAAATCATCTCGTTAATTGTGACCACTAATCAACAACTATAACTACAATAATGTCCTCATATTTCACTCTATTAGTTACATTGGGTAAGTTTTAATTGTTGTTGACAATTGCAATTAAATCCTTTCTAATTATAATCTTAATTTTCTAAGCTTTGATCATGGTAATCAACGTAATCTCAGCTAATCCAACAACAACCTCATCACCATCATCAGTTAATAATGATCGTGAACTGACTCGTAAATTAATCCTGGATGATTTAAATGAGATGGAAAAGTTAATCAACAAATTGGATCAAATTAAATCAACTGAAAGACAGGAAACTAATCCAATTGATACAGTTCAAGATATGATTAGCGACACAACTAACGGGATTAGGAAGGCCGCTTATCGACTTCGATATCAAGTGTTCAGTATGTTCCAACGATCACCAATCTGTAATCCATTGAAATCAAACTAATCATCTCTAAATTGTTCAATCAATTAATCATCACAATTAACTTATTATTATTATTAACCGTTAATCATTAAAATCCAAATTGATCAATCCCAACAAAACATGTTACCAATTTAATCTGAGGCTAAAAATAATGTTGCTATTTTATACAAAGAAAATCATTTAATGCTTTTCAATTAGTTAACCCTAATTGTTAACAATTAATTTCGGGAATGAGAGTCAAATCTGATTCCTGTTCAACAATCAACTGCGATAATCAAAAATCAACCACTAATCAAAATCAATGATAACCCTTAATGTGAATATTTAAACTGAAATGATTAAAGATGAAGATTGATTTGAAGTTAATCATTTGAAATGAGTAAAAATCAATTACAATTTAAAACTAAATTATATGTATTTATATATATATTAGATAATTGTAATAACAATTGATTAATCTGATTGTTGGCCAATGGTTGTTGTTGTATTTTGATTGTTTGAAAATGGTAACAATCAAGAATCAACTAACATGATTATAATTATATTATTTTCCTATTAAAAAAAACTACTGTTCATCATCATCACCATTAATATGTTATTAACAATCAATTGTGAGTATTAAATTAAATCATAATGACGATGATAATTTAAATTACTGTTAATGGTTAACATTATCAATTCCTGATCTCTATTACTGTTTGAGAAAATTGAAGAAAATCAATCAATCAATTGATTATTGTACCTGATTGTACCTTGATTATTGTTGATTGTTATATTAGATTAGTAGTAATAGTTAGTTAGTTAGTGATTAAGTTAAAGGTAATATACAATTTCTTGTCAAATAAAGGACTCGGAGGTTAAATCATCATCATCATCTTAATAATAACATATAAGGTAAGTTAACTTGAAGAAGTGATTTTTTCGTATTAATTTAATTTCATGTTGATTGTTGACTGATTTTCGGAGTTACAAAAATAAAGGGAAAGAGGAGGAGGACCAGGGTTGCGAATTGTAATCACAAAACTGTTCAACAATCAACAATTGAAAAAAAAGAGAAATTATCAAAAAAGGAATTAGAAATTATCATTAACTCTCTCTCTCTCTCTCTCTCTCTCTCTCTCTCTCTCTCTCTCTCTCTCTCTCTGCTCTCTATTATTATAACTGATATTGTGATTATATTTTTAAATAAGATCATAAAACCCTCTCTCAATCAGGTAAATCACGAATCATCATCATTACGTGACAATTTCTCTTTCTTCCTCTCTTTCTTTTTGGTTGTTTCCAATTCGATTGGGAAAATAACGGTACTTTTGTTTTCTTCGTTCACCACAAGATGGCGTTGTTAATTCTAAATTTAGTTGTAATTTAGTTTTCTGTTGACAATCAAGTTTAATTTAGTTTGTTGATGTTACTATTAACAGGTAGTTTCATTTAGGTTTTAGTTTTGTTAATGTTAAGATTGGTTATGGTTTGTTTTTGTTTTAGTTTTTCCATTATATGAAATGATGGATATTTTTTTGTTTTAACCTTTAAATCAGTTTAAATTTAATTGTTGATTGGTAAAGGTTGATATCGATGTTGATGGATTATCGTTATTTATTTAGATATTAAATAACAATCAGTTAATTAATCATCAACAGAGGCAACAAACATTTATTCCTCTCATTTGGATAATAATAACAATCAACTAATCATCCGGAAACACCGACAACAAATTTTAAGTGAAATGATTACGGTGACAATTAATTTATATTAGTGATGTTGATTAATCATTGGTTTTTACCCTTTTAATAGTAAATATTTCAATAGTATTTAGTATTTTTCTTATTCTAATTAATTTTTGTTCACGTTAAAATTTTCTAAACAATCATCAAATTAACAGTTTAATTAATTGTGATTTTCAAACAAAAAGTTTCCAAGTTGTAAACAAAAAGTTTACGTTCAATTTGAATGGATGGGATTATCAACCCATCAATACAAATCAATGGATTATGTGATCAATTTAACCAATCATTTATTACTAAATTGGTTAATCATCTTATCAACTTTTTTAATTTTAAACCATATTGGATTAATTCATGGAGCTGAAACTAATCAAGGTTTGTAACTAATTTCCTATTCGATAATCAAACAATTTGATTTCTATCATTATCAGTTCGGCCATTTTGCTTTTCGTAATTTCTTATGGAAACCTTATGATGATGAAGATAAAGAATAAGAGAGAGAGAGAGATACTTTCATCATCTTCATCCTCATCATCAAACAAGCTCAAGTTTGAGTTCTATTTGGGTCAAGACGGACTTTTGATCTTAAAAAGATGACGATCATGGTGAATATAAGAATGGGAGAAAGAAAGAGAGAAAAGAAACTAAAATAGCAGAAAAAAAGATAAGATGATGATGAGGATGAGGATGATGATGGAAGATATAAGATGAAGGATGAAGGTAGAAAATGAAGATCTGAAACAAATAGTAACAGAAATTGACATTCGGTGCGATATTAATATCGTTTTTTTTTCTCCAAATTTTCTGGTTAACTTTTTTTTCGCGAAAAAAACTTTTTCTTCTCCCCAGTTAATCAACTTTAATTTCTGACAATCAGCTAAACACTTTACAATTAAGAGAGAAAAATTGATTCAAATAATCATGATTAACTTTTACCTTCACATTATGATGAATTAACAATCCAAAGTTAATTGTTGATTCAATTCACGTTTTCATCTCAAGTGGATATTGTTGATTATATCAATTTATTTTTCTTCTTTTGCCCTTTAATTGTGATTAGTTAATTGTCTTTTATAATGGTTGTTGAACACAAGATTAACAAACAGAAAAACCTAATCTATTAATTATATGGATTACACTTTTACCCATCTAATTGTTTCAATCCTTTTAGTTAATTTAGTTTGAAACAATTTGTTTTCCCAATGAAAACAAAACAACTTTTCTCATTGATTGTAACTAATTGTTAACTTAATTGTTTGCTAATTAAAATTACTAATTGCCCAGTCAACTTGCTACATAAAAACTCAAGAGATAATACAAATATTTAATTATTCAATTAAATTTAATTTAGTTTCAAATCTTATTAGGGTCAATCAAGGCTTGGTAACCATAATTATAATAATAATAATGAAAAAAAATTCGTTAATTAATCAATTTGATTTGGAAAACTGTTCAACGGTAAAACTGTTAATTGTATATTAATGATGATTAGGATTTGATTTAATTTTTTACTCTTGTTGTCATTGAATTGTATTCATCATTATCATCATCATCATCCTAACCTAATCAAGTTAATCAATTTAATTGGTTCCCCCCGTTGACTTAATTGTGAATGAAAAAAAAACACATTCAACTTGAAAAAAAAGCCAAACTAAATTAACTTTGATGATGATCATTGAAAACAACAATTTAACGACCATTTCATTTTTGAATATTGGTTGATTGTTGATTTGAATTAGCTGAGTTGATTTAATTTGCTTTCTTTTCCTTTCAACTGTTAACTATTTATTGTTATCATCATCACCTTAATCATCAGTAGTAATGATAATAATAATCAATAAACCTTTCGAAAATAGTTAATTCTAATTTAGTTAAAATTTAAATTCTAATAATAATAATGTCCATCGAATCGAATCGTTAATAAACATATTACACTTAGAACTAAATTAACATTCTAATAAGATTAACCAGTTTATACTTTCAATCGTAATCATTGAACCATTAGCTGATTACCTTTCGCTTTATCCTCATCCTCATCCTCATCTTCATCATCATCATCATCATCCACCCCCTCCAATTGCTGATAATCAACAACAATCAACGTTAATCAGTTTCAATGAACGTTGAAATGAGGTGAAAGGCACGAGTTTAAATTGTTACCATCTCGATTTAACTTTCCAATATAATGATGATTACAGTTTGCTAATCCTAATCAAGATTAACTAATGGTAATCATTAAAAAGGTGCAGAGTTTCAATTGAAATAGTAAATATAATCACTTTTGTCAAAGGTGTGTCCATTTAGAGGTGGGGGTGGTAATAATAATCGTTAATTGTCACAATTACAATTTAATTTAAAAGGTGAAACCTTTCATTTTGTTTATGTTTACCTGTTGCTTAATTGTTACCGTTGATTGTTGCTAATATTACATTACCCTAACTGTTAATTTCATTAACATGAAACCAATTTTTTTCATCTTAATATTATTGATTGTTGTTGAAATTAATTCCTCCCATTAAGAATGCTAATAACAATTAGCTAATATGTTTCACTTATGATTAACTTAAATTGTTCTGCCCTTAATTGTTATATTAGTGAAAATTAAGCTCTCTCTCTCTCTCTCTCTCTCTCTAAATTGGTCAAGTTAATTTTAAATTTATCTCATTCATGATTCCTTAATTGTTAATCATTTTCTTGATCACCAGGAATTGATGATTATAATAGTAGTTTTTTCAAACTTATTTCTTGATAAATTTTCACCAATTCAATTCAATTGTATTGATACGGTTTAGTTGATTGTTGGAGATGAAAAAAAAGTCTTAATCATTGTTAGTTTCTTGGTTTAACTAATTTTAACAATCAAAGTTAATTTCTTACAATTTCTAAATCATGTATCATCTAACTGGCAAGATGATTTAAAACAATTAAATTTCATTCTCATGATATATTATTATTATTATTCAAAGAGAGAGGTGAAAATCTGGTTCACTGAATTGAATTAATTGAACAATCAATAGGATGATTATGGTGATTGTTTGACAATTAATTGTTTACAAGAAGAAGAAGAAGAAGGAAAAAAAGTTAATACCTTGAACAATTTAATTGTTGTCAAATTGATGTCAAATCATTTACCCAAATTGTAAGATGGTTAGTTAATCATGATTATGATAAAAAAAATTATCAACTATCAACGGGAATCCATTGATTAAATCATGATAATGATTTCTGGGTGTTTACATTAATCATTATTGGGACTGATCGTTGTGTGTTTGTGTGATGGTGATGGAAAGGAAAAGCAATCTAAACAATTAATAAATTACGGATGAAGATGATAATCACTTTTCAGGATTAGTATTTAATCATCTTAATTATGTGGGCCAGTTTGTTATCCTGCTGTCAACAACAACAGCAACACCAACAACAGAAACAACAACTTGTAGCCCTGAAAAATTAGATCGACCCAAATCTTTACCTCTATTGACCGGACCATTTAACCCAAATTTTTCATTTCTTTTTACACTTACCTGTATTTATTTACCTGTTGTTGTTGTTTTATTATCAAGTATTAATATATGAGTTTTTTGTTGTTGTAAACGTAATAATTTAAGTCTATTCTTAGTTTCCCTTGGGATCATTCATATAACTTATATAATAGATTTGATTAGTTGATTTAATTTTTTTGGTTCTGCTTAGTGTTTATTGTAAATATTTGATTTGTAAAATTATTATTATTAGTTACATGTTTGTCTCATTGTCATTGTTTGATTGTTGATTAATTGTTGGTGTATTTGGTTATGGGGATGAGGTGATGAGGATGAGGATGAAGATGGAGATGAGGATGGCGATGGTTGTGGTGATTAGTTGATTTGATTTAGTTTTTCTTTCGTTTTTTTTTGATGATTGATTGTCGATTTGTCTTTTTTTTATTGTCCATCTAATTTTAGCTAATTTTGTGACCAAAGCTTTAGGAAATGTTGTCCGTTTATTACCTTCCATGAGGATTGGGAGTCGATTTAATCAAGGATGTGTCGGTGGTACTAAGTGTCAATTTTTTCTCTCCTGCTGGATGTCCGGTGGTTCATTGGGGTCATCGTGTGGTCCACTTTATACCTGTTGTATTACACCTTCAAGTCAGGATATTCAGCCAGCCTTTTTTGGACCAGTGGTCAATGATCCTTATTGTGGACGAAGTGCAACTCGAATCAGTCGGATTGTCGGCGGGTCAGATGCTTCTTTTGGTCAATTTCCTTGGCTTGCCTTTGTTCAGGTTGGTGGAAGCCGATGTGGAGGTGCTCTGGTTGGTCAGCGTCATGTTGTCACTGCTGGACATTGTGTTGCACGATCTCAGCAAAGTCCAACAAGTATTAGGGTTACTTTAGGTGATTACGTTTTACATTCGGACATTGAAAGTTTACCACATGAAATTTTCACCGTTACCGATGTCCGGTTACATCCCAATTTCCGGTTTACCCCTCAAGCGGACAGGTATGATGTTGCCGTTCTAGTATTGGACCGACCAGTCCAGTATAGGGACAATATAAAGCCGATCTGTTTACCCCAGAAAGGTGCCAACTTTTTGGGCAGAGCGGCTTTTGTGGCCGGTTGGGGAGCCCTTCAAGCAGGTAAGATATTCACTATTTATCTTCATCATTATCAACATCCTCATCCTTATCATCCTTATCCTAACAAGGTCGAACACGAATCAATGATGATGATCAACCTAAACAACAACAACAACATTAAAAAAAAAGTTAATTATATTAATAACTCAATGTAATTACACCTAATATAATATAAGGTAATTCAATTGGATTTACAAGGAATCGTTATTGTTGTTACCCAATAGTTGATTTAGTTTAACGATAATTAGTTTAAAATATATAAATTGTTTCTCTCTCTCTCTCTCTGAAACTGGACTGGTCAATTTGTTAACCGAATGGTCAAGAGAGGGAGAAGGTTAAAAAGTTATAATCATAATAATCTCATGAATAATAATGAAAATGTTTCAGTGTTGGTTACACATTCACTCATATATCTCTCATAACAATAAAGAGTAACAATTAAATACTGATTTAGAAAAATGATTCAGTTGATTATGATTGCGATCATGTTAATTATATTGTTTAATTTTTTTTCATGTTCTTTTAAAAAAGTAACCACGAATATGCAAAAATGAATGAAATAGTTACCGTTATTTTCAGTTGCGATACTTTCTCGTTTTGGTAACAACAATTGTCCAAACTCCTTGTTCATCATCACCTTAATTGTTGTTGTTCAATTTACAACAGTTAAGAAATTGTAAATTCATCATTGATTAACCAACCTCAACCCTGTTTAACTACTATTACTACACCAATGATAACATTTAAATCACAATCTATTGTTAGATTTAAAAAGTTACTCACCAGAAATTGTGATCATCATCATCAGGATCATCTTGATTGTTGTTTATTATACCAACAATCAACTAACAGTTGAGGTCAGTGTCATCATCATACTGACCTAAATTAAGTTAATCAAAAATTCAGTAATTTTCACTTCTAATTTTTAATCATCGTACATTTTTATTTGATCAGTTGATTGTCAATAATGAAAGCACAACTTTTTTGACAAGTTTAGTTAATAAATTTAACTGATTTAGTTAATTTCTTGCTAATCATCATACCACTAAATAGGATATGCAATTGGTTTAATTGTTGATAGTAAATAGAAGTACCAAAATTGTATCATCATCATTAATTATCTTCAACAAGGTTAATCAGGCAATTTGATTTTAGTTATATGATTAGTTAATTTTGTTTTTTTCGTTGATTCATTTTTGTTCATTTCTTTGAAAAGTTAATTGCAATTCAATTTTTGTTGTTGATTTTCACTCGTCCATTCCCACTGATCATGATTACATGTTTTAAATTAGCAATTTAATTATCAACCAGTTTTTTACATAATATTTATATAATTGTCATCGTCAAATATTTGATTGTCTGTCACAATCAACACTCATAAAACAAACAATCAAGATAATTGTTGTTAATATAATGATGGGAATGTGTGGGCTTAATTAATGGAAATAATTTAATTGTTTCTAAAAAAGTTTCCTTGCTAATTGTCACTGATTATTTATATATATATATAAAAGATATATCAAGTTAAACAATTATCATGATTAACTTGATGATAAACCAAAAAATGATCACAATTATCACACTTAAACCTTAATTGCTGAATATATCATTGATCGGTCATGATGATTGTTGACCTGATTGTTTTGTCCATTTACATGTTGCCAATTAACTAATTGTTATCATTATCATCATCATCATCATCCTGAAAACTGAATCAAAAGTAAACTTTGATTCTGTCTACTAATTATCACCGTTAAAGTTTAAAACAAAATTGAATTAAAATCAATTGTTATTGTTTTTTTCTTCTTCTCTTTCCACTAAATTGTTAATCTAATTTTGGTTTCAATCTCTTTCACACAAACAATTAATGGTTGATTAACACAAGGATCCAAACTACGGCCCAAAGTATTACAACATGTTAACGTTCCCGTGATTGACAATAACGTCTGCGAGGTTTGGCACCGACGACGTGGTATTAATATCAGGATTCACGATGAAATGATGTGTGCAGGTTACGAGTTTGGTGGACGAGATGCTTGCCAGGTAATCATTATCTCCATCATCCTAATTATAAATCAGTGTTACAATTAACAATCAATTAGCTTTTGGTGAAGCCAAAAGTTAGTTTTTTTCGAAGAAGGAAAAAAAAACTTTTCACCAAATTTCATCTTCATCTTGTTATTACAATTATCAACATCATCTCCAATTTGATAATATTTATAAATCAACATGAGATATAAATATTGATTAATATATTGATTCTTAATCAGCCAACCTGAAATCTTAGTTAAATGAACCAAATTAACCGATTCTTTAATTTCTTTTTCTTTTTCTTCCTTGTCTTCTTCTTGTATTATCTTCTCTTTTTTTTTCTTTTCTTTTCTTTTCTTTCTCTCTCTTGTTTCGTCCTTCAGGGTGACTCGGGTGGACCCTTGATGCTTAATGAATATGGTGTTTGGTATTTGATTGGAATTGTATCTGCAGGTTATTCATGTGCCAAACAGTATCAGCCAGGTATTTACCATCGGGTCAGTAGTTCATCAGATTGGATCTCGGCTAATGTATATCAAGGCAAGAAATGAATCAACATGATAAACAATCAGTGATTCAAATCTCGAGTGTGAAAGGAACCATTTTTCTTCAGATAAACAACAATTAGTAACATTTTTACAACAAAACAATTGTAAATCAATCTTCATCTTTTACCAACTAATGATAACCATCAACGATCAGTAACCTCGACAAACATTCACACACACACATAAGTAAACACGGATGCAAATAGGTACCAATAGAGAGGGTTGATTAAGAGTCCAATCGAATACAGATCATCATCATCAATAATAATAACATCAATCATATCCAAACGTATTGATTGGTCACCAATTTGTTTCCAGTTTAACAAGTTTAATGGATCGTCAAGATTTGCTGGATATCTGAAATCTAAAGGAAAACAAAGACAGAGAGAAATCAGAATTAAGCATCGGATTAACGTCGGATTAACATGAGAATCATTTTTTGTTCTTAATTATATTTACCTGTTGTTATCATTGTTGTCGTTGCCATTACTATTGATACCATCCCTTTCATCATCCATCAATTTTTTTCCTCATATTCATCTCATCATCTTATTATTACCTCCTTTCGACAACATGGAGAATTCAAATTTACAATCAAGATTCAACAACTTTTTTTTATAGAAAAAAAAACAATTCTATTCACTAGTTAAGTGTGTAAAAAATTAATCACTAGTGACAATTAGTGTTCTGTTCAAATCATCTCTTTGTAAATCGACCATGTTATGTATCTACATGTTTAAATTATGATTATTACTCTCCTTTTCCTCTCTCTCTCTCTCTCTCCTTCCAATCTCCATGTTCCTTAATCTCATCTCATCTTCACCATCATCAAGATCATCTCCTCGTTATTTTTTCATTTTCCCCTTGAAGGAACCATTTTAGTCTGTAAATAAAAAGAGTAATTTCCTAGGTTAATCACTGATCATTTCCTTTTTCCATCCAATATATTACTAAATTTTGGACGTTTCGGTTATTCAGACAAGAAAAGAAGGTTACAATTAGAGTGACTTACCGAAGATTTAATGAAAATCAAGATGTAACTGTTGTAATAACAAAGAGACCACCACAATTACCATTTACTTCTTGGCCATTCGTAAGCAACCAGAGAGTTCGTATTGTGATCGGATACATGACCCAAATGCTTATGAGAGGCCAACTTGTTATCCAAATGAATTGAAATTCTGAGAAGAAAAAAAGAAAAAAATCAGAAAAAAATCGAATTTGGAAAGAAAATTTTAGTTACCAACAAGAGAACCGTTAATCTTTGGCATCCAAAAGTAGCTTAAGGCCCAATAAAAGGTTCATCTTCATACGAAGAGAGGGTTTTAGACACACTTTCCACTTTAAATCTTCCATTGAATTATCGCCTGAGTTATCACTTTTTTAGCTGCCAAGCTTAATGATGATTAAAGAGGTTGCTAATCAAATATAATCATCAAAAGTTATCCACTAAAAATGATTATTCAGTCAATCAGTACAGTTAATGGATCACCTTCAACCTTTTAGATGATTGATGTTTACAGTAAACAGATGGAAAACTTTTAAACACATAAAGAGAAAAATTCAAATGATTAAGACTGATTAAGTGAAAATAATTAAGAAAAAAATGAATCAATTGATTTTTAGAAAAATCAAAATTGAAAATATTTTGAAATTAGAATTTTTGGTAACTTTATTCTCTTTCAGATGTCGCCACTTCTCTTTTCTCTGATTGGTCGATAAAAGAATAAGTGTGACATTTAGAATTTGATTGTTTTCTTTTTTTTCTGTGTCCTTTCCAAGACCTTTGAAGAAACAATTTAATTTTATCGAATTTAATTAACTGTGATTAATTTTTTTCTTCACTTTGTATCTAAATTAAAGGATAGAGATGATCGCCTCTCGAGTCTTAAGGTGAGAATTTTGATATTTTCCATGAAATAAAAGGTTTAAATTGTTCTAATTTTTTGGTGACACGAATTTCTAATGTTTTCTTTTCTTATGTTGTATTTGATTTTTAATTGTTGATGATTAGATCCATTCGGTTAGGAACAAGTTCTAGATTTAGTTCTACAATTGCTGGACGTTTGGAAAAGCCACCACTTCGAGGTCAACATCGTTATTCCATGCAAAATGCTTTCTTAGCGGCTCTTACCATCTCTCTTGGCAGTGGATTTTTATTGAATACCTTTTTCTGGTTACCAAGGAAGAAGAGGATGAATGAATTTTTCGCAAATTATGATGATGCAAAAAGAGCCAAGGAATTAATTGAAGGAGGAATCCTTGATTTAGTTGTCGATGATTTGGATTAAACGAAATCAACATGTAATTACTCTAGTGAATGTTAATCATGTTACGATTTTCTTTCAACATCTTTAATCCCAATTTTCTTCAGATTTAAACATCTTAAAAACAACAAAAGTAGAAAGTTATAATTATTAATTAACATTTATGTTAACCGAAATATATAAAAATCAACCAGTGAATATTAGGATCAATTGTTGCTTTTTATTGTTACGGTTTTCATTGTTAATCCTATTTGGATATTGTGAATCCGGTGTATAAGAAATAAATTGTAATCAAAATGAGTTAATGATTGAAAATGAATTCAGTCTTATCTGTATAAGTTTCTCTCTCCTCTTTCCTCTAACTGATTATCTTTCATTATTTTGAAGAAAAAGTTTGTTAAATCTTCCAAATTGGGTTCGATTAAGATTATATTTTAGTTGTAAATAATTAGACAAGTTTCCATGCAGATTACTTGGATTTAGATCAATTTGATGATGATCACTAATCAAGAAGCTTTGACCGAAGGTAATCTTTCAACCAACCGTTGCATTCGTGAATATGCTTGTTCCAATTTATCCAACAATTTAGTTTCTTGGGCTGATCGATGCTCCTCATAATCGTTGACCAACTTAAGCGCTGAGAGACCAAAATTAAAACGATGATTTGAAGACTTAGAATGATCAGTTCGAACCTAATAATAAATGAGAAAAGTAAATAACGATCATAATTTGCAGGTAATTGATCTTTCAAAACGAAAAATTAACTAAATTCAACTTACGGAAATTGTACCGATAACATCTAATGAATTATTCGACTTGTGACAATCATGATCAAGTAAATTCTTGAGAAATGTTTGATCGAATGATATTTTCGGAACTTCTAAACGTTGATTAGACAATTCAGTTAGTATTGTGTTGATGTTAGCGATCATTTTATTCTGTCAGAGAAAAGAATGATTAGTTTGATTGTTCCATGTATTTTTTTTTGTTAATTTTCTATTTGTAATACTTACAATTTCGTCTAAAGTTGTGTTGTAGTTGATTTCTTTTCGCCTTTGTCTTGTCTGGAAAACGGTTACACTTCCGTTTGGGAAAAGATCTTTGATTGATAATTGTTCTTTGAAAAGAGAGTCAACATCTACCTGGGGAATTTGAGCTTTTGAGAAACTTTCACAGAACAATTTAATCATTTCTAAAGCTGATGATAGAGATTTAAATAGAGTCTCTTTCGTCTTCATCATGTCAGTTTTTCGTCTCTCCTGTTCCAATCTTTTTTCCTCTTGGTGGACAGCAGATAACAAACCACCTAAACCTTTTTCCACTTTGATAAGGTCATTTTTAAGAGCATCTCTCTTCTTCTTTTCACTAATTAAACTTGAAGAATCTTTGATTGCTTTAAATTTACTGGGGAAAAAAGAGAACAATAACTCAAATTAAAACAAGAAAAAAAAATGGCTGATTGATTAACCAAGAAAGAGGGAAACATTAACCAAGATTAAACTCTTTTGTTTAAAACTTACCTTTTAGATTTAAAATTTTCACTAAGTAAACTGAGCAATTTAATATAAAGATGACCATTTTTTGATGTAATTAGTCTAAAGAGAAGATGTAAAAAACATAATATTAATCAAAACGAGAATCACAAGGAAAAAATGACAATTTGAGAAAAGCGAATAACAAAATTACCTGGTTACATCTTTTGCTCCTATTTTAAGATTAGAAAATGGAAATTCCTCTTGAATCCATGTGACAACTTTAGATTCTAAAGATGACATAGTTTATGGTCATTCAATTAGAATAAATAAATAAAAACAAAAGAAATTAAGAAAATAGTAATTGGCAAATCAAATGTTAATCAAAACAAAAAATTGGAACAAAAAAAATGAGAAAAGAAAATAAGAAAAATGGTTTATTGGCGCGCTTTCGGTAACCATGGTAACCGTAACCACGTGATTCGGTTACTATGTTGTTGGAATGAAAAATTTGCTTCAAGAAAATTTCTTGTTGACATTTAATTTTTAGGAATTTAATTTTCTTTTTAGTGATTTGATTAGTGTTCATTTGGTTTTTTTTCTTTCTTTTTGTTTTGTTTGATTGGTGATCTTTTTCATTGCTTGTTGGGAGCGAAGGGGTAACTTGAATCGAAATGCTTCACTTTATGTTACTCTTTAGTCGCCAAGGAAAACTTCGTCTACAGAAATGGTTTGTTCCTCATTCGGATAAGATGAAGAAAAAAATTACCAGAGAATTGATGACGATAACTTTATCTCGAAAAGCTAAGCATTGTAACTTCATCGAATGGAAAGATTTGAAAATTTGCTACAAAAGGTATGCTAGCCTTTACTTTCTTTGTGGAATCGAGCAAGAAGATAATGAGCTCATCTGTTTGGAATTGATTCACCGATATGTTGAACTGTTGGATAAATATTTTGGCTCAGTTTGTGAATTGGACATTATATTTAACTTTGAGAAAGCTTATTTTATACTGGACGAATTTTTAATTGGTGGTGAGGTTCAAGAGACGAGTAAAAAGTTGGTTCTCAAAGCAATCAGCAGCCAAGATATGCTTCAGGTAAGATTCACGCCTAATCATCAAGTTGCCATTTTCCATTTACAAAATTATTAATCTCTTATTTTTTGTTCTTTTTTCTTCTAAATATTTCAGGAAGAAGAGATTCCTCAAGGATTCTTTGAGGACCAAGGATTAGGATGACTAGAGAAACCAAGTTTTCTCCATGTTAATCGATGAGACGTCAACCTCAATAGTTTAACTTGAACCAAAATGATTATCCAGTTGTTGTTTTAGCAAAGAATCAAGAACAATCTCCATTTCTATACCATATCTATTAATTAATATTGTGATTAATCAAATTTTACTTGTCTCCCATGGTAAACAAAATTACCCTGTGCCTGTTACCTTTGTTTTGTCTTCAATGTGATCGTTTCAATTTTTAACCTCTTCTCTCACAATTAAGATCAAATCTCACCAAGATCTCTTCCAATATACACAAGATAATTTAATTCCACTTTTAATTGTTACATTTCCAACTTCATGACATTTCAAAATTTCCACCATGACATTACCTCAATCAGAATTCAACCATCAATGGGACCAATTTCTAGAATCAATTGAAATCTCTTCCAATCGCATTTAAAGTAACCTTTAATTTGGTACTTAATCTCATCCGTTAATCGTTAATCTGGCTAATATCAACTTTCACCTTCTCCAACAATTTAAATCAAATTACATTCATTCCTAATTGGGTTAATCTATCAGATGTTACTTTAATTACTATTTTCATCTTGGCTAATGTTACCATTTCATAAGAGGAAACATTTATCACAACAATTAAGTTAATTGTGGTTTTCATATACAAAAGAAAATAACAATTATGGCTAATTAATCAATTAAAATATTTCCAAAATGAACTGAATTAATCTCCATTGATTTTTGATTCTAAGTAATTGTTTAAATAGCTTAATCAAAATTCAACAATCAACACTCACTGTTGATGAAGAAACTTAAATTGTACAAGTTTTTAATCATTTGGTGAGTTGATTAGTGAAATACAAAATTGTGATAGTTAAGACATCACTTAAAAATTATCAAATGAATGAATTTCGGTTAAACAATTATTATTACAATTAATTTTGCTTCTCAATTAGTGTTAAATCATTTAAAGCATATTCAATGTCTCTCTTGCATAATTTGAAACAAAATTTATCCAATCAAAGACCAATTAAATTAAAAGGTGAAATTGTCAATAAACAATTAAGATGATCAAGTAAATCAGTTTGCATTTTGTTTTTGACGATAAATTGATTTGATTTCAATTTGCTTTTGCTTGCCATCTTTATGAATCCTAACCAATTGTTAGCTAATCTTGTTAACAATTTAATTGTTGATTATTGTCCATGGATGATGATGGTCTTTAATCCAGATAAATCCTGAGTGAGAATTCATTCTGATTCCAATATATAACAGGAGTATTTCTAATTAGTGTGAAGCTTTTGTTTCCTTTCAATTATAAAAAGAGGATTAAAATTAACAGATTAAGAAAATGGATCTCAAGAGAAAGCATATCAATTAGTTAATTGTCAGGAATAGAAGGGTGAGTTTGATGACTATTAGAAGAAAATTGTATCTAAAAAGAGAAAAGTGAAAATAATGAAAATGAAATTCAAGGCTTGAAAATCAAAGAAAGACAAAGACAATGTTGAAATGGTGACAATTAGTTAATTACACCAAACGATTATCCATGAAAAGAGAACGAGAAATTTTCATGATAAGACTGATGATTGTTGATAGATGATGAGAAAGGTGAACATGTATGTTTACAACAATCAACATAAACTGCAATTCTAACCCGTTTGTTTACTGACCATAATTCAGTAAATTAAACAATTGGTTGTTAACCTAAAATTGAAGATCGTTGTTGTAACATCATTTTAACCCGTTCGGAAAGTTCATCGGGTATTTTGATTGAATTGGTACATTCTCTTGAAACAACGCACAGAAATTCAACACCAGAACCAAATCCATTGGGTATAGGAATTAATTGTTCAAATTTCCAACCATCAGACATCGTTGAAACCATTTGGGTGAGTTCCTCGGTTCCACATTGGATTACCCTGTAAACGTGCTTCTCATTATCACTATTTTGTTTGGACTCTTTGATACGTTGTTTACATATTTTGATTAAATCGGTTATGTTATAAAATTCTGCTTCTTCCAGAACGGCTTCTTCGGAAAGATCTTTATTGATGATTAGTTTACCATGACGAAGGAAATTTAAAATTGGACCAAAATAGGTTGGATCGCGATCGATAAGGTAAGCCCCTGATTCATCCTTATCACTACCAAGAGAAGGATCTTCTTCACATAATCGGTACAAGAAGGATTTGGGATCACGGCAAATTGTGGATCGAGTGGTCATGAAAATGGTTCCACCGACATTCAAGCGAACCCATTTGTTGTTGTTATTACAAATCGATGATTTTTTATCAGAACAACCATTGGATAGACCAATTGAATTGATACCATCATTCAAATCTTGTTGATCATTTTCTATCAGCGACATAATCAAAGATTGTTTTAAATTACTAATCTCACTATCAAGTAAACAATTAACAATAACAATGAAGAAGAAGAAAAAAATTGAAAGTTAAATGAAGGAGAAAAATGAAAACAATTAGAAAATCAAATGTAAAAACCAGAAGAGATGAAGAGATAAATTAGAGAAAAAAAGAAGCAGCTTATGCTGGGAATCGATTAAGATTAAAGATGAAAATGTAGAATTTTGAACAAACGAATCTCGAATTTTAATCCAATAGAGACACACAATTAATCAAGTAATTGGAATAGAAAACGAAACAATTAAAGTTAATTATTATTCAAAGATAAACAAAGATGAATACAAACAGAACCAGAGCTTAGCCGAAATTCCGATTAGTTCGAAAAAAGAACACCAGAGGGCGAAGTCCAATTTTCTTCGAAAAAAAAAAAAATCAACAATTAACTTTAATTATTTTCGAAATACTAAAGTTTAAATCGATAAAACCAATCGAGAATTCTGATTATCTGGCTAATCTATTTCCAAGTAATAGATTGGTAAGATTGTTAGAAAAACACATCCAATTGATTTTTCTCATTTCTCTCTGTTAATTGTAGACAAAAGAGTAAATTGTTACTCTGATTTCATTGGTTAATTGTTAATTATGGTGATTAGTTGATTGATGACAAAATGGAAACTTGATTAACTTTTCTTCCCCTTGATTAGGCTAATCAATAATTTCCAAGAAATGAGCATTAATGAAATAGATTTCCCGAAGATTTAAATTTAATCAGTATTATTGTTGTTAAACTTAATTAAATCAATAGTTTGGTTCATTGATTAAGTTGGTACTTGGGTCATTAACGTGACAATTATCAATTTACGGTTGATTGTTCATACATGATGAACAGCATTTGACAGCAATTAAACCGGATATGTGTTTGTTGAGAATCACTGATTTGGATAATTAATCAGGACGGATACGTAATAATTAGTTGGTTAATTTACATATGAACATTTTGTCATTAATTATATTGGAAGAATTAATTTTTAAATTGTAATTTAAATATTAGAAGAGTAGAAATAAATTAATTGTTTTGCCTTTTCTTCTTGATGATAATCAGTTAATCCTATTATCTTGATAATTTACAAATAACGTCAATATACAAAGATGATTGTTCAACGTCTTAGTTAACCTACACACAGAAAGGTAAACAAATCAGTTGATTGTTGGGCAAATTGTCAGTCAATTTCTTCCTGAAAATGTCTCTCCATGTCAATATGATGTTAAACTAAATTAACAGATTGCGATGATCACAGTAAATCCGATTTGAAGGTAAGAACAATCAGTTTGTAACATTAAATCATTGACGATTGAGAAAGAAACAATTAAATTAATTTTAGTACATTAACTGCCCACACTTTCATTTTGGTAAATAAAACAATCACAATCAGCAGACGATTTTGTAACAATTGAACAAGGATGAAAACTTCATGTTCATAATTTGCTGACAATCAGGGAAAATATTTTTGACAATTTACTAATCATCGCTGCAAAGTATCGATTCCTCCTCTTAATTGTTCATTTGTTAATTCTTTACAATTATTGGTTGGAAACTTTTCATTTCGCTCATAATGATTATTTCTAACTTTTAGTGCAATTAAATCGAGTCTCTTTTCTCTTTTTTCTTAATTGTTCATCAAATTATTGCCGAGTAATAATCAACGAGAGATTAAACTAATAACCATGGATCTTCAATTTCTAACTCCCGATTATCACATGTCTCGAATATTCAACATCTCCGGCCAAGGTGATCCTCGAACTTCAAACTTCTTCACATTTTATTGTAAAGTTTGGATTCTCTCGTTGGTCTATGTTGCCCTTTCGTCGCTTTATTTCATCTGGTTACCCAAATTCCAGAAAACCAGGGGAGTTTATCGACCCATGGAGGCTTTTATCGTTATCTACAACGGTTTCATGTTCGGTTGCTATGGAACTGGATTAGCGATATCTTATTATGCTACCAATCAATATTCAACCTTTTGGGATTGTTCACCGATCGATGTGAACGCCACTGATCCTAAGGCCACACTGACCGTTTTAATGGCCGTTGCTTTGAACTATTTGAAGATGATCCGTTTCCTTGAACCGTTGATGTACAAAGTTGCCGGTAAAAGGCCACCCTTTTCGGGGATAATTGCTGCCGAAGGTGCTATCGTTCATTTGTTGGCCATTCTACCGCTCAAGTATCAATGTGGTAACTTTTTCACTTATCCAACTTTTCTCGATGGCCTTTCAATGATCACTTATTATGCTCATCAAACACTCAAGTGCGGTGGTTTTATTCCCGTTCATTATCAAACTTGGCACCATTGGAATATTGCAATTCAAATCTTCACCCGTTATTATGTTTATAAACAGGCACTTTGGGGCTTAGATTCACCCGTTTGCCAAGGTGACGGCGTCATCAAGTCATTAATTAACCTTCAATATTGGGGAACTATGATCAGTTTTAGTTTCTATTTCTTTGATTTGTTCATCAATGGACAACAGAGTTGGAAAGACGATGAAGATGAAGATGAAGATGAAATTGGTCCCAAAGTCGATGGTAAACACTTGAAATCATCATGAGTATTAATCCATTGAGAGAAAGTTAAGACAATCAATCGGGTGAATTGTCAACGGTGTAATTTGTTGATGTAGAAAAAGTTTATAAATCATTTGGCGAAAATAAAAAATTTCCATTTATAAAAAAGTAAATCTTGATTTTCTTTCATTTTCCTAATTTGCTTGACCATTCCTGAGTTGATTGGACACATGAGATGAAAAGATGATTAAGATTTAAATGAACGGTGAAAAATAATAATCATAATAATTGGTTAGTTCAAATGTAATTTCACATTTTTACAATTGGGTAAAAAAAGAAAATGTTTGTCATTAATGTTAATCGAGTGGTAAGAGTATTTAGAAAGTCAATTTAAGGTATAAAAAGAATCACAATTTTAGCTTGAAAATGAGCTAATGGCATAACAATTTAGTTGTTTCATCTTCTGATTGTTAACCAGCAAATAAATTGTTGAGGTAATAAAATCATAGTTTTTTCCTGAATGCAAATCTTTCCATTAAATTTAACGTAGTATTTTTGGTTCCCTTTGTATCTGATTTCTTTTCCGATGGCGGTGTGATTCGAGTAATTGGTTCAGCGAGATCAATCGGATTGGGCAGTGATTGGGAAGATTGTGATGATTGTGGAGATGGTGAAGATAATGAGGAAGCAACTGATGATTGGCTTGAAGAGATTGATGATTGTGAACTGGGTGGTGTTGGAATTTCAGGTTTCAACTGCCTACAAGAATCATTATCTTCTTCTTCGTATGAATCAGTTTTAAGTGTACACAAAAAAGATAATCGTTTACGTCTTTTGTCCCGCTCTTCGATAAGTTCATCAAGTGATTTAGTTTTAATTCCATCATCAATTTCAGCGCTAAAAAAGTGACGAGATTTAACAATATCACCATCACTAGAATCATTTTGACTTGATTCTTTGTAGGTATCAAGTAAACTGGAGTCAATACTGATTCTTTTGGCACTTGGTGAAGGTTCATTGGAAGATCGTTTTTGTGATGAAAATGGAGATTGGGAAAAGAAAACATTTGATTGAGTAAGAGGAGTAGCCGGTAATTCACCAAAATCAATTCTACCAGCATAACGAATCTCTAAGGGATTAATTTCTCTTGGTTTATAGTTGATTGACCAAATGGAATCGTCTTTCTCATTCCTCGAATCATAAAAGTCTTCAGGCAACCAATAGTCATTAACTTTCATTGTTTTCTTATCAACATTACCTAAAGCCCATTGAAGAGCTAGTTCATTGTCAAATTTTTTACCAGCATAATCAATATCATTTTGATCAATAGAATCATCATAAGGATTGAGAGGAACTAATTTACGTTCAATTGGACAGAAAACAAGTTGATATTTGAAAGTATTTTCAGCTCGAATAAATCCTTCGATATAATCTTTATCCACTTTTAATCCTTTCATCTTAAGATAAGAGGGAACCTTTGGTAAAGCTTTTCTCATATCCTCATTCATAGTAACTCCGAAAAATTTTTTCGCTTTCTGTAATCCAATACCAGGTAAATTCTGAAGATAATCACATCCTGATAAGATGCACATACGGCGGAATTTTTCAACGGTAAAATTACTCGATTTGGGACCCAAACAATCGGGAATTTTACTTCGTCGGATAAGAACACCTTTACCAAGTTTATCCAATTTTACCAAGACAAAGTCACATTCAAATAGGAGTAGATCAGAATCTTCGGTTATGACAAAATGTCCAATCTTTTTCTTCATCAAATAACCAATTTGAGCATCAGCTTCATATGGAGCAACAATATAATCAATCTTATGTTTACGACAAGCAACAATCAACTTCTTGGCCATTTCTGGAGTAACATCGATGCATCTTTTCATTAAATCAGCCGCTTCACGAGTGTTTCCCTCTAACATGAGTTGTTGAACTCTTTCCTTTGTCTTCTCACGATTCCTATGATTATCAAAGAAAAGATTACAAAGGGGAGAAAAGAGAGAGAGAGAATAAATTTAGTAAAAATGAGAAAGTAACGTAACTAATAACTTTGAAAGTGAATAACAGTTGATGTTTGTTGGCACAAATAAAGTTATTAGATAATAATAACACAGGAAAAAGATCCAAGAAGTGAAAAATGTTGGTTTGTTTATGATTAAGATCGCGTGATGTTGATGATGATGTTTGTCTTTTGAGAAAATGAAAAAAGATTGTAATCAATGTAATCTAAATACCTTCTTCGAGCTTCTTCGGTGACTTTCTTGGATGGAAGGTTTAATCCATCAAATACAAGGATACATTTGATACCAATTTTCCTAAGAGATTCAACTTTATACAAACAATAGTCAACATAGTAACTGGTCTCCTTTTTGTGATAAAGATCCTCACTGCATCCATAGACAGCCTTGTGTAACCAACAATAAACGTCAACCAGGGCAACACAATTAGTTAATTCGCTTATATTAACGCTCATGCTGGCAGAATTCAAGAATGGAAGTAGCCCTTGAATACCCATAATTACAATAGAAATTAGGAATACAAGTTTTCACAATCAAGAAAATATTGAAACAAAGAAAAGAGGGAAATGGTGGACAGATAGAGAGAGAGAGAAAGATAGAAAAAGATTTACAAATTCATTGGATCAAAAGGTGATCAAAATGTAATTGGATAGAAAAGATTCACACACTGAAATGGGTAAAGATGAGGTAGAATTAATGTTAGAATATAAATTAATTATAAATTAACTCGAATTAATTGTAAAAAGAAAATGTTTTGTCAATCAATTCCCTCCAATCCATCGTTTGAATTTGAAAGTGTAAACGGTTGTGATGGTTTCCCAATGGAAACAGAAGATTTTGGCGGTTACTTTGACTCCAAAGGTTAATCAACATTCTTGTTGATGAAAACAAAGAAAACAAGTAAACATTATCTACAATTAAGTGATTAAATTATCAAACACAATTAGAAGAAAGAAAAATACATCACCGGATTACAATTAAACGCTTTCCAATCAACAAGGGAAATTTTTAATCATCCAAACCAACAAAAGCTTCACCAAAGTTTAGCGTTTAAATTGCGTTTCTCTCTTTTCACAACCAAGTAAATTCTTATTTTACAATTAGAACAATTAACTTAAATTTCAAACAATTAACTTGTTTCCGATCAAATTTCCCCGAATTTAATTTGATCTTTATCAAGAATAATTAATTGTTTACTTTTTAGAATAGAACAAAATTAATCGTAATCCAAGATGGATTTTAACACAGAAATGGGATCAAGTCTTAATGAATTGAATCCAATGTTAATTCAGTTAAAGCAAATTTTGAGATCAAAATCCAAGAATTGATATTACATGAGATATTTTCATGAAAAGAAACTAATTGAAACGATTGTTAATTATTTCACAGTATTTCTACTATTTAATTGATCACTTTTCATTAATTAAATAAGAATTACTAATTAGAGTTGAAAACTGATTAAACTTTTCTCTCTGTTATTTACACTATATGACCAAATTTCTGTCAAATCCAAATTAAGGAACTTAGCAACTAGAATACAAAAAAAAATTCAAAAATATAAGTGAAGGTAAATCAACACTTTGACTAAAATGATAATTTATTAATTGTTAATTAGATGCACAAGTCGTATTTGAACTTGGTGGTGGTAGTGATTGTGATTAATTTGTTGATTGTTATGGTGATGAAGATGATTAAATGATTAAGTTTAATTAAAACTTAGTGATTAAGATGATGATCAAATTGATGATTAAGTTAATTTTGTACATAGTTAATTTTCACTGTAACTAATAATTATTGCAATGAATGTGTAGATGATGATTGAGATGAAGACAAAGATGAAGATGGAGATGGTGAAGAGGGTTGAGAACCGAACGGGCCATGATACCATGTAGAAATTAAGTTTAATATCTTGAAAAACTTTTCGGTGGTATTTAGACCTCGTAAATAGTTGATTCGATAAATTGCTTCGAAAAAATGATCATCTCGCATCTTTCCATTGGCTGATTTAGGAACAATATCTTTAATTAATTTCCAAAGATTCTCAACTGATTGTGTATGAACTTCTTTTCTTATTGGATCAACGTAATTTTTTTTATGATTAACAACACAGTGTTCGTAACCTAATGAGGATAAATCGTTGTATCCTCTCCATCCATCCGTGTTTATTGTTGTTCCTTTTTCGACCCACTGCTCGATTATTGGATTAAGTTGAACTTTGCTTCTCTTTTTGGTAAGAACTACAAATACTTTTTTAGTACTCCTTTGAATACCTCCAACGAACCAAATTTGTTCCTTTTCGGTACTTAATAAACGACCCTTGTTATATTTTCGGGTGTAAAGGTGCGTCTCATCGACCTCAACCGTTTCACCAACACCGCCTAATTTTTCACCACTATTAACAACAGCATCAACACACACCTTACGAATAGAATCAAAATAATCAACAACAGTATTTTCACTCAGACCAGTTAGAATTGATACTTGTTTGACACCGAAATTAAAACACCAATAAAAAATTAGAATTAAACAATCAATTAAACTCAACTTTTTTCCTTCGAACCAAGTTTTGTGTGTCCAAGATAAACTTTTTCGACATTTATTACACCGAAAAGAGTATCCGAGTTTCATTTGTTTGGATTTAGTTGGTACCATTTTACCTTCACACTTAAAACAATTATAATTAATTAACTTTGGTAATAAACCAACTTTCTGACAAAAAGTAACACCATCGACACTTTCACCCTCGGTACTAATTTTCGAGGCAAAATTTGTAGGTTTGAGGTCAACGATTTGATTGAACATAATGAAAGGGTTGAACTTGATTGTTTCGATAACTAAACAAAACTGAGAAACAATTAGTTGAAATTTTTAAATATTAACACTTAATCTCTTTATTCTGATCATTTAATTTTTTTCCATTGAAATTTGTAAAGTTCTTAATCAACTTAATCATCTTCGTCTCCATCTCCACCTTCATACCTTCATCTTCATCTTCATCTTCATCTTCGTCTTCATCTTCATCTTCGACTGTATTAATATTGTATATTCATAAAGTATAAAATTAACTTAATCACTAATTTGATCATCATGATAATCAATTAAGTTTAATTCGGACTTAATCATTTGATCAACAATTGGTTTTCTTTCACCGAGTATCAACTCTACTTATATTTTTGAATTTTTTTCATTCTAATTTAATTTGAACTTTAAAAGAATAATTAATTGTTTACCACAATAATTGAACAAAATTAATCTTCTATTCTACTCCATCTGGTGGAGATTCGATGAACTGATCATGGAAAATTCTATTCTCTTTTTTGTTTTATTCTCTCGTTTTATCTGTGGATTAGAAGATATTTTTCTCTCTCTCTCATAAAATCATCGTCGCAATTGATTTTACTTTTATTTGTGTGACATTTGTTTTCTCTTCTGATTGTACTTGATATTAGATAATCTCTTTTCTTTTTTTCTACAATAAATTCTTCCCTGCTAATTGAAAATCTTCAGATTATCATCATTCAGCAACCATTTCATCAGCTGCTTTTCTTGATTCATTTCTCTTGGTTGGTTATTCTTTAAGTGTTTTTCCATCTTTCTATTTTTCTTTCTTTCGATTTGTCTTTCTATCTTTTTTCTTTCTTCAAATTTCATCCTTTTTTTCTGTGCTTCGTATTTCTCTTGATCGCAATTCTAATCTTTCACCTTTTATTTTATTTTATTTTTCATTTTCTATTGCAGTGAGAGCGATTTACAACCTTGATGTCAACGATGGATAGTAAACGAGTACTAATTGATGGTAAGTATTTCTCTTTCTTTTCCCTTTTCCATTTAGCTTTCTTAGCTTCTTTTCCAATATCTGTCTCTTTCTCTATAATTTTGTTTATCTTTCTGTGTTTATGTCTTCTTCTATCCTCTTTTCCTTTCGTTTTTTCTCTGTCTCCATTTTTCTAGCTCTTTCTATTTTATCTTAACCTTCTACACTTCTCTTTTTATCCCCCTTGTTCTTTTTGTTCTGTTGATTCTATTCTATTCTATTCTAATGATGCGAAATTGTTTTCTATTTTTTCTTTATTCTTCGTCATTTTACAGAAACGTTAAAAAATAGTAGTCAGGGTATTCCTAGTCTACAACCAAAGTCGTCAATGCACCTCGGCGAGGGCCCACTGTGGTGCTCCTGATGCGCCCCACAACACTGCTAACAACATCACCCTAATCGAAATAGAGATGCGCAGTGGTGTGGGGAAGTTACATTCTCCTTACCATATAAATAACCTTGAGAAAGTGTTGAAGGAGACAGAAGATCATCCCATTTGGTTGAAATTTATATTCAACACCTTGGATCATGGCAGAATTGCATTGGATTCCATTTTATGGTCTGGCAATCTTTACTTAGGAGCAAAGGCAAATCTAATTCAAAAAATATCCAAAGAGGAATTTATTAACCTTTTAGAACTTGCTGAAGAAGATCTTAATTGTGACCATGTCATTCTTTGTATTCCCAAGAAAGAACCTGACCGAAACTTAATAGTTCGTACATTTATGTACTTTGGTTTCACATTATTGGCTCCCAATAACCAATTAATACCTGCCGATGCAAACTCTGATGACTTATACATGGCAACAAGTTTCAACTAATTCAGATAATTATCATCATTTTCTCATCTTAAGATAAAAATGATACAATGATCGAAAAGCCATTCACACACACACACATAAACACTAAACAAAAAGAAAATCAAAAAAAAATTATAATTAACTCACAAGGAAAAAAAGGTCATCATTAATCACAATCAAATCAATTTCTTCTGTTTCTCCTCCACACACTTTCACAATGTTGTATCGCTATTATTATACTTTACCATTACACATACACACTCTCTCACACATATACATTAATTTGATTTATTCTTAATTTTTTTTTCTTCTTTTTACCTTACAACAATTAACTGTTATCCTTGAAACAAAATTCATGTTGATTTAAATTTGAAAATTAAAAATCACCTCAAATCACATGAAACAAAAAAAAAACGTTCAAAGTGAAAATCAAATGAACGGTAAATAGAAATGAAAAAGTTGGATTTCCAATTGTTTACCAACAATTAAATGGAAATCACTTGAAACAATTAATCAAAGATTCCGTTGATCATGTTTACTCAAACAGGTCATACAATCAAGTTAACAATCAATTAGATTTTTCCAATCAAACAATTACCAATAGATAACTAATATTACCTTTAATAACAATCAACGAGAGGGAAACGTGATTAGTGTGAATTCAGTTTATCAACAATTAATCTAATTCCAATCGAATTGTTTGTTTTTCTAATATGCTGGTTAACTTTCACTAATTATGATTAAAAGTCATAATAATCAAGTAAATTGTTTTGAATTAATCATATTGATGGAAAGTAAAATAAATCCAATGGAATCAAAAGATAAACAATCAATTCTCTGATTAAACCGATAACCATGAGAGAATCAGTTGAATATCAATAATCATTGAAGGGTGAAAATTTTCCTCTAGTTAATTGTGCCAAACAATTAAGACGAATTAATCTTAGAAACTTAATGGGAAGGTAAATAAAATTGATTAATATTAATGTTACGAAAAAAAAAATTGAAATAAACTTAAATGAGGTCATAAATTATACAAATAATACAAATCGATGATGAATGAAACTAAACTTACACAATACAAATCGATGATTATGATGATTAGTAAATTAAGTTAATCAGCAAACCATGAGAAAAGAGGAAATGATTAGTAAGAGAAGAAAGAGAAAAAGAAAGAGAAACCTTTTAAATTGTTGAACAACAATAACAAAAAGAGACCAAATTGATTCTCATTGAATCAATTTGGATGATGATCATTAAATTGTTGATGGTGATTCTTTAAAATCCCTACGAGTGAGAGAGACAGAGAGAGAGAGAGAGAGAGTATTAATATCATCATGAGAAAGTGTATTGGAAATAATTGATCAATGAATTTCTCATTTGGACAATTAGAAACATGAAAATGAACCAAAGGCAACGAGAAATCAACAATCAGGAATGAGTGTTTATTGTGATAAAAGTGACACCCGAAAACAGAAACATCATCATGAAGAAGATAAAATTACATCAATCCGGTCAAAGGAAACGGATGATAAATCCTCTTGTTATAATTTACCTTCAGATGATGATGATGATGTTGTGATGATGATGATGATGATGATGATGTGGTAACATCAAGCGCTGAATGGAACCAGATCTGATTTTTGGAGAGACTGAAGATGAAGGTAGAGACGAAATGATGATGATGATGATGATGATGAAAAGAAGCTGGTTTGACGAGAAGAGAGAAAGAGGGTGTTCACCTGAGGAAGAGAAAGAAAGAAGAAAAAATGATGGAGAAAGAAAAGAAAGAGAATGATGATGTTGGCCTTAGTTTTATAAGCGAATCGGCAACAATTAGTGATCAACTTTTGAGAGAATCGGTTTACCATCACGAGAATCAACATCAGCATCGTTTAAATTGTTTTCCATCAGTAACCAGTCACCAACCAAAAGTTATTTGTAATTGTGATTAGTTGATACAAGAGAACAAGAAAGAGAAGAGAGAGAGAGAAGATAAAAGAAAGAGAGAGAAATTGTAAGAAGAAGAGAAAGAGAAGAGAAAAAAAAAGAAAAGAAAAAAAGATCAACAACCAGTTGGTTTTTTCTTTTTCTGGTCATGGTGATTCTTCTGGTTTCCATCGGTTTTCTTTAGTTCCAATTAGGAATTTTCAACATTTTCGCCATCAGTTAATCGTCATTCTCTTTAATTCTAATAATCTGTGTCTCCATTGTCATCGATTACAATTAAAGAATAAGAATTAACAATTCTAAAAATATTCTTTTTGTAGAAAAGAAGAAAAAAATTCTTCTGGTCATCAAAGATTCTAAAGTAACAACAAAGGAAAATTGTGATCACTGTGTTTCTTTGTATTTCCATGTTTATTTTCATCTTTAATTTAGAATTTAATTGTCATGATGATTAATTTAATTGCTTTGATTCAAGTGAATTTGAATTAGTTAATAGGGCAACCGATTTAACAGCAATTAAAGTGTTTATCTAATTCTCATCCTATTGGATCTAATGTTGAAGGTTCTATTTTTTTCTCAGATTTGGTTACCAATAAAATTGGATTGTTTACCTTTTTAATTGTTGAATTTACAATTAAAACCAATAGAAGTATCGATTCTCAATTTAATTATTATTCTAAATTGGAACGACAACAACACAACAATTCACAATTGAACAGTTTTCTTCATCATCCCAAGTTTAGTTCAACAATAGAAATATATTTTCTTCACAATCTTATCTAAATTTAATCCGGTTAATTTAATCCAACTAATCTCATCAAGAAACACCCTTAATCGTTTGGCCAATGTTACCAATCAATTGAAATGGTCGCTGATTCCGATAATCATCAAATTAATGGTGAACCAATGACCATGACAATTAATCATTCCAATCGGGAGATGACCATGTTTATGAATAATATGGATGGTCATCATTATGAGAACCTAAATGTTTATCATTCTAATCATCAGAATAATCATCAAATTACCAATGGTAAAAGTGTAAATTCATATCTATCCAAGGATCGATCTAATTCCGCTAATAGTTATTCATTGGAATCAAATTCGAGTGGTAGTAATACAAAGGAATCTTCATCCTCACCTCTATCTGGTGGTGGTTCTAATGGTGGAAGTTGTGGTGATGATACACACGGAGATGAATTACAATATGGACCTGGAATTGTGGACAAATTGAGATCGAAATTTTTACAATACAGTCTACAAACATCTACTAGAACCAATGGTTACCACCGGTCAGTTGTTAAAAGATGTTCTTCTCTTGAAAATTTGGCCGATAGAGATTCACCTTCATCTTCACCCTTATTCCACCATAGTACTTGTAATGGTAACAATTATGGCCTTCGTAAAGGTCCTAATTATGTTAAATACCATCAACATAATCATTTAACAAGCAATAATAATAATAATAATAACAATAATCATCATCGAAACAATCACAATAACAACACTACCAATAATCAAATTAATCATAATCATAATCATAATCATTACTCTTCACAATCTAATCATACCAAAGGTAATAATCACAATGGTGTTGATTCTGGTATAGACTTAAATGGAAGTGCTGTTGTAATTGGTAGTCCTGATGGTGGTCTTGGTGTTGGTGTTGGTGTTGGTGAGAGTGAGAGTGAGGGTGTTGGTATAATTAATAATAATATTAACAAAGGATCAATTAATGGGAAAACATTTCAATCATCATCTTCTACTCCAACACCAACCATAGCACCAGAGAAACGAAACTCTTGTTGCCTCATAGGTTCCCGGACGATAAATGGTTTTACATCATCGTCATCATCATCATCATCATCATCATCCTCTTCTTCATCCTCTTCATCTTCAGGGAGAAATTATAGAAAACATGAACAACAGCCAATTAAAAATAATCATTACCATCATTTAAATCAACATTCATCCATCTATCATAACCACAATCATCGATATAATTGTGATGGACTATTGAAAAGAGCCCAAAGCGTTGAGACTCTCCTATTAGAATCAAGGAACTCAACTAAATCAACAACTTCTAATTCTAATTCTACTTCATCAGCTTCCACTTTCACTGATTGTAATAATATTAATTATAATAATTCAACCACCATCACCACATCTAAATCGACATCCACATCCCCCACCACTACTACTTCTACCATTTCTTCAACAACAATAGTTGGTGCTAATTGTTATAATTCAAATCTAAATTCAACTCGACTAACTTCACCTACTTGTAATTTAAACTCTACTTCTACTTTTTCGTCCAACATTTCAGGATCTGAAAACTGTGAACCTTTACCATTACCATTAACAGTTTCGTCGACTAATCAACAACAATCAAGATTTCAGTCAACCAATAATAATAATCGAGCCAGTGTTAATTCACCACCACCACCACAAACAACAACAACAACAACAACAATACCAAGTAACAAGGTTAACAGTGTCTCTCAAGTTAATAATCACCTTGTGATCAAGCAACAAGATTTTCTTGATACTGTTGCCACCAACACTCATACCAGCATCTACAATACATGTAAGAAAATGTCCTCGGAGGATACCAATACTATCGTTGTTGATAGTTTACCACCACCAAGTGAAATGAAACACAAATCTTCAACACCATCAACCTTAACCTTAGATAAAAAAATGATCGCTGATATAACAACAGTAAACAACAACAATAGTGATCAAGTTAATCATGGACCCCGGAAATTGGCTCAAGATGAATTACCCAAACCGGATACAGTTAAAAATTGTAAGAAAATATTTGAAACTAATTCAGTTTCACCAACACCTTTAACTGGACCATTGTCACCATCATCATCATCTAATCAACCAACAACACCACCAACTAATGATAACAGTTCAAGTAACATAAACCACAACAACAACAACAACAATAATGATAACCATTCAAATTGTTCACCAAATGAAAGTGATTCCCGCAATAATAATGGTACACAAGCTTATCGTAAAGGTGGAATCTATGGTTCATCTAATAGTGCCATTCGTCGTAAGCCTCCAGTTTTGAGTAGCATCGAGAAAAAGATCACAGTTAATAAAGTAACGATTAATAATAATCATAACACCGCCAACAACAATAATCATAATAGTAACAACAATCGATTGATTAACAATTCAGGAACAAGCTCTTCACCAACATCTCCAGCACTTCCACCAAAACCACCTTTCCTGATCACCAAGAAATCACCTTTAAACGTTGAATTAAACCATGTGAATGTTAACAATTATTCAAGTGCCATAAAGCCAATCGGTAAATTGTCACCAAATGAATCAAATAAGAATAAAATTAACAGTGGAAAATCATCATCAACAATCAATGGATCTAAAGATTCAACAACTCACAATAATAATTCATCAAAAAGTTTGGTTAACAAAAGTAAACCTTCATTGCCATCACAATTAACACTTAAGCCAAAGTTAATTAACTCTAAATCAGATGAATCATCGCCACCTTCATCTCGATCATCTTCCTCATCTTCACCATTGTTATTATCACCATCATCTTCATCATTTGTCCCACCGTCACCTTTAATTTCAAATGGTTCAAAAAAGTGTATCAATGGTGATGATTTAAATTCAACAACAATTAAAAGTAATGATGGTGATACAATTGATGGTTGCCCATTGATTTCAAGTCAACAATTAAAATCAACAAAAATGTCTACAATTAATCAACCATATTCACCATCTCTCGATGAGGAAATAGATAAATCTTTAATCAATAATCACAAGATTAACTCGGATCAAAGATCAACATCAACAGTGTCAACAACAACCAGCTCAATGATAACCAATAAACCAATTGCCAATATTAAACCAATACAATTAGATTTAAATGAAGATCATCATAATCGTTGGAAATCAACAATTAATAACAGCAAATGCGATGAAAAATCAACTGAGAAAGTTTTTCCACCATTGAATGTGACCAACACTCTCAATAGTAATAATCATAATTTAATTACTAAGGATCAAACAAATAATGATTTTAATTGCCTTCCCAGTGAAACTAAGTTAACTTCATCATCACCAACAGCAACAACCATTACAAGTGAATCAACTAATCACCATAATAACAATAACAATAATACTAATAAGGATAGGAATAAAATTAATCACTCTATCAATAATAGTAAACCAATTTCTAATAATAAAAGGGTTGAAATTGTTGAGAAGACCATTAATAATACACCAATGATTAACAAAGAAAATCCAACCAATGGACCAATTAAATCTCGTTGTTATCCCTCATCATCATCATCATCATCATCATCTCCACCAACGATAACATCAACAGTCACATCTAAACCTCAACCATCATCGGGAACCACAATGATTTTTGATTTTCGAGGTAAAAATGTTAAGGCCAATGTGGCCGTTCATAGTCCACCTTTTTCCGTGGTTCGTCCTCCATCATCATCATCAAGTATCGGTGGTCGATCTGATGATAATGAAGATGATTACAATTACACCGGATCAACGGAAGTACCAAAGCCCAGTGGAATCACATTTAAGGGTGAAAATATAATCATCGACGGTGGATCAATGTTAATCAAACGTAATAAGAAGTTAACAATTTCGTTTGATGATAAGGCTACATCGACATTTGAATATCCATCGGAAGCATCATTCATTGAAGAATCCATGACAATCAATTTTGGATCTAATTGCCAACAATTAACTAATCCAGATGAATCTGTGATACAACAATCAACCAATGGATCAAGTCTTAAAACAATACAACCTTAGGAGGAGCTTTTTCAGGCGGATTGGCTTCATACAAACCAACATTTCTATCAAGTGAATCCACTTCATTTCAATTGGGTGTTTCCAGGGTAATTAAAGGTGAAAGTGATAATATTAAATCATCAAATAGTGATTTAATTAATGATGATGAATCTAATCAATCAGCTGATCAAGATGATACATCATTTGGTATGATTAAACCAGCTGAGCCAAGTGAGACAACATCATGGTCAACATCATCAACAGCACTTGATTTGTTATTTTAATTGGGTCAAAATTAACTAATTGTGCAAATTAAACTTTATTGATGATGATAATGATTAGTGAATTAAGTTAATCAGCAAACCATGAGAAAGAGGAAATGATTAAGAGAGAGGAAAGTAAAAAGAAACCTTTTAAATTGTTTAACAACAACAACAAAAAGAGACCAAATTAATTTATTGTGAGAATCAATTTGGATAATGATGATCAAATTATTGATGGTGATTCTTTAAAATCCCTATGAGTTAAAGAGAAAGAGTATAAATATCATCATGAATTGGAAATAATTGATCAATGAATTTGCGATTGCGATGATTATAGAGAAATCAAAATGAACCAACAACAATCATAAAGGAATGAGTGTTAATTGTGATAAGAGTAACACCCGAAAATAGAAACATCATGAAGCAGATAAAATGATTTGAATCCGTTCAAAGGAAACGGATGATAAATCCTCTTGTTATAATTACCCTTTAGCTGATGTGATGATGTGGATGATAATGGTGATGAGGTAACATGAAGCGCTTTATGGAATCAGATCCGAGATCTGGAGAGAGACGGAAGATGATTAATGTAGAGACGAATGAAAAAAGAAGCTGGTTTGACGAGAAAGGAGAAAGATGATGTTTGGCCTTACAAGCGAATCGGCAACAATTAATGATAAACTTTTGCAAGAATCAACTCCATCGTTTAAATTGTTTTCCATCAACAGTCATCAACCTAAAGTTATTTGTTGTTATTGTGATAAGTTGATGGCGGAAGAAGAATAGAAAAGAATCAGCATTTTCACCATCAGTTGAACAATTTAAAAATATTCTTTTCTACAAAAAGAAGAGAAAAACTCTTCTGGTCAACAAGATTCTAAAGTAAAAGCAACAACAAAGGAAAATTGTGCTCACTGTGATTCTTTAGAACTTTTATCTGGCGGTTGTTCTAATGGTGGAAGTTGTGGTGATGATACACACGGAGATGAATTACAATATGGACCTGGAATTGTGGACAAATTGAGATCGAAATTTTTACAATACAGTCTACAAACATCTACTCGAACCAATGGTTACCACCGGTCAGTTGTTAAAAGATGTTCTTCTCTGGAAAATTTGGCCGATAGAGATTCACCTTCATCTTCACCCTTATTCCACCATAGTACTTGTAATGGTAACAATTATGGCCTTCGTAAAGGTCCTAATTATGTTAAATACCATCAACATAATCATTTAACAAGCAATAATAATAATAATAATAATAATAATCATCATCGAAACAATCACAATAACAACACTACCAATAATCAAATTAATCATAATCATAATCATAATCATAATCATTACTCTTCACAATCTAATCATACCAAAGGTAATAATCACAATGGTGTTGATTCTGGTATAGACTTAAATGGAAGTGCTGTTGTAATTGGTAGTCCTGATGGTGGTCTTGGTGTTGGTGTTGGTGTTGGTGAGAGTGAGAGTGAGGGTGTTGGTATAATTAATAATAATATTAACAAAGGATCAATTAATGGGAAAACATTTCAATCATCATCTTCTACTCCAACACCAACCATAGCGCAAGAGAAACGAAACTCTTGTTGCCTCATAGGTTCCCGGACGATAAATGGTTTTACATCATCATCATCATCCTCTTCTTCATCCTCTTCATCTTCAGGGAGAAATTATAGAAAACATGAACAACAGCCAATTAAAAATAATCATTACCATCATTTAAATCAACATTCATCCATCTATCATAACCACAATCATCGATATAATTGTGATGGACTATTGAAAAGAGCCCAAAGCGTTGAGACTCTCCTATTAGAATCAAGGAACTCAACTAAATCAACAACTTCTACTTCTAATTCTAATTCTACTTCATCAGCTTCCACTTTCACTGATTGTAATAATATTAATTATAATAATTCAACCACCACCACCACATCTAAATCGACATCCACATCCACATCCCCCACCACTACTACTTCTACCATTTCTTCAACAACAATAGTTGGTGCTAATTGTTATAATTCAAATCTAAATTCAACTCGACTAACTTCACCTACTTGTAATTTAAACTCTACTTCTACTTTTTCGTCCAACATTTCAGGATCTGAAAACTGTGAACCTTTACCATTACCATTAACAGTTTCGTCGACTAATCAACAACAATCAAGATTTCAGTCAACCAATAATAATAATCGAGCCAGTGTTAATTCACCACCACCACCACAAACAACAACAACACCAATACCAAGTAACAAGGTTAACAGTGTCTCTTAAATTTGTTATCACCTTGTGATCAAGATTTTCACGAAACTTGTCCGACTTTCAATTCCAAACGGCAAGAACATTAAACTCCGATACCTTCGTCAGAAAGTATAAAGAGATTCGGTCCAACATAAGATTTTATATAAAATATGAAATTCGTTGATTAATTGGAGTGGTGATCGCTCATGAAAACAGGAGAGATTGACAAGGATATCCTGTTCTTTTGACAACAAAGATCAACCTTTCGAAGGTCGGATAATTTGTATTCGTCAGATTATCTCAAACAAGGTCTAATAAGGAAATTAGATTCTTGGACACAACCAACAGTTGACCAAGGGAGCTCTTTACTGCACTTCAATCCAATTGTAAATGGATCAATTTATTCCCAAACTTATCCTAAATTGTAAAACAAAAACCAATCAATTGGTCAAAAAAAAATGATGTAAAAATAATGAATGTTACTTATGAAACAATTGTAAACTATTATATATATTATATATTCAATGAATCAACTCACTTTTCACCTTTGGTTTATATCATGACCTCTCGAAAGCACCATTTGAGAGGTGCTTAGTCATGTAGAGATGACCTTTAGGGTCACAGCTGAGCTGGAATAAACTTGCTCTTGAAAACAATTTTTACATTAATAATTAGTTTCAACGAATCCGATTTGCTATTAATCGAGAAAAATTTTCCACAACAAATATCGATTTAGAAATTGATCATCATTGGTCGATCGTTTCGATTGATCGACCAAAATGTTCGATTTTCTATTCTCTCAACCAATAAATCGAGTGTGAAATCGATACTTGAGTAAACTCTAATTAGTTTAATTTTGTGTCTATTCAAAGATGAAATTAATATAATTAATTTCAATTGGGTTCTAATTATTTTTACCTTTAATCAATTAACCCTTTGTGTTGCATTTATCCAGTTCTCAGTCAGAGGTTCGATTGGTTCCCTATGAGGTGAAATTCGCTTTAAGAAATCATCTAAAATTTTCTCTTCTCTTTCTTCTGATTTTGCTTTGCCAAGAATCATTTTCTTATCTCAAGTTGAGCTTTTTTGTTATTGTTGAGACGAATTCACATTTTCCTTTTTTTTCCTCTGGTAAGTAAAATTTTATTTTCTATTTAATTGCTGATTTGCTTTATTTTTCTATTTCTTTGGAAATTTTCCTTCATGTTTGTGCTTTTCTCATGTTAACCATTTCCACCTTAATTCTCAAAATAAGTGGTAAAGGTAAGAGGTGAGCGAATTTGATTCTTCTGCTTGAAAATCATCTGTTTTTTAGTATGCGCATAGAATTGGGTTGATTCTTTTCATCTTTTTCTCTCTCCTTTTCTACCATCAAGGTTGAATATTCACAAACTTTTCTCAACACCCTGTATTTACCTTTCTGACCTCTTCCACATTCACTTCTCATTTTCAGCTCTTTTTCTCTTTTCATTTGCAATTATTCATCAATTTTTCAAGAGACAATTATGGTCGTCTGCAAATACTATCAAACTGGCTTCTGTAGATTCGGTGATCGATGTCGATTTGAGCATGTTGATCGGGGTAAGTTGAAAGTTTTCTTTGAGAAAATGACCTTTCCCTTTCTCTTTTGGATCTTACCCTTTTTTTTTAATGTTGCTCTCACATCTTTATTTCGTTAATCACCTGATCAAATAAATCATTTCCCATTTAAATGGAAATTTTCTCTTTTATTGTTCTATTCAGTAGATTATCCAAACAATCAAAATCAACGGTATCCTGAACAGTATGTAAACCGATTCCCAGGGTCAACTTATATCAATAACCCGGTTGCTACTGTGGTTACCGGAATCGGATCGGGTTATAACCAACGAGGTCCAATGGTTGCTCTTAAAAAGCCTGACCAATATCATTATGTTGCTTCGGTGTATGATAGGCAATTTCAGCCAAATTGTGGACAATCATTTAACCATCAAAGTAGACCACAACATGGTCATACTGGACACTCAGGAAATGGTGGTGCCAATACCAATAATGGTACAAATGGTTTAGCTCATCAAAGCCATCATCCTCATCAACAGCAACATGGTATCATACCTGTTCAATATTGGCAAGTTCAACAACAGCAACAACAGCAGCAGCAAGTTCAACAACAACAACGTCACCATCAACATCAACAACAGCAGCAACAACAACAAAGGCATCAACAAATGCAATCTGCATCCCTGCATCATCATCATCAGTCTCACTCGAGCAATCAAAGGCAAACCCAAGTAGGTCATCATGGTCAAGGTCAAAGCGGAGGACATCCTGGCCCCTCTGGATCAGGAGTCCAACACCACCAACAATCAGCTGGATTTAGCTTCAATCAAAAGCTTAAAGAGATTGAGTCCAGTCAAAGTAAGAGATTTTTCCTTAATCCTACACCTTAATCGAAAATTTTTTAAGAATCGAAAGCTTTTAAAACTCAATTCATCTTTTAATCCTCTCTCTATCTCTCTCCTTCATCATCATCATCATCATCTCTCTCTCTCTCTCTCTCTCTCTCTTCTTTCTTTCTTTCTTTCTTTCTTTCTTTCTTTCTTTCTTCACCCTTTAGAGCCTCAAGCTGGGTTTAGTTTCAATCGGACTCTTCAGCAAATTCATCAACAATATCAGCCCCATTTAGCTCAACAGGCTCAAAATCAATACTATCTAACCCCAACGCCTATGTTAACTGTTCCTGTTCAAACACCTTATTACGGAGTAACTATGCCTATGCCAATGGCTGCTAATCAATTAGCACCGATGTTTCCCTCAATGTTGCCAACCAATAATGGAGATCCAAAAATGATCACCTCATATTTACCTCAACAACAATCAACCCAAGGCAAGATCTCAATGAATCTCTCCGATGATGATAGTGGTATTTATAGCATAATGAGCTCTCTCACTCCCGAAGAACTGAATCAATATAAGGCTGATAAATTTACATTTCCTCATATTCCAATCAACCCTCCACCAAAGGAACTTTGCCTTTGAAGTTGACACCAACATTCCTAGTCAAATACAATTGATTAAATCAAATGTGAAAACAAATTTCTTTTCTCAAACAAAATAGGAAAATTCAAAATTTACAATTGATACCATTTTTAGTAGTTAAACTAATTTATAAAATGGAAAATCTTTGATCTCTTTTCTTCTATTTCTTATGCTCTCTCTCTCTCTCAATTTCTCTTTTTCTGTAATGTTGAATTCCCAATGTTTTCATTCGTGAGATTGTTCCGAGGAAAATGCTTTTCTCGCCCTATTTTTAGCGAATGAGTTCTTAATTCTGTCTTTTAATTCCAGGAGATAATAAACTTGTTCCCCTCAAGAAAAACCATCTACCTGACAATCAACCATTTCTTTTCTCATTCTATTGAGCAATTTATTTTTCTTTCCATTTAGTTGATCAAATTAACACAATTGATTCGATTTTAATGTTAACCATATTCTCACTTAGAAAATGGTTTAATTGTTAATCGACAATTAAACCAACACACACATACACATCATCAAATTGTTTGCTACTATTTAGATTGAAAGAATTGATTTTGATTAAAATTTTCTTATTATCATGTCGTTGAGTTACTCTAAATATGATTACTTATTATTATTAACTATTAATACAAATAAAACAATTTGTTACAATTAACTTTTCATCTTTTCAATTGAAAAATTTGCTATCAATGAGATGATAAACCTTTTCTATCAACAATGAACAAAAGTTTCCCGAATAAAACAATTAACTTGATTACCATTATCTCTATTTAATGTTGATTGTTAATTGTGAACAGGTCAAGTTTGATTGTTAACTCTTCTTCAACTGCAGTTAGCTTTTCACAAATTAACGTTAATTTTTACAATAGTTATAATTTTCTGCTTAATTGTATTGTAACTAATTCACTGAATGGTAACCTACAAAAAAAAGAGATGAAAAAGAATCAAAATTAATTGTAACAATTGAGAATCAGTAACATTACCATTTCAGTCTAATGAATAATCTCCGTATCAATCTAAACCTTTTTCGTATCACAATTGGATTTATCTTGATTACGAAGGCGTAGGCTGATTAAATTAGTAGTCGTACTTTAATTGTCCACAATTAATTTAGTTTAAATCATTGGAAAGGTAAACACTTTTACCATCATCAAGTATCTCAGGTAAAAACCATAAAGGAGATTAATGATGTTCACTTTGATTGGAATAATTTTCTCATCACTTTTGAAGTTTTTTTTTGCTCAATTAAATTAAATCATTTCCATCTTAATCCATATCATGGTGAGGATGATCCGCCATCAACAATTTAATCACAACCACTTAACAATTTAATTAATTTCAAATGGCAAGTGAAAGTGATTACAAAATCCTAATATGGTTTAGGAGATTTACTTTTAAAGGTAAACAACAAATTAACTTCAATTGATTGCAGTTAAATCATAATCAGTAGAGGTCACCCGATAGAGAGACTATCATCTAATCAAGAGATTTCATCTAATTAACAATTAGAATGTAAATTAAAATCTTAATCATTAAGGGTTCGTCTACACACCTAATCTTGTGAAGAGACAAAAATATTTTCCGATTAAAAAGTTAACCCATTTCTTAATCAATCGTTTTAATTTTAATCATTTCTGTTTTTACCTTTCACAATTATTAGTATTGTTTGTTAATTGTTCACCACACCTTTTTAATTAGCTGTTAATCATGTTCTTATAAGTGGGTTAATCAAATATATTAGTTGACCAGTTGATTGAAAATGAATGAAATGTTTGTAAGTTTATTTTTTGTTTTCTATTCACAAACTGAATCAATTTTTTTTAATTGTATTTTCTTAATTCCCTTTTTAACACCACAATTAAGATACAATTAGTTAATCATCATCTTTAAAATGATTTAAAGGTGAGTAATCCTGATGGAGATTAGTAATTAATATACTTAATTATAACAAGTTATCGGTTTGTTTTCATTCAGATTGATGATTTGATTTTCTGATTTCTTTCATTAGCAATTTAGTTTTGATTGTTTTCTTAATTGTTTCATTTAATTAGAATCATTAGATATTTAGATATCCACTAATTGTTTTTTTCTTTTCTCAATAACTTTGATAATATTTTTCTCCCATTGGTTAGCTTATTTCAACCAATTTTCAATTCACGGCGAAACAATCAGTTAATTAACAATCGGATGTGAGATTTTCTATTAATAATTTACAATTAATAATGGAAACTAACCAGAGGATGGATACAATTAGGATTCGTAATCAGAATCTACAGTTAGTTGGGGAAAACACTATTAATTGTAAGCTGAACAACAACATGGTAACGACCTGATCATCATCCATGTTAATTGTTACAATGGATTAATTTTTGTTTCCTGTGTACATGATCAATGGATTATCGTAAATTGTTACTTGTAGATTATAATCAAAAAGATGAAGATAATCAAAACCAAATGATCCCAAGTAAAGAGTAATGAAACTGATTGCTCTTTGATCCGATGTAATAGTCGATTGATTAGATGGAAGATCGTTAATTGTGTTTACGTTTAAATAGCAAAAAGATTCAACTTTTCAAAGGTTTAGATAATTTTGATGTTGGAAACTAATTCCAACTTAATTGTTTGACTTTAGTTTTATTTCATATTCTTTGCTTTCTTATTGTTTATGGTAGTTAACATAATTATGATTCTGTTGTTTTCCCGTGATGTTTTTCATGATGCTGAAGATGATGATGGTATAATTAGCAACTTTTCCCAAGGAAAAACTAATTCATCGGTATGAGAATTGACCTTAAATGTCGGGCTACTTGTTAAATGGTCAAAAGCCGAAAGTTTCTTCCTTGATTGGGCTCAACTTTTCTGTTACGATCACTGTAATAATCACTGGGATGATGATGATAATCATAATAACGGTTCTTAACTGTGACATCTCGTAATTGTTATTGTTCAAATTTCCAGGTTACTTGGGAAAGAATGAGAGATAAAAAGATCGCACGGAAAATATTCTCGTGCTGAGGGTTAACAATGATGTAAGAAAACACGCTAGCCATTGATGGACAATTCTTATCACCTTAATTCTTATTCATTCATCTTGAAATTACTCATTTACTCTCTCTCTCTCTCTCTCTCTCTCTGGTACAGGTCATTGCATGTATTTTGAATGACTGACAATTCCCATCAGCATCTATTTCCTCCGATATCAGGCCAAGTTAACTGATCAAGTCTGACGATTCAATTGAATAATAGTTCTCACCTTTTTATCATCATTTTCACTCTCAATCTCATGTTCATCTTTTTTGTTCACAATCAAAACTGAATTTGGAAATAATTTCTATCCTGATGCCGCCGAACTTTTTTTTTTACTCTTACCTGTACTTTTCTTTCAATCTCTTTCTCTATTGTTGATGATTAAATTTGAATTCTTATATGAAATAGTCAATTCAAACATTGAAAAAAGTCCGTATTCGTCTATTGTTATAATTATCAGTTCGTTAACATCTTCATCTTCTCATGACTAACAACTAATCGTTTTGGTTTCTTTTGTTGATCCTGGTTCCACTTATGAACTTTGACATGACCGAAAAGTAAACCGAAATATACAAATGATCACGAAACTATTAATTCTTTATTGTTATCATCAAGATTATTTAAATATCTCATTTTCACCGAAAATCTTAATCATTGCTAACCAATTGATTCAATTGTTCCGTGTAACTTTAATTTCTGATTGATTTTCAGTCCATTTCTTTAATCGTCCCACCAACTATTCAAATTAGATGTTAATTGTAAAGTATTTTTAACAATTTAACTAATTACCGACACTCTTCACCTTCAGTTCCAATCATAATCACTGGTTAATTTGATCAAACTTCAAAAGTTTTCAATTAAATCGCCCGAATTTAGGTTAACCTTTACAATTAAATCGACGAAGAAATTTTTTCTTTTCTAGGTCAATGGTCTTTTCTAATGGTCATTTAATTGTTGGTCAATACTTGGAAAGCCAATGACCTAAGGATCAAGATGATTACTATGATAGAAACTTGTTAAACTAGTTAACTCAAAGACTCTCATCTTTGCCTTAGGGCATTTATCATATTTTTCATTTTACTTTTTCAGAATTTCAATAATATGATATCCGAGCATTTAATTAAAATCAACTGAATTGAACTGAATTATCAAGAAATTGATTCAACATCTAATTGTTGGATCAACAACATCGATTAGAATTACAAATCCCAATGATTACAATCAACAATTAAGCAGTAATTAACTATTATTATTATTATTAGAGAATTGTAAATGAAAAATTCACTTGTAATCATTTAATTATCACTGGTATCATTTTAGAAGTAAATTAATTGCTCCCAGATTATTGAACATCCAATAACAATTAGATTTACTAATCACTCATTTTCCAGGAACAAAATCATTGATTCCATTGATTGTGATCAATTGATGTAAGAATTTATTTATTATCATGATTAACAAAGAGAGAAAAAAATTATTCGTTTATTATCAACAATTAACAACAATCCAGCCTTTTGACTGTTGGGCTTAAATCATAACAATTAACAAACAGAATTATTTTCAATCAAACTTACAATTTCCCAGCGGGACTAAATTAAATGAGTCTGAATGTTATTAACAACCAGTTCCTAAATCAAATTAACATTGATTAACATTAAAATTGAATGTTTTTTATTATTTCCAATCTTAATTGTTCAACGATTAACTTTAATCACCATGAATTTGGAATCAACATTTAATCAGATTTTTAATGTTTATTTATGTTTCCATTATATGGTTAGAATATGATTAATATAATTTGATTGTTTCGTTTCAATTTTGTATTTTAAATTGTTCGGGAATTTTTTTTCTCTTTTTCTTTCAATAGGTTGACCATTGGAGTTTTCCAATTAGAGTTAATTGTTATTATCGATTATCATCCGATAATATCACTGACCACACTTTCCACTCCTGATGTGATCTCTTCCAAAAGTCCAGTTCCATGTTCCATGAATTCATCATGTTCGATGAGACTTAGAATTAGCCTTTGAACTGAATCAATTTCCTCGGCTGTTGATTGTTCATTGTGCGATTGTTGTAATTGAACCGCTTTCAAAATCATTTGTAATTTAATTGCTTGTTGAATTTCTGGTGGCTGAATAATCATTATTCTGTATATTCTTTGTAGCTGTTCAATTGTGCTCGATTGTGATATTTCTCGTCTTAATTGTAAAATTATCAAGTCTTCTGTTTGATCGCCAGTTAATTGTTGATTGGTTACTTTTAATTGATTTCGTAAAGCATTTAGTAGATTCATCAAGGATTGACTGGTTCGATGGTGAGTCGTGGCTTGACCTTCATGCGCTGATTTGATTCGATATTTAGCCTCAGCTGATGATGAACTTTCTAATTGTTGATTATTTAATTTCTTTTCAAGTGCTAAAGTTTCATCTTGTTCTGATTGTTTGCTATTTATTTTTGATTTTGATGATTCAATTGCTTGAGGTTGATCTGCAGTTAGAACTGATTGGATTTGAGATGAAGACGAGGATGAGGATGAGCTCGAACTTGTTGATTCTGATTGAGATAAATTCACTTGTTTTTGATCCTGTGATCTTCGTTGAGCTGCTTGAGACGAGGAATCATCCTGGTTACCTTGAACATTTACCTTTGGAGATGAAGCTGATCGAGGGATTGAATGGACTTTGTCCAAATGTTTGATTGTTTTCGTTGGTTATTAGTCGATTGTGATTCCCTGAAGATGCGAACTGTCCTTTAAGATTTGACTCAAAGTTAATGGACTTTGAAGTGATTCTGAGTGAGATGCAGCTGAAGACGGCGAATCTTGAGATGATGATATTGCAGAAGAAGGTGTTTGTTGTTGATTTATATCGAATTTATCAAGTAGTACAGCAGAAGACGACGATGCTGATGCGTCTTTTTGAGCAAAGATTAATGGTGTCAATCCAACTTCTGCACTAGAAGATGCAGTTGATTGCGCTTTTTTCAAAAGTTCGGAGTATTCAAGAGCAGCGAGAAATTGTGCTTGATTAGTGCTCAATCTCTCAGCTGATTCAGGTAATGAAACTGATTCTTCCAAAACGGAAATTGTGATTCAGCTTTAGACGAAGAGGATGCGGCTGCTGACGACGACGCTTTAGAAGATAATAACTCTTTCTGAGGCCAATTGTTAGGCGAATCAAAAGTTACATCTGATTCTGATTTCGCGGATGCTGATGCAGAAGATGCCGAAGAATAACTAGTAAATGGCTGCTGATTATTGGGTATATTCCCCATTCCATTTTGGTTGGACATTTTATTTTGGAAATTCTGAGCTAATGCTTGAGCCGCGAGTTCTTGTTGTTGGTCGTAACTCAATACTCCAACTGAAGCTGCAGCTGATGCCGATGATGAAGATGAGTCTTTTAATACTTTTCCAAATGGAGTATCCATCTCAGCTTCTAAAGAAGCGGATGCGGATGCAGATGACGACGATTTAGAAGATATTAACTCTTTTTGAGGCCAATTGGTTGGTGAATCAAAAGTTACACCTGATTCTGATGTCGAAGATGCTGATGCAGAAGAGGACGAATATATCGCGGATTGTTGGTCGGTATTTGGTTTATTCCATTGGTTTGATTGTTCTTTTTGTAAATTCTGAGCTAATGCTCGAGCTGCAAGTTCTTGTTGGTCGTAGTTCAATACTCCAACTGAAGATTCAGCTGATGCCGATGATGAGGAAGAGTCTTTCAATACTTTTCCAAATGGAGTATCCATCTCAGCTTCTAAAGAAGCGGATGCGGATGCAGATGACGACGATTTAGAAGATATTAACTCTTTTTGAGGCCAATTGGTTGGTGAATCAAAAGTTACACCTGATTCTGATGTCGAAGATGCTGATGCAGAAGAGGACGAATATATCGCGGATTGTTGGTCGGTATTTGGTTTATTCCATTGGTTTGATTGTTCTTTTTGTAAATTCTGAGCTAATGCTCGAGCTGCAAGTTCTTGTTGGTCGTAGTTCAATACCCAACTGAAGATTCAGCTGATGCCGATGATGAGGAAGAGTCTTCAATACTTTTCCAAATGGAGTATCTATCTCAGCTTCTGAAGAAGCGGATGCGGACGCAGATGACGATGATCTAGTCGATAATAATTCCTTCTCAGGCCATTGTTGTGAGAGATTTACAGTTTCTTTTGTATCTGAAGAGGCTGCAGCAGAAGAAGCCGTCTTAACGGATTCTTGCACGACTAAAGATTTGGGTAAGATTAATTCAGAACTTGATGAAGAGGATGCAGATGACGTCGATTTAGAAGATGATGATTCTTTCTGTGGCCAATTGGTAGGTGAATCAAAAATTACATCCGATTCTGATTTAGAAGACGCTGAAGCAGAAGAAGCCGAGTAAATAGCTGATTGTTCTTTTTGTAAATTTTGAGTTAATTCTTGAGCTGCAAGTTCTTGTTGCTGATCGTAATTCGATGTCTTAGCTGAAGAATCAACTGAAGCTGATGATGCGGATGAATCTTTGAATGCTTTTCCATACTGAGTGTCATCTTGTGCTTCTGACAAAGAGGATGTAGACGCAGCCGACGATGATCTAGTTGATAATAATTCCTTCTCAGGCCATTGTTGTGAGAGATTTACTGTTTCCTTACTATCTGAAGATGTTGTAGCAGAAGACGCTGAATAAATAGTTGATTGTTGCTCGTTATTTGGTTTACTCCATTGATTTGATTGTTCTTTTTGTAACATCTGAGCTAATGCTTGAATTGCGAACTCTTGTCGTTGATCGTAACTCAATACTCCGGCTGAAGATGCACCTGATCCAAATGATGAGGCTTCCAATGCTTTTCCAAACTGACTATCAACTTCAGCTTCTAACTTAGATGATGCGGACGCAGCCGACGACGATCTAGAAGACGCTAACACCTTTTTAGGCCATTGTTGTGAGAGATTTACTGTTTCCTTACTATCTGAAGATGTTGTAGCAGAAGAATCAGATTTAATTGATTCTTTCAGGACGGATGATTCAGGGAAGATTAGTTCAGAATTAGATGAAGAGGACGAGGACGCAGATGATGATGATTTAGAAGATAATAACTCTTTCTGAGGCCAATTGTTAGGCGAATCAAAAGTTACATCTGATTCTGATTTCGCGGATGCTGATGCAGAAGATGCCGAAGAATAACTAGTAAATGGCTGCTGATTATTGGGTATATTCCCCATTCCATTTTGGTTGGACATTTTATTTTGGAAATTCTGAGCTAATGCTTGAGCCGCGAGTTCTTGTTGTTGGTCGTAACTCAATACTCCAACTGAAGATGCAGCTGATGCCGATGATGAAGATGAGTCTTTTAATACTTTTCCAAATGGAGTATCCATCTCAGCTTCTAAAGAAGCGGATGCGGATGCAGATGACGACGATTTAGAAGATATTAACTCTTTTTGAGGCCAATTGGTTGGTGAATCAAAAGTTACACCTGATTCTGATGTCGAAGATGCTGATGCAGAAGAGGACGAATATATCGCGGATTGTTGGTCGGTATTTGGTTTATTCCATTGGTTTGATTGTTCTTTTTGTAAATTCTGAGCTAATGCTCGAGCTGCAAGTTCTTGTTGGTCGTAGTTCAATACTCCAACTGAAGATTCAGCTGATGCCGATGATGAGGAAGAGTCTTTCAATACTTTTCCAAATGGAGTATCTATCTCAGCTTCTGAAGAAGCGGATGCGGATGCAGATGAAGACGATTTAGAAGATATTAACTCTTTTTGCGGCCAATTGAATGGTGAATCAAAAGTTGCACCTGATTGTGATGTCGAAGATGCTGATGCAGAAGATGACGAACTCATAGCGGATTGTTGGTCGATATTTGGTTTATTCCATTGGTTTGATTGTTCTTTTTGTAAATTCTGAGCTAATGCTCGAGCTGCAAGTTCTTGTTGTTGGTCGTAACTGAATGTAATGGTTGAGGAAGGAACGGATATCGACGGAGAAACTTGTTCTCGTGAAAACTCCAAATTGACTTTTTGATCATTAACTTGGCCTTCGTTAGGTACATTATGATAGAATTCAAGTTTAGGTATCACAATGTTCGGATTAACATAATCAGATTCTTTTTTATATTCTGTTCCATCTGGAGGTCTTTTCATTCGTATTTGAGTAACTCGAGAAGTTATCGATGGACTCGAAACTTCCGATGAACTTGGTGTCGGGGAAATTCGTTCCGTTATTTGTGATGGTTTAGTGTCGATATGAGAAGATGGAGATGCTGTTATTGTGATTTTAGATGTTTCAGGTTTGTTAGTTGATTCTGACGGAGCTTTCGTAACTTTAACGGAGATCTGTGTCTCTTGTGTTGGTTCAGTTGTCGGTGAAGATACTGATGAGATGATTGGAGGCAATTGTTTAGTATGAGTTTCTGATGATGAAGAGGCAGAGGGAGATTGGAATGAAGATGTCAATGAATTTGAATGAGGTACTGGTGATGCTTTTGTCTCAAGGGTTGACTGAGGTGATGGTTTCGTAGTCAAGGTTACTTTAGGAGACACAGATGAGGCCGTCGAAGGCAATTGTTTAGTCTGAGTTACTAATGACGACGACGAAGGTTTATCAAAGGAAGATTCTAATGTTGCTCTTGGAGAGAATGATAAGCTTATGGAAGAAGCCTCGTTCGAAGGTTCAGTCGCTGTTGAGGAAGAAAATCCGGATGAAGGAGATAAAGAAGGAAATTCAGTTTCATCTGACACAAGTTCCGAAAGAGGTTCAGTGTTTGGAGAAGCTTTTGATATAGTAGAAGATGAAAGAGTTGATGATTCTTGTGAAGGAACATTTATTTTAGAAGATTCTATTGAAGAAGAGGATGAAGAATATTTTGATTGTTCTTTTTGTAACATCTGAGCTAATGCTTGAATTGCGATCTCTTGTCGTTGATCGTAACTCAATGTAATGGTTGAGGAAGGAGTAGATATCGACGGAGAAACTTGTTCTTCTGAAAACTCCAAATTGACTTTTTGATTATTAACTTGGCCTTCGTTAGGTACATTATGATAGAATTCGAGTTTAGGTATTACAATATTCGGATTAACATAATCTGATTCTTTTTTATATTCTGTTCCATCTGGGGGTCTTTTCATTCGTATTTGAGTAACTCGAGAAGTTATCGATGGCGAGGAAAAGTCCGGTGCACTTGATGTCGGGGAAATTTGTTCCGTTGTTTTTGATGGTTTAGTTGTCGGTGAAGACAAGGATGAGACCGTCGAAGGTAATTGTTTAGTATGAGTTTCTGGTGATGAAGAGGGAGATTGGAATGATGATGTTAATGAATCTGAATGAGACACTGGTGATACTTTTGCTGTCAAAGTTACTAGAGGAGACGAATAAGGTTTCGTAAGAGTTACTGAAGATAAAGATGAAGATACCGAATCGTGTGTAACTGATTTTTGTTGCTTATTAGATGTAGTCTGTTGATCTGCTTGGGCTGAAGTCCACACTCCATTTTGGCTTGACTGTTTACTCTGTGAAATCTGAGCTGATACTAAAGCTGCGAGTTCTTGTTGTTGATCGTAACTCAAAGTCTTAGCCTGGGATCCAGTTGATATCGATGAAGAAACTGTGGCCTTCCAAGATGGAAATTCATGTTCCTCTGATCGGGTTGATGGCGAAGATTTTGAAGAGGAAGCTTTTTCTGTCGATAAAGATATTGGCACAATTATTTCCTCTTCTGATTTAGAAGATGAACTTTGGGTATTCAAAGTATTTCCTTGAGTTTTGATTGTTAATGTTGGGGAAATTCGTTCCGTTATTTGTGATGGTTTAGTGTCGATATGAGAAGATGGAGATGCTGTTATTGTGATTTTGGATTTTTCAGGTTTGTTAGTTGATTCTGACGGAGCTTTCGTAACTTTAACGGAGATCTGTGTCTCTTGTGTTGGTTCAGTTGTCGGTGAAGATACTGATGAGATGATTGGAGGCAATTGTTTAGTATGAGTTTCTGATGATGAAGAGGCAGAGGGAGATTGGAATGAAGATGTCAATGAATTTGAATGAGGTACTGGTGATGCTTTTGTCTCAAGGGTTGACTGAGGTGATGGTTTCGTAGTCAAGGTTACTTTAGGAGACACAGATGAGGCCGTCGAAGGCAATTGTTTAGTCTGAGTTACTAATGACGACGACGAAGGTTTATCAAAGGAAGATTCTAATGTTGCTCTTGGAGAGAATGATAAGCTTATGGAAGGCGAGGGGTTCGAAGGCGAAGTTACTGGTGAGGCGGAATGAGACGGAATTGTGGATGTTTTGTAAGAGGAAGATGGAGTTTTCGAAGATGCGACAGATTCAGATGCTTTCACAGACACCGATTGTTGTTGCTTACTCATCGCATCAGCCAATTCACGAACAAACTGTTCTTGTTGGTTGTTCGCTGTGGAAGCTGACGATGTTGACGAAAAGTTGATGCTTTCGTAGTTGGAAACTGAGGTATATTCACTTGAGCTTTCAACGAAGAGGGCGAAGAAGATTCTTTATGAGAAAAAGATTTCGGGAGAGTAACTTTTACCTCTGGTTCTGCAGATGCTTCAGAAGAAGAAGATTCAGAACTGGAAGATTCTTTCATGGATAAAGATTCTGGTGAGAATAGTTTAACTTGTGATTCGGAGGAAGAAGATGTTGCGGAAGAAGAGGACGAAGAAGAATAGAAAGTTGCTTGTTGCTGAATTTTCGGTAAATTCCATTGAGCTGATTGTGCTTTTTGTAGCATTTTATTCAATTCAAAAGCTGCGACCTCTTGTAGGTCAACACTCGAACCTCGAGCTGATGATGAGGCCGAAGAAGAGGTCGATTCTTTCCATGGTGCAAATTGTTGTTCAATCGCTTCGACGATTGATGATGAGGATAATCCTTGATTCGGAAAAGACACTGGCACATTTACTTCCACCTCTGATGTCGACGATGAATCGGCAGGTCGGTTGACCAGAATACCGAAAGGGTTAGTTAGCAAATTGTTGTTTCCCTTTCAAAAAGAAATTACAAATGATTGATTAGTGGAAATGGAAAAATTTCATTTTAATTATCAATTGATTTTTACCCGATTTTCGATTGATGAAACAATTGGATTGAGTCCAGTTAATTGTTGACCAAACCCATTGGTCCATTGTTGATTCATTGCTAATGACTGAGTTGGATTCCATAATTGTTGTTGATTTGTGTTAATTTTTGATTCAATTTTTGATTCTATTGAATCAATTGCTGTCTTGATTTTTTTCCTGGTTTACGACATTTACGAGCTGATTGTGATTGATTAATTAGGCAACAAACAATTAAGAAAAACAATAAGATGAAAATTTTATCATTCATATTAATTTGATTCAATTGTGAATAGATTTAGACACTTTTAGAAAAAAAGATTGACAATTAACTTTAATTGCTGTGACTAAATGAACCATTTAGTTTATGAGGAACAAAAATTGAAAATTAATTGGCTTTGGTCAATTTAATTGTAACTGATCAATTTGTAACAATCAGATTTACCAATTGGCCATCAATTTATTTTATTAATTAATCAAATTTGACATCGATAGTCAACAATTTAGAGACAATCTTAATCAATCTGATTCTATCCAATTGTTATTGTTGAAAATTGAAGCAATTAAAAAAACTTTGGATAAACTTAATCAGTGGGTTAACTAACAATTTAACTCTGGTTTTTAATTTAAATTATAAATTATAAAAAACAATGAAAGCAATTAAAACGCTAAATTGTCAGATCATAAATCACAATCACTCAATTGATTAGCATAAATTGTAAAATGTCAATTGTTTTGTAAATCACAATTAACTGTTTCTGATAAATCAAAAGTTGATCAAATGTTGTAATCAAATTAAACACCAGTCAATAAGCGTGTTAATCATGATCAATAAATTTAAATTACTTTTTAATGATTGATTATTAATTTTGTTTCTCTCTATATCAACAATCAAGATGAATTCATTGAATTAAAGGTCACAATTAATATAGATTGTTGTTAATAACAAAATAACAAATGATTCTGATTTAAATATATTTACAAAATAAATGAAATCAATGGTTATGTGTTTGAGTGTACAACAATTAACGGTTAATTGTCATGTTAATTGCGCCATATTATGAATTTAAATTCATTACATCCAGGAGACGGCAGTGAATGAGTATGATAATATTAATAGTTTACATTATGATACAGTTAATTAACACAGTTGCAGGTTTAAGTGTTGATGTTGATTAATTAGATGAGGAAAACAATCAATAAATCAATAAAGTTAAACCTAATCAATATTAACACGTACAAAGATGATGGTAAATAAACTCTAATTGTAAACAATCAGTGTGTTTGCTAACTTAATTACCATTCAGGTTCCTCTTTAACTTTAACAATTTCATCACAATTATCGATTATTTCTTCCTTAATTTGATTTAATAACGAAACTGAATCAACCATTGGTAATGGTAAAGAATCAACATCGTCAACTTTTTCCCTTTTGATTGTAATTCCTGAGGGTAGATTTGATTGTGAGTCTTGATCATCTAATAGATTATCATTGTCTGATTGTTGTTCCTGTTGCTGTTGTTGTTGACTGATTGAACTTGTACCTTCACCAGAATCACAATTAGCTAATCGTTTTCGTTTTAATTTCACTTTCAATAATCTCTGAGAAACACCAGCGATTCCTTTGATCTCTTTCCTATCTAGATCAATGCTCCTTTTGATGTGTCTTCGTTTACCAGGAATATCTTTACGAAATTGAATCATTTTCGTGAAATCAATTACATAAGTATTACTGTAGTTGGAAAATTAGAAAACAAGTTAATTGAGTTGACAAATCAATTGCAATTGTAAACAACATACCCAGCAATTAACACTTCACAAATGGGTCTCTTATTTTGATAGGCATTCTCCATGTAGCCATTTGTGATTCTATCAAATAGCCAATAACCATTTCGACCTTGGTAACTCCACTTTGCCGATTTAGCCGATAATTGGATTGATTTTTGCTTCAAATCAGGAGCAATGAATACGGAACTTGGATAAGGCTGAAAGAGAAGACAATTTTGTTAGAAACAACAAAGAAACAAGGAGAGAAAAAAAATGTCACCAATTCTAAAGGGTAAGAATTATAGACATTCTCATCGTTTTGAGGGTAATTAAAAGATTGTCAATTGGCCATCGACATGTTGGAAATGATTGAAATTGATTAACAATCAATTAAATTACCTGACGACAAATGGGACAATTCATATGAGAGGTTGAAGATCCTTTTAGACACAAGTAACAGAAAACATGATTACATCCCAATACTATGGGAATATTTGGTTTACCCAAGCAAACGGGGCAATTGGAAGGATCTGTCATAATTAGGAAACTTAATTATCACAAAAAGAAATGGGAAATTTAATTAATTACAATCAATTAGATTGAGATAATCGGTTCAAGTCTAAAGTGACAAAACAGAAACAACAAAAAAACTGAAAAAAAAGTCTAAACATATGATTGACTTTTACCCGCGAAAATCAAGAATCAGCTGAGAAATTTTCTTTTCTTTCAACAATTAATTAATTTGGAATTAATTAACAAATTTCCATTAAATTACCTCAAATACTTTAACAACCTTCAGTTAATCAGTTTTACAATCGTCTTATTGGTTTAATCGTTGATTTGTTTGATTAAAAGTTAGAAAACACCTTGGATACATAATCATGAATTTCCAGTAATTAATTTCGTTGATTGTTGATAATTAAATTGATTATTTTTCTTTTTTTCACTTCTATTAATCTTAAATAATCCATTGAATTAACTATTCAATGGATTAAGCAATTAACTTTAGAATGTAATTTCCATTTGAAAACAATTGATCAACATTTGTTTTTCTGTAAAGAATCACAATTAGTTGATTGTTCATTGATTGTTAACCAACTCAATCTTATGGTAATTAATGGAATGGGATAAAACAACCAATTAAGATGATATATTTTCCAGCAAAAAAAAATGTCTCCTCATTTTCTTGGATCAGGATTATCATTCGGATCAAATTAATCGTTTAATCTGATGAGATTAAAAGTAGACAAGTCAAAGTGTTTATAATTAGATTGAAACAATTAAGATGGTAAAAAAGCTACTGGTGATTAGTTTTAATCATTTGATAGGGTTAATGAATTGGCCTTTTTTTTGTATTCGGGATTTTGATTGGTTTCTATTGATTGTCGGGGTTTTTTTTGGAGTTTCGTTTAAATTGTTTCATCTGAATTAACCATTTTTTCATGGCCGATTTAACTTGATTGGTTACAATCAAGAAGATGATGATAAAGATGATGATAAAGGAGGCTATCACCAAATATCGGTCAAGTTAAACTATTTTCGGCCACTATTTTTGGACCAAAGTGACCTCATTTCAACGGAATAACAATCAACCAAGTCTTTGGTTTAAGTTCATTTTCATCTCGTTCGTTGCCGTGTTAACAACAATCAACATCTTATCAACAATTAACAATTTTCTATCTGTTTCTCTGATAACAATCAACTAATTGTCTAAGACAAAAAATGAGTGAATTAAAGTACGACGATCCTGATATGGAAAGATTAAATTTCTTCTCAATAATTGATATTCTCGAATCATTTGATTGGGTTGATTTGGAGTATTAACAACTGACCATTGGTCAACAATCAACTCGTATCAATGAAGTTAATTCATTCATTAAGTTTCCATGGAAGCAACAAAAACAAAACTTTAACCAATCTGTAAGTAAAACTAACTAATTACAATTAAACAAAATTCTAAATCAATAAATCGTAATTCTCATTCAATTAGATATCAATATCTTTCCAGTTGATCACCAAAAACAACAACAACAACAACAACAACAATTAACTTCCATGATCCCATTAATTGTTAACCCATCGAATACACAATTATCCTCAAAGAAATACAATTGAATAAAATAAAAATTATGATTTAACAAGAAAAATTGAAAAGTTAATTAGTTTATTTCATTGAAAAGTTTGCTGATCCGCCAACAATTAACTTAATCTCGTCTCTCTTATCATTTCATATGTAACCAGACAGGGTTAATTCAACTGATTCTGGTTCCACCGGATCAACATCATGAAATCAACGAGTGATGGTTAGTTGTTAAATTGTCCAGAAAAGTGAATTAACTTAACTACGAAAACAAAAACTGGTTAATTGTTGAAAGTTCACTTAATGTAACCAGGAACCGGTTCTCTGGTTGCATTGTTACTTGTTCTCAATCTGGTAACATCTCGGGTTCTCAGTGGTTCTTGTATTCACCTTGGTCACTTTTCCATCTTCATTTTGTATTGTAACACCATTAGAATAGTTAATTGTTGTCAAACAATCGCCATTAGTTAATAAATTGTTCTCTAAATTGTCAACTATCTTTTTCAATCTTCGTTCTTTTCAACCAAATGATGTTCATCAAGTGACAACTTACCAACAAGTCAATTCTAAATTGTAAGTAGAAAACGATACATGTTGATTTCTTCATTGTTGATTAATTGTATCTCATCTTAATTGCAACAAATTTAATTGTCTTCATCGACTTAATTGTAATTTGTGAATCACTTCAATGTATCTCATCAGGTGATAATCTTACCTTTACTTTCCTAAGGCGACTTGAAGTCAATACTTTTGGCTGTTTAATATTCATTTAGCTGGATATTCAATGTTTCCTCTTTAAATTTAACTAATTTTCTCATTGATTAACTAATTAAATGATTGGATGTTAGATTATCAATGGTTATTAACGTGACATTAATCGTTTAGAAAAATTAATTGTTCAATTTACACGCAGGTAAACATGAAAATCATTAACCATCACAAAGAAGATGTTGTTTATCATCAATTAACCTTCTCATATAATATTAGTTATCTTAATGTCTTTAATTGTTGACAGTTAATTATTTCATTGTTTCCATTTGATTGTTTATCATGTTCAACATTTCAGAACATGATTCAAAGTAATTCATCAATTCAAAGTAAAGGAAAACCAAATACTTATTCATCTCAGAGGATGAACATTACGTTACCCACCATCTAGAGAGTGGATTGTTGGTTAAGGCAGAGAGATGAAGATTATCAAACCCACACTGGTGATGGTTCAACCTCCAAACCTAAATTCTGAAAAAAGAATAGAACAAAAAAAGCTCAGAAAAAGTTCCAATTCAATAGAAAGTTGAAACAACAACAATCTCTCTCTCTCTAAAAATAAGTTAACCTTTTTTCAGAATCCGACAAGTTACATGGAGAAAGACTTTGCAAACACCAAGAGATTGTCTTTTTTTGAGTAAACAATCAATTCACCATCATCTTGATTCATTCATTCAGTTAATAAGTGATTAAAAGTGAATTAAGGTGAACATTTGATTGATATTATTCCAAGTGAAAGTGATACAGATTTCTCAACATATTCATACCTGTTTCAGGTATTGACCATCAAACAGGTTATCCTATTAGAGTCCATCTTTTTACCTGTGTACTTTTTGGTAAATCTTGTCCTTTAGTTACTATCCAGTGGCTTATCCTTGATAAACCCCTTAGGCAATTATCGTAATCTATGATTTGGTCTGGAGGAAAAGAGACTTTAACTACCAAATCCACCTTGACTTAAGAGAATCAACTAATTAACTAGATAAAGTTTCATTTTCTTTGATAATTGTTTCGTAATTAACTCTGATACCATTGGAAATATTTTTTATTCAGACTTGTGAAGTTTTCGTTTCATTTTATTGGATTAACTTAATTGTTTCTCGATTGTTTCATTTGATTATAAGTTTTTCAATCAGTGATATAAACCAACAATTAACTGCTTCGGTTTTTACCACTGACAATCAATAACTATTCAATTTCCTTGTGTTCAAATCTGCCTAGCAATCGATTAGAGAGGTAAGTTTAATTAACTTACTGATCGTCACAATTTAACTTAGATTTAATGATTTGATCCTCATTAATTTCAACGGTAACCTTGAAAGTTAATTGTCCACTGATAATTTAACTATTTGAACGAATAACGAAACTCATTGGGAAATGTTTGTCAATCAATTCAATGTAATTAAACTAATCATCACATTGGAACAATTAACATTAACAAATTTGAAAGTTAAATTAAATCCCATTAAGAGTAATTAAATTTTCACCAAGATCTTAATTTATTCATATGTCTTCATTTGTTGATCACTGATTAGATCATAATTGTTGAATGTGATAATTTGAATAACTAATCAATGACAATTAACCCACGTATCTTAAACAACCGCAATTAACAATCAAGGTGAACATTTTGTCAATTGAAAGTATTAACTTTTAATTGTTTATCCAATTTTAGAGTAAATTTAATTGCTAAGGAATTGAGCTAATGATCAACCCTGGGAAGCAGACATTATCTCATCAGTTGGTTAATTAAATTTACAATTAGTTAATCATGTTCGAGGATAAATCATTATTGGCAGAGGAAAATTATGAATCAATCACAACGGGCGCTTCTAATGATGTGGCCATTGATATGGAAAGTAATGTACGAGGGTCAATTGGTCGAGGAAGTATTGTTCAGCCCACTTTCGATACATCGGAGAGTGTGACCTTGCCTCAGCCGTCATCATCATCAACCGATTCCACTCTGAAACCGATCCGTGAACCCATTTTGGTACGAGAAGCTGTGACTTCAGTTGAATCTCGTTGCTATGGATCACGACCTGAACATTTCGATATTGGAATTCGTGTTATCGAAGCCGCTCAACTTCCTGGACTGGACATTAATCCAATGGTTCGATTGATGGTCGGAGATCGTAAGAAAACAACCACAATTCAGAAATCGACCAATTCACCTTTTTGGGATCAATATTTCGTCATATCGTTCAATCAGCCGCGTTTAGAAATATTTCAAAAAGTTATTACGATTACGGTTTACGATTCAAAGGGACTTTTGAAATCGGACGAGGTCATTGGTCTATTTTCTTGTGACATTGGTACCGTTTTCTGTCAGCCCGGGCACTCGTTCCATAGGAAATGGGCGCTTCTAACTGATCTCGAAACAAATGAGCCTCGAGGCTACTTGAAATTGGACATAAATGTACTGTTCAAAGGTGACAGTTCACCTTTATCGGGAACAATGGACGATGAAGATTCTAAGGAGTCGGGAGAAGACGAAGATGACCTCGAATCAGATAACGTTGGATCTGATGAATCTGATATCGAATCGAATTTACTATTCCCGGTTGGTGTTACCGAACGACAATCCATCAAACTGGTCATCAAAATTTATCGAGCATATGGACTCACTCGAGCCGATTCAACGGTCAAAAAGGCTCTTAATATCATCTCTTCGTCCTCATCAAAGTCACCTTGTGATGCTTATGTCTCGGTTTCGTTTGCGGCTCAACTGGACGGACTTCGGTCATTAAAAAGTCATCTTCACCCGTTTGGAATCAGCAGATCACTTTTGTCGAAATGTTTCCAACCTTTTTCCAGAACATTAAATTTGAGATTAAAGATGATGAACTTGGAACGGACGGACTTTTGGCCACACATTATCTTCCGTTAAACTACATCTCTAGTGAGGGTCAAGATGGTTACCTGCCCACTTTTGGTCCAACTTTTATCAATTTGTACGGAGCAGCTCGAGAAAGTTCAAACTCCGAGAGTAAAACTTTGTCCACTGGTCTGGAAGAAGGTGTCGCTTATATTGGTCGACTTTTGGTCGCAATTACAACAGAATTTGTTGACCTTGTTTCACCTGATTTAGAACGAATGTCCATTCAGAATATTGGTCCTTTCGATGAGACACATTTAGGACCAAAAGAGTTTGCGCTCGGCCTTCTCAATTCAGTCTCACGAATAGAGCAACGATATGCCGATAAACCGATAACCCTTGAATTAAACATGGGCGATCCAGATGATTTGGATGGCGATGGAAAAATAGACGAAGCTGATAAAAAAGCTCGAGCCAAATATCGAGGTGTGACCTTACCCATTAAACCCGCCAAATGTTTCTCAAATAATCGCAAGGAAAACGCTTATCATTTACCCTTGGACACGGTTAAGCCGATCATGTTTCATCGTTTCCATTGGCTCGATGATACCTGGAGGCTTTTCGTTTCCAATAGATTGACCAGAATCGCTCAAAATCTTGTAAGTTAACTTCAACTGTAAGTTAATCGCCCAAACTTCAATTTCAACTAATCAATGAATCATTTTCTTTACAGTCAAATGGATTAGCTGATGTGGACGCGTTAACGGTCACTCGTGAAGTCGATGCCGCTTGTCGTCTACTTGGTGTTTTAAGTCAACTACTCGAAAATTGTTCCAGTTTATTGCAATATTTACAATCTTTATCCGATCCACCAGGAATCTCTCGTCTTGACAAGGAGAAAATGTCCAAACAGAGAGATCAAATTCTGTTTATATTAAATGAAACAATGGCCATGAGAGATTCGGTCTCAACGAGTAACATCGTACCAATTGTCCAAGCAGTGTCCCCATGGGTCAATGAAATAAATGAATTAGCATCTTCCCTTCATATTACGTTTCCCGATATTTTCCTTTCCATGTTGGTTGAGGGTAAAAGAATAGCTCAAATACGACTTGCGACCAAGGACATTGTCTATTCACCTGAACTCGAAAGTTGTGGTATCCATGCAGCTAAATTTCGAGCAATTTTACTTCGACAAGGTGGCCGACCCAATGGTCATATTCGATCACAGGTCGATATACTTTGTTGGTTTGGTGTCTCTGATAAACTCCCTGACTTGGTCAAGCATTTTCCTTCAGGCTATTCACCTGAGCCCTCTCTTGAATCTCTTAGTAAATCAGATGTTGACCCGCCGACTCATCTTAAATATCCTGAAAGGTCAATCTTTCAATCACGCGCTCATCTTTTCCAGGCTCGATCTCTTATCGGTGCCGATACCTCTGGTCTCTCCGATCCTTATGTCAAATTATACTACGATAAATGTATCTTGGTGTCTAGTGTCAAGGAGAAAACTTTATCACCTTGTTGGGATGAATTAATGATCGGATCTCAAATTAGTCTGATTGGTTCGAGGGAAGATATTAGAGCCGCTAGATTAACCGCTTTGGCTGAAGTTTACGATCGTGATATAATTGGCGATGACGAACTGATTGGTCGAGCCAAAGTCACCTTCGATTATGTCCGTTTCGCTGATGAACCTTATATTTTACCTCGATTAAATTGGTTCGATGTTTGGTTGAACAGTTCGGAAAGTGGTCAACTTTTGATGGCTCTCGAATTGGTTCAAATTAGTGATTCTGATAGTTCAGAAGATTATCCTAGATGTTTACCTGGTGCCGTTCGTCATTCCAACGGTCAAGATATAATCTCAATTCCTCAACAAATTAGACCAACTCTATCAAAGTATAAACTTCAGATCATTTTTGGGGTGTTCGTGACCTGAAACGGGTCAAATTGTTATCAGTTGATAAGCCAAAAGCCGAAGTAGAAGTGGGTGGTTATATTGTTTCTTCCTCTGTGATTCCAAATTGTTCAAAGAATCCAAATTTCCCTTCATTTCGAAAAGAAATTGAACTTCAATTACCTGACCAAGAGTTTTACTGTCCACCTTTGTCCATTCGTGTCGGCGATTGTCGTGCTTTTGGACGGTTCACTTTGGTCGGTACTCATTTGGTCAGATCTTTAGTTAAATATGTTTACAGTAAAGACAAACAAGTTGACATTCACCATTTACCAAAACGTCATATTGTCATTGACCTTGACCATTTAAAGCCCAAAATTGGATCGACTGGTGACCAATTGGACGCAGTCATGGTCTCTAATGGTGGTACCGCTGCTCGAGCGAAAAGAAAACCCGATGAAGAGATTGTGATGATGGAGAAAAAAGTTAACAAAGAATCAGAGGAAGAGGAGATCGATTGGTGGATGAGGTACTTTACCTCGAAAAATGGTAATTCATCGGGTAGAAGAGAGTCACGAAAGTCCATGATTCCATACCATTTGACCCTTCGAGTTTATCCCGAAGAGCTTGAGAAACGTTTCGATGGTCATAGTGCCGATAATAAGTTGACCGCATTCCCCTTAAAACGAGGTAAATTTGACGATGATACAAACGACACCAAAACCATGGGCGTTTTTAAAGGTGCATTTAGATTATACAAAAGTCCATGGAAAAATGGAATTCAACTTCTCGATCATTTGTCCAATAACGATCCCGTTAAGGTGCTTGTTCGAGTTTACATTGTCCGAGCTTACGATGTCATCCCTAGAGATGCAAACGGTAAGGCTGATCTTTACCCGATCCTTAAACTTGGATCGCAAAAGTTTGACGATTCTGATAAATTTGTGCCAAATTGTTTGGATCCTCTTTTCGGACGAGTCTATGAATTTGAGGCCACTTTTCCTCTCGAATCAACATTAACAATCTTATTGAAAGATTATGATTCCTTTTCAACGGACGAACTAATCGGAAAAACAACAATTGACCTTGAAGATAGATATTATTCTGACCATAGGTTTACCTGTGGCCTTCCAAGATCTTATCAAACATCAGGTCCAGGTAAATGGCGGGACTCACTGAAACCAAGCCAAATATTGACCAAATTATGTCGTGACCTTAAGATGAGTCACCTAGTGATTACCAAGAAATATATTCAAATTGGTAAATTAATGTTTACCCGAAAGCAAGAAGATGCTTCAGATTTAACTGAGATTCCCCATGAAGATGAACAGTTATCGTTGGGAGTGTTGAATTCATGGAAAGAGGCCTTTGGCTATTCATTGGTACCCGAACATGTTGAGACTCGATCATTGTATCGACCCGATAAACCGGGAGTTAAACAAGGTAAACTCGAGATGTGGATCGATATGTTTAGATTAAGTGACCCACGACCACCTCCGTTGGACATTGCACCAAGAGCTCCACGATCATATGAACTTCGGGTGGTCATTTGGAATACAAAAGATGTCATTCTTGATGATGATTCATTGGTTTCCGGTGAAAAAATGTCCGACATTTACATCAAGGGCTGGGTAGACGATCCCAAAGCAGCTCAACAGACTGATACTCATTACCGATCGTTGACCGGTGAGGGAAATTTCAATTGGCGATTTGTTTTCCGTTTCGATTTCCTTCCCGCTGAAGGTGTTATCCTAGTTCGCAAGAAAGATTCATTTTTCGCCATGAACTCAACAGATTTAAAGATTCCCTGTAAATTGAATCTTCAGGTTTGGGATTATGATTCATTTTCGGGTGATGATTTTCTCGGTTGTTTACCAATCAATTTAATTGATTTCCCTCGAGGAGCTCGATCGGCAAAAGAATGCACCTTGGACATACTTTCGGACAGTCCAACAATTAGTTCCGTTGATACGAGTAACAACAATCAAATAATTAAAAGTTCACGAATCAACTTATTCAAAGAAAAACGTATCAGAGGTTGGTGGCCTTTCTATGCTAATCTAGCCGACGGAGGAACTGAATTAACTGTAAGTAATTATTACAACATAATTAGAGTCAACTAATTGTTGTCAAAATGAGAAGGGAAAACAATTAATTACTGTTAGTATTGTATTGATATGTTTGTATCGAAGAGTTGACAATCAAATCAATTGAATTAACAATAAATGACAATTTCCCAAGTTTTAGTCTTAAATATAATCCCCACCATGAAACCGTAAACATAAATTGTTGGCAATAATTAAATTGTACATTTGAAGTAACCTCAAAATCTCAACAATCATCATAATCATTATGATCACCATTTATTTCAATGATTAATTAATTGTTATCCATTCACTTTTCCCATAGGGTAAATTGGAGGCTGATTTTGAACTGTTAACCCAAGACGAAGCTGATGCTAATCCGGCTGGATTAGCACGAGATCCACCTCAGCCTTTGGATAAGCCTCAGTAAGTTGAATAATCAGATGAGGCGAATGATCAATTCTGTTAATTGTTCTAATCTTTTCCAATCAATTTTTCTCTAATCAAATTAGACGACCTGATACATCGTTCGCATGGTTCGCTAATCCCTGGAAGTCGTTCCGATACATCATTTGGACTCGACGAAAATGGTTCTTCTTTAAGCTTTTACTTTTCGTTTTCTTATTCTTTTTCTTTTTGATATTTTTCTATTCTCTACCTGGTTACACAGTTAAGAAAATGATTGGAGCTTAATTAACTTCAAATTGCGATTAACTAATTACCTTAAAATCTACTCAAGGTCTTTGATTATGCAATTATCTAACGACAACTCAATCAAAAAGCGCTATTAACAAATTAAAATGAATAAAATACTCAAACAGTTAAGATGAATGATTTTTTCTGTAAAACCCAAAATTAACTAATCGTTAAATGGTTGAGTATAATTTTTGATTTCGCTCCAAAATGTTTTGGTAAAAGTGATCAATATGATGATTAACTAATTGTTACAATTAAGATGAAGATGAAAATGACTTAATTAATAATTAGATTATTATGGTGATGAGGATTCGTATTCAACCGTAATCAAATTTGATTCCACATTCAAATCAGCTGATGACAACTTTCGTGTTTCAGTAAACATTATCAAATTGTGATCTCGAATCAGAGTTAAGCTCTAGACAATTTGATCATAGAATTAAAAAATCTTGTTTAACCAACACAAATCAACTGATTTCAGCTTAAATTGTTGTTTCAACAACCGAAATCATCTTCAATTGATTTCAGAAGTCTTGATCAAAATTCAATCTTGACAATTAACACGATTAACTTTTGGTTTTGACTTTTTCTTCATTTTTCCTATTCCAACTCAATTTGAATCCAAAATCAAAGAATCGGCAATCAACTAATCGGCCTCGGTGAAACAATTTTCACCTCGGAATCAATCTGATCCCAGAATTAGTTGATTACGTTTGGTGAGTCCAAGCCTTAGATGAAGATATTGAGTGAGTGACATGATGACAAGTGATGAAGATGGACACCTTGTAGAAATTAAGTTTAATTATTAATTTTGCTTTCAATTTGCTTCTCAAGTATCAACATAATCCCATAGATGGCTTAACAGTTTGTCTACTAATCCATTTAATTGTCATCAGCTTTGATTTAATGAGCAGCGGTCAACAGGTTACCCAATACAATTATTAATCTTTTTTTTTGTTCAATTTCTTGTAATTACCATTAATCTAATTTTCCATCTTAATCTACAATCAGTTTATATTTAATCGAATGGCTCTAAGAGAATTTGAGTTTCTTGATAAATTTTGGCTTCTTCCGGGTGGAGCTACATTGATACAAGAACTTTTATTGGCTCTGATTCATCGTCGAATCCTGTCAATCAACAGGGTGAAAGTGGAGAAACAAGAAATTATCACCGAAGAGCAATTAGCTCATTGTAATGGATTAGTTGAGAGTCTTGAGCGATTGGGATTATCATTCAGATCATTTATTGATTCGGGTCCCGATGAATGTGAACTTTTACAGAGATTAAAAGAAGTGATCATCCAATATAAATGTTCCATTCGTGTTTGCCATCGACGATTACGTGTTTTATTCAGTCACGAGCCAGCGGAAGATGAAACATCGAAAACACTCTTGATGAAACTGACCAGCGATCCAGCGACGATTCCCTATTATAAATCAATGGCCGTTGAACTGGTTAGACTTTACATTTGTTATATCGAAGTGATCAGAGTGGTAATTCAAACAAACAACCATTACGGTCAACCGATTGGCCTTAACATTTTGGGAATCGAAAGTGTCCTCTCTAAACTTCGCTCGCTACTGGAAACACTTGAAAGAATGACCATCATGCCAACGGACTTACGGTCAAACGAATCGCGTAACTGTGACCCGCTCTATCTTTTACTCAAAAATTTCCATTACATGATAAAAACACTCACTTCGGCTCGAGCCAATCTCTTATTTCCACCACCTCGACAGCCGAAAGCCTTAAACCCACCGAACGATCCACAAGCTTGACCAGCCGATCAACTTTAATCCAGTTGAATCAATTGACCATCAAGACACAATCAAAATCATGACATTCACTTGACTAATTAACATTCATTTTCAACTCCCAATGTTAAATTATCCTAAACAATTGCGCTTCTTTAAATTATTTTCACATTGATTACCTTGTAATTAACTAATCAATTAATCAATGGATACACTTTTTTAAACAATTAAATGTTACCTCCTTTTAGACTTAATCAATTGATTACCAATTAATTCCCATAGATGGCTCATCAATAATCATTGATTGCGATTTTAAATTTTTCTGTTTACATTTTGTTGTTTGTTGTTCACATTTTCAACTTTAACCTCTAATTAATTTTTTTTCTGGACAATTAATTAGTGTCACCAATTGATTAGATTGTCGACAAAACGTTTACATAGTTCAAGTTGAACTTTGATTGGATTAAATTGACAATGGAATCAATGGAAGTTTGTGAGATTGATTTTCTTTCAAAATTCTGGTCAATCCAAGGTTCCAATGTGTTGATGGTTGAACTTTTTCTCGCCATAATTGAACATCGAATTGGATCAATCGAAAGAGCTTTAGAAGATAATTCGAATAATCTGAGTAACAAAGAGGTATGTTTCTATTCTAATGCTAGAATGTCACTGAGAACACTCTCAGAATCGTGTTCAAGTTTATTCCCAGTTCTTGTTAATTGTAGTCCGAAAGAGTTCAAGGATTGTATGAGTGAATATTTTACCGAATATAGTGGATTAGTTCAAATCTTTTTCCTCTCGACAAATTTTCGCATCTACTCATTATCAGAATTACAATTATCGATATCGTTTCATAACTTTACTCTCTTTAATTCAACATATTTACCTGAGAGTAAATTAAAAGCTCTTGATCTCATATCCCATTATATTGTTTTACTCGATTGCGTCGAGAAAATAATCGCTAAATTGCAATCCAATGGTCAACAAATCGGTCTAAATCATAGGCATATCGCTTATATTATCGATGAAATCAGGTCAATTTACGAAGCCGTTAAACAGACATTACCTCAAGATCCATCGGACCCAATGAAACAATCCAATTTGAGCTCATATCATGATCTAATGCGACAATTTAATCATCTCATCGAAGCTGTTGTCGAGGATTATGACCAACACTAACCATAAGTCGATTAATATTGATTATTAATCGACAGCCGAAACTCAAACAGACCAATCGTTCGGACTTTCTCCAGGTCCAAGATTCACTGGACATTACAGTGTAAAAACCTTCCCTTGGATTGAATCTAATTTTGTGTAATTATAATCTGTGATCTCTATTCACTGTTAATTAATCTCATTTCTCTCACTCCAACACTTGAAATTCAAGTCCTCTCATGTAAATGATCATTAAATTACCAATAAACGAATCAATTGATTAAAAATTTTTCTCAATCAAAACCATTTACGAATATAAAGTAAACTAAAAGAACGACAGATGGCGACCTGATCGATTTAATTGTTTTCTTTTTTATCCGAGTGAACAATTTAGTTAACTAATTTAGTTGGTTAATTTCAGTATTTTAAGCCAAGAATTTGTCTCCAACTGTCTCTGAGTCGGTACTGACTCGATTATGATCCGTTCGGGTGAGTAAATATCGGAAATTGGAAAATGAACTGAAATCATTGGCTGATTAACGATCAATTTGAATTAACCGGATTAACTATGAGATGTTGTTAATTTGTCGTCTGATATTTGAAAATTTAACGGTTGCAGTTTGAGATTTTTAAATTTAATCTCATGGTAAATTTTTAGCTTTAATCTGATTGTGTATTTATGATCATCATTTGTCACATGTTGACTGTTAATATTTTCAAATCAATTGGTTTTCTTTTGTGATTAATTGTTTACTTTTGGACTAATTATGAGTACATCTAATCAATTAAAGATTATTCAGAGTTGTGAACCTGAACAGCTGAGAGAAATTGCTTTTCTCCACCAATTCTGGGGATTGGGCATTGAAATAGTTCGAGATTTATTTCTCCATATTAATGATCGTCGATTACGTTTTTCCAGTGAATTCATGACCAAACCCGATACACCTCAACATCTTAAAGACTATCTGGTCAGTTTTTGTAGTTCGATATCAGTATTGACCGAATTGTCCTTGAAACTGCCAATGAGACAAGGAGTTGATGCTCATTGTGAGAAATTATTACGAAAAATAATTGAACAATATGAAAGAATTGTAACCATAAGCAGAATTCGCGTTGATTTTTGCAGAATTGCCGATTTTGAAACATCTCGATCGCTAATTAAAAAGTTCGATACCAAACCATCGGAATGGATTTTCAACCAAGCCCTTGTCATGATGACCAAATACTTCACTGATATCGAAATTTTGAAAAAAGTTCTTGGCCCAAACGAAAAGAAAGGAAAAGGTCTACTTGTCAAAGAGCCACTTCAATACATTATCGAAAATCTAACCTCGATTAAAGATGAACTCGAAGAGCGACACAGAACCGAGGCCATGACCGAGTCATTCCTCAATGGTGCCTACTTACTCTTGGAGCGATTCGATCTTCTAATCAACATGCTAAGCTGGTAATCAAATCGATCGGCAAAATAATCTCCAATCACAATCAGAGAACCACAATTCACTTTGATCTCATTTCCCAATAAAGAAAATCTCAAACTTCGAACAGCCTTAATTGTTTACTCTTTTTTCGTTACACTGGAAAACCCTTCAGGTCAATTACGAAAGTATCAACTGGTCAAGAATCAGAAATGATACAGACTGAAACAGTTAATAGCCAAATGAATGACCAATTGTTTTCGTTTTATTTATGTTCTATTATGATTTAATGATTAACCTTCACCATCAAGATGTAAAGACTGTGAAGGTTATAACAACATAGTAATCAAGCTAATCAACTACATTAAGAGTATCACTTGTGTATGATGATTGACTAAGACACTTGAAAACAACAGGAACACACACCTGAAAATGATAATGATCATTAGCTAAATTAAACAAACTAAGAGTAATTAACTAATTACTTCCTATTATAACTTCATCTTTCATTTGTATTTGTTTCCGTTTGTTGTTCATCATCTTGTATTAGTCAATTGGGAAAACATGAACATAGTGAGTCTAATAGATTTTGTTTAATTAGTTTTACTTCAAGTTTCCATTGTCCAGTTAACGATGACCCAACGATTAAGGGAGATGGTTTTTCTTGACCAATTGTGGGGATTTGGCCCTGAAGTTGTGAGAAAATATCTAGTGACCATTGTTAATCGACGAATGCAAAGTATCTTCAACTTTTTACAATCTAATTCGTTGTCGCAACATGAGAAACAATATTTCAATACTTTACTTGATTCTCTTAAAATTCTTGGCAATTTAACTATGAAATTATCTAATTGTCAAGAGAGTGCCACTAGTTATGGACAATTGAAGAAGATCATTGAAAACTACGAGGTTAATATTGGTTTAATCGGTGAATATTCTGAAAATGGTACCAATAGTTCATACGAATTGAATGAAGACTATGAGACACCCGATACTTTATTGGAAAAGTTCAATGTTCAACCTTTGGAATGGGTTATCAATCAAGCTTTATGGCTCCTTTGTAACATGTACAAAAGTGACATCGAATGGATAAAGAAAAACATTGAGACCAATTCGAAGAAATTTGAAAATGTTATTGGGACAATCGACTATGTTACCGATCAACTTCGAGTCCTTCGTAATGCCCTTTTCGATCAAAAAATTTCTGATCCAACTCATGAATCGTTCAAAAGCTCATGTCACCTTCTCTTACAGAGATTTCAATTTCTCGTTAAAATGATTTCCATTGAATCTTAGCAACAAGTAGCAACTAATCAACATCAAAAATCACCCATCTAAACTGATTTAGCTTAATCACAATCAACGATCTGATATCATAAGTGTACACAACGTTCAATGTCACATTCATGTTCTGATTCATGTATTTTTTTACTATTACCCAATAAATCATCTGAAAATTTCTGTGAAATTGTTTCTGAATATTTTTCCATGAAAACCTATGAACTTATTTACTTATCGGGTTTCTAATTGAACGGAGAGTTGAATTAAATAGCGAATAACGAATGTTAGTCCAGTCTGATCGAAATAGATATTTAATTGTTGATTGTTCTTATGATGGAAACTATTTCATTCGATTAGCCATTAATTGTACCACGTGTAAATCACCATGTTAACGATTTACCAGTTAATCAAACGAATCGAAATGATAATCATCTTCTGTCAATCAACTGATTACTTAACTTTACTATCGATTAGTTAACCCTTCATGTCAATTAATAATGATCATTGATTGAGGGAGGATTGATTATTCAACAATCTATCGGTAATTGTACTAATAGACGAATGTTCATTTCAGCTGAACTCTAACCATTGGAACTATTGTTAGAATAATATTTCTATTTGATTACAATTAGTTAATTGAGATGATGGATACACCTCTTTGTGTTGGTTATAAATTTAAGACAATTGAAAGTCTCTGTGGTTGGAAATTCATTTGAAACAGTTCAAAGTTGGAAAAAGTTTTCTAACAATTAAGGAGAAATTACAATGAAGTCGATTGAATTTGCTATTTTAGGTAAGAACAATTAATTGATTGTGTCGTGATTGATCTGATTGTTTTCTTTTCTAATTTAGTGACTGCGTTCATCTTGATTGTGTCCAATTGTCATTCTTTAAGAGAAATTGATTTCCTCAATGATTTAAAGCCACATTATGGTCAAGATTTAATCAACCGACTCTTTGCTGATCAGATTGATCGTCGTATTAAAAACATCGTAAGACTTGGTGGTCAAGCTAATCTGACAACTGACCAAACTATGTTTGCATCTATTACCGTTTTCTCATTGGAAATGATTAAAGATCTGGTTAATCAGTCCAACAATCAAATTTTACCATCGATTGACAATGAGCTTTTTACATATTTGACACTTGAATATGATTCAATTGTATCTCGTTTTTACAGTGAACTGACCAACTACCTAAATGATGATCTAAATGTTGACCAGTTAATGCCCAAGACATTAATCCACAGGCTTCATCCATTGATTAATATCACTACTTTTGAGACAATTAAATCTCAAGGGTTGAGTTTAATTGATTCATATAAATCAGACATAATCTTCATGGGACAAGATCAATTGATTGCTGGTAATAAGACAATGGTCAGTTTTGCTATTGACCAATTAGATTGGTTAAGATATACTATGAGACGAGTTGAATCAGGTAAATCAAATTTTGACCTTTCGGTTTATTCATTGAAACAATTAATCAAACAATTTGATATGATTTTAAGCTTAATTGTTGGCAAACCTTATAAATTGCATTGAATTGTTGATAAATGTAAAAACTTAATTTAAGAAACTTGTGATTAAAACCAAGTGCAACTGTACAATTAACAACAATTAATTCAGTAGTTAATCAATTACACAGCAAAAACCTCAATCTTGAGGACAATTTGTTTAATCAACTGTTGATTGTTGATATTTACTTACAATTAACCGATTTTAATGTTTGATCATTAACGATTAGTGATATTTCTGGTTGATTAAAACAACAATCAATGATCAAGATATCCAAATTTTGATTAACGTTATAATCATAATCAGTGTTGCTTCAGTTTGATTTGATAATTGTTATCAAACAATTAATATGTTTCTCGGTATTAGTTTAATTTACTTTCTCTCTGTGTTAATTGTTCCCATTGATTCATCTTTACGTGAAGTTGATCTAATTAATAGATTACCAACACCCGAACCACGATTAATTGTACACATTTTAAAGGAGAAAATCAATCAACGATCTGAATCAATTGAGAAAATTAGACATGAATTTAAATACAATTTAAATCGCGAACAAGATTCATTCATCAATTTAACAATTCATTCATTGGAGATGCTTAATAATGCGACTCATGATTTATCGATAATTTTCACTAATTGTGATTCCAATGATAATCACGAACTGAGAAATTTAATCAAACAATATGAGAAGATAATTAATATAACTCGACACGAATTAACTTTCACTGGATTTGGTAAACACGATTATGAGACTGCCGATAGTTTATTGGAAGAGATTAATCATAAATCACCCGAATGGATTAAATCACAAGCTCTTTCATTGATTGATAATTATCTTGAAGATTTGGAGTTAATACCAATAAATAATCAGCTAAATTGTTCCAATTCAAATCTATCGAAAGTTGTCAAATTCATTGAAGAGCAATTAGAATCACTTAGTGAAAAAATAACCAATATAACAATTAACGAAGAGGATGAATCGTCAAAATCAATCAATTCGCTGAATTTAAGTTTGGAAAATTTAAAATTTCTAATTGAAATGATTTCATGTAAATCAAATTAAAATGATACAAAAAGTAATTTGTTTCAATTATTTTGTTATTTTTATTGGATAAGGCTCATGATATGTAAGCTCAGCTTTCGGTTGACTTTTTTTCGGCCTGCGATTACAGCTACATGTAACTTAATTGCTCGATTTGCACGTCAGAATCGCTACCCATACAGAATCCACCCGAGTTTCCTCTGACTTAATCTTGCCCGGGCTTAGTTCACAATCTTTATTTGAGAACCAGTTTTCGAACAAAAAAGTGACTTAATTAACCATCATTTGACTAACTATTGGGCGATAAATCGATTCCCACAATCTTTTTTCGAATTGCCTTGTTATTACTTTGACAATCGAGATGATATTTCAAAGGTGGACTGAATTGTCAAGAGAAAATTGTTTGAGAGTAAAATAAAAATTTTTGAAAATTTCAACCAAAATGTATGTACAGTAAACTACACAATTTTGTCCGTTTTTTGTAAGGTCGATTTAAGGAGCGGGCAACTCGAAAGGGTTAAAATTAATTAACTTTTTCGATTTAACTTATTTTAATCTTCAAAATAACTAGAAATGCAAGTAAAAATATTGAATTTAATATTTTAAAATCATTTTGACGAGATTTAATAAAGAAAAAAATAATCACTCTAACCAGAATTCAGAACGGTTAGAGAGGTTTTATTGAATGCTCTAAAACAATTGTTAGTTTTGTGTTTTACGGAGGTCGATTTTAGGGTTGATATACCCCTTTGAGGTTTAATTTTTCAGTCTTTATTTATACAGTTCATTTGGAAATGGCAGCGAAATCAATTTTTTAGGCAGAATTGGCCTTCTTCTTGTATTATTGGGTTTTTATTTTATACGCTCATTTATCCAGTAGACGATTTCATTGCTACCGCTTCAAGAATATCAGTTATTTTTTTTGCATTATCTATCGTCATGCTATTGAATTGCCCAGGTAATTTGAAAACAATGACAGCTCCATTTGTGTACTGTATTGAAAAATTTTAAGAATAGAATTTAATTATTATGATTATTCACCATTAATGAATTAATTAACTTACTTTAGATAATCCATAATCTTCCAAATGATGAAAATCGGCGTTGTTTTCATCCGAATCTGTTACTCGAATTAAAACAATTTCACCGTTGAAAATTTCGTCCACATTCATGTCGGCAGCTTTTCGCACTTTATCTGCAAAAATATCGAGAGCATCACTTATCTGGTTAACAGAATATTCAAACGATCCTATCCTGTTGATAGTTGCAGTTACATATTCTAACTTTTCTTGTTTCGTTTTGAGTTCGAACAGTTTTGTTCTCACTTCGTTTTTTTCATCACTTTTCATGAAGGGTGAAAGATAATTCAATGTAAAGTATGTAAATGCTGTGTTTTCATCTTTTCCTTCATATTCTTTTTTAGCGATTCTCGTTTCGTAGCTTAATTTCTCAGGCGATGAATCGATCATGATGAGGTTTCTGACAGAATCTTGACCCAATTTCTTTTGCAGGCCAATGGCCACTTTCAAGGCAATCACTCCCCCAAGGCAGAAACCAATGAGATTGAATGTTTTCTCGTTTGGATATTTGGCTATAAAAGAATCTACATAAAAGTTGACAACTTCATCAATTGATTCGAGATTTTGACAGTCTTTGTTCCAACTGATGCCGATCACTGGTTTTGAGAATGATTCAAATACTGGAATTGCGATATGGAATCGACCTGATTGACTAGGGAAGTAAAAGTATGGTAATCCAAATTCACTTTGATTCAATGGGACAAATAATTGCGTATCAATATGGAAAATATTTCTGTGTTCAGTTATTGAAAAAGAAGAGTTGATTTTTTTCTTCTCTGATTTTTTCAATTTCTTTTCAAGTTCATCTAATTCACCAACTTTCAATTCTCGAATTTCATTGGTTGTCATTGAATAATCGTAATCAGTATCGAGAGCTTGTTTGATTTCAACTGCCATCAATGAATCAAGACCAAGTTCAGATAAAGTTGACTGTGGATCAACTTTAGTTGCATCTTTAACACTAAGGATATGAAAGATTTTCTGTTTCAATGAGTAATTATTCCCTATTGATGATGCACTTTTTTTATCAGAAAATGAAACTATGGTGAAAAGTGAACTATCACCGGATGACATTAAAATTTTGTCAAGTGAATCACGTACTAAATTTAAACGAATTGGTTCATAGGATCTCAACGCGTTTAAATGAATTTGCCATCTATTGAGACGCATCTCTGTAAATATCCCGACATCACCGATTACTCCCCATCGAATAGCCAAACCATGTAGTCCATCTAATCTTCTTTTTCTACAAATATTTTCCATCGCTGTATTACCGAAACAATAATTTGCCTGGGCAATATTTCCAACCTCAACTGCTATTGAAGAAAAGCATACGAAATAATCAATATCGTAGGGTAGAGATCGAGTTAGTTGATCCAAATAACGACAAGCGATCGCTTTTGGTTTGACAGCTTCATCAAATGTTTCAGCTGTTTGATTCTCGAATAGTCCGTCTTTTAGAACCATAGAAAGATGAAATACTCCCCAATTTGGCCCAATTCTTGTGCTTGATTAATTAACCTCTCAGTTGATTCCAAATTGGAACAATCTTCATTAGAGATGATAATATTTGTATAAGTGTACTTGTTATTCTCAAGTCTATTTAGAATATACTCTTGGTATTTTGTTTTAATACCAGAACGTGAAGTAAGAATCAGATTAGTTGCTCCTCTTGATACCATCCAATAAGCTATTTCGAGTCCTAATCCTCCGAGTCCACCGGTTATTATGTAACTTTTTTTAAGATCAAAAAATGTTTGACCAATTGAACGATAAAGTTTAACTTTATTCGGATCTTCATTTTCATCTCTCATTTGAATCAAAACTTTACCAATATGTTTCCCTGTTGCCATAAACCTAAACGATTCTTCAAGCTGATGCATTTGGAATATAGTTGTCGGTAGAGGTACAACCTCACCTGATTCGATTCCTTTTTTTAAAATCTCAATGAGATTATTCCAAATTGTTATCCGATCAGGAATCATGTCGATGAACACATCCTCTTGTAGAAAAGCCAAGCAACAAGCATGAAACGTTTTGTTGAAATCTATGAATTGAGAATCTATTTGGGTAATTAATTAATAATTTGTAAATTCATTGTCAAATCTGAATGATTGAAAATATTATTAATATTTGCGACTTACCAATTTTAGTATTTTGGATCATATCATATTTGCCTATTTCGATAAAGCGACCGAAATTTGACAAGCATCTGATTGAAGCTTTTAGTTTATCATCAGAAAGTGAGTTTAAAACTAAATCAACACCTCGACCATCGGTCATCTTCATAACCATATCTTCAAATGATGTTGATCGAGAATCACCAATATGATCATCATTGATTGAAGGGAAACGTTTCTTAATGAAGTCCCTTTTCTCTTGTGTTCCAACTGTAGTAAATACTTGACAACCTCTTGATAGACAGATCGAAATAGCTGCTTGACCAACTCCTCCTGAACCTGCATGAATTAAAACACTTTCACCAGATTGTAAATTTCCTCGAGAAATCAAACCATAATAAGCTGTTAGATAGACAACAGGAACTGTTGCAGCTTCGGCTAATGTCCAGTGTTCAGGAACAAAGATACAAGATGAATTTGATTGGATTATCGATGAAGTTGCTAATCCACTCGAATTACAAATACCCATAACTCTTTCACCAGACGAATTGATACCCGAAAACTCAATACCAATTGATGGCATGTAATGAACACTATCATAAAGAGGATATGAACGAAGAGGAACTCGTCCAGTTGCGACGAGAATATCACGGAAATTCAGAGATCCATAATAGATTTTTATCTTTTCATGATCTTCGATGAGCTTATTCTTAGGAATATGAGTCCAATTACTGTGATGTGATTGGAACCATCGTAAACTTGAGAGATCGCCTTTTGTTTTAATATCAGCATAACATGAAATTGTTTTAATTTGTAAATCATCAAGATTGACAAGTTCACTTTTATACAATCCAATTTCTCCTTC